GCGGAAGGGGCGGCGGAAGGGGCGGAAGGGCGGGAAGGGGCGGAAGGGGCGGAAGGGGCGGAAGGGGCGGAAGGGGCGGAAGGGGCGGAAGGGCGGAAGGGGCGGAAGGGGCGGAAGGGGCGGAAGGGGCGGAAGGGGGCGGAAGGGGCGGAAGGGGCGGAAGGGGCGGAAGGGGCGGAAAGGGGCGGAAGGGGCGGAAGGGGCGGAAGGGGCCGGCGGAAGGGGCGGAAGGGGCGGAAGGGGCGGAAGGGGCGGAAGGGGCGGAAGGGGCGGAAGGGGCGGAAGGGGCGGAAGGGGCGGAAGGGGCGGAAGGGGCGGAAGGGGCGGAAGGGGCGGAAGGGGCGGAAGGGGCGGAAGGGGCGGAAGGGGCGGAAGGGGCGGAAGGGGCGGAAGGGGCGGAAGGGGCGGAAGGGGCGGAAGGGGCGGAAGGGGCGGAAGGGGCGGAAGGGGCGGAAGGGGCGGAAGGGGCGGAAGGGGCGGAAGGGGCGGAAGGGGCGGAAGGGGCGGAAGGGGCGGAAGGGGCGGAAGGGGCGGAAGGGGCGGAAGGGGCGGAAGGGGCGGAAGGGGCGGAAGGGGCGGAAGGGGCGGAAGGGGCGGAAGGGGCGGAAGGGGCGGAAGGGGCGGAAGGGGCGGAAGGGGCGGAAGGGGCGGAAGGGGCGGAAGGGGCGGAAGGGGCGGAAGGGGCGGAAGGGGCGGAAGGGGCGGAAGGGGCGGAAGGGGCGGAAGGGGCGGAAGGGGCGGAAGGGGCGGAAGGGGCGGAAGGGGCGGAAGGGGCGGAAGGGGCGGAAGGGGCGGAAGGGGCGGAAGGGGCGGAAGGGGCGGAAGGGGCGGAAGGGGCGGAAGGGGCGGAAGGGGCGGAAGGGGCGGAAGGGGCGGAAGGGGCGGAAGGGGCGGAAGGGGCGGAAGGGGCGGAAGGGGCGGAAGGGGCGGAAGGGGCGGAAGGGGCGGAAGGGGCGGAAGGGGCGGAAGGGGCGGAAGGGGCGGAAGGGGCGGAAGGGGCGGAAGGGGCGGAAGGGGCGGAAGGGGCGGAAGGGGCGGAAGGGGCGGAAGGGGCGGAAGGGGCGGAAGGGGCGGAAGGGGCGGAAGGGGCGGAAGGGGCGGAAGGGGCGGAAGGGGCGGAAGGGGCGGAAGGGGCGGAAGGGGCGGAAGGGGCGGAAGGGGCGGAAGGGGCGGAAGGGGCGGAAGGGGCGGAAGGGGCGGAAGGGGCGGAAGGGGCGGAAGGGGCGGAAGGGGCGGAAGGGGCGGAAGGGGCGGAAGGGGCGGAAGGGGCGGAAGGGGCGGAAGGGGCGGAAGGGGCGGAAGGGGCGGAAGGGGCGGAAGGGGCGGAAGGGGCGGAAGGGGCGGAAGGGGCGGAAGGGGCGGAAGGGGCGGAAGGGGCGGAAGGGGCGGAAGGGGCGGAAGGGGCGGAAGGGGCGGAAGGGGCGGAAGGGGCGGAAGGGGCGGAAGGGGCGGAAGGGGCGGAAGGGGCGGAAGGGGCGGAAGGGGCGGAAGGGGCGGAAGGGGCGGAAGGGGCGGAAGGGGCGGAAGGGGCGGAAGGGGCGGAAGGGGCGGAAGGGGCGGAAGGGGCGGAAGGGGCGGAAGGGGCGGAAGGGGCGGAAGGGGCGGAAGGGGCGGAAGGGGCGGAAGGGGCGGAAGGGGCGGAAGGGGCGGAAGGGGCGGAAGGGGCGGAAGGGGCGGAAGGGGCGGAAGGGGCGGAAGGGGCGGAAGGGGCGGAAGGGGCGGAAGGGGCGGAAGGGGCGGGAAGGGGCGGAAGGGGCGGAAGGGGCGGAAGGGCGGAAGGGGCGGAAGGGGCGGAAGGGGCGGAAGGGGCGGAAGGGGCGGAAGGGGCGGAAGGGGCGGAAGGGGCGGAAGGGGCGGAAGGGGCGGAAGGGGCGGAAGGGGCGGAAGGGCGGAAGGGGCGGAAGGGGCGGAAGGGGCGGAAGGGGCGGAAGGGGCGGAAGGGGCGGAAGGGGCGGAAGGGGCGGAAGGGGCGGAAGGGGCGGAAGGGGCGGAAGGGGCGGAAGGGGCGGAAGGGGCGGAAGGGGCGGAAGGGGCGGAAGGGGCGGGAAGGGGCGGAAGGGGCGGAAGGGGCGGAAGGGGCGGAAGGGGCGGAAGGGGCGGAAGGGGCGGAAGGGGCGGAAGGGGCGGAAGGGGCGGAAGGGGCGGAAGGGCGGAAGGGGCGGAAGGGGCGGAAGGGGCGGAAGGGGCGGAAGGGGCGGAAGGGGCGGAAGGGGCGGAAGGGGCGGAAGGGGCGGAAGGGGCGGAAGGGGCGGAAGGGGCGGAAGGGGCGGAAGGGGCGGAAGGGGCGGAAGGGGCGGAAGGGGCGGAAGGGGCGGAAGGGGCGGAAGGGGCGGAAGGGGCGGAAGGGGCGGAAGGGGCGGAAGGGGCGGAAGGGGCGGAAGGGGCGGAAGGGGCGGAAGGGGCGGAAGGGGCGGAAGGGGCGGAAGGGGCGGAAGGGGCGGAAGGGGCGGAAGGGGCGGAAGGGGCGGAAGGGGCGGAAGGGGCGGAAGGGGCGGAAGGGGCGGAAGGGGCGGAAGGGGCGGAAGGGGCGGAAGGGCGGAAGGGGCGGAAGGGGCGGAAGGGGCGGAAGGGGCGGAAGGGGCGGAAGGGGCGGAAGGGGCGGAAGGGGCGGAAGGGGCGGAAGGGGCGGAAGGGGCGGAAGGGGCGGAAGGGGCGGAAGGGGCGGAAGGGGCGGAAGGGGCGGAAGGGGCGGAAGGGGCGGAAGGGGCGGAAGGGGCGGAAGGGGCGGAAGGGGCGGAAGGGGCGGAAGGGGCGGAAGGGGCGGAAGGGGCGGAAGGGGCGGAAGGGGCGGAAGGGGCGGAAGGGGCGGAGGGCGGAAGGGGCGGAAGGGGCGGAAGGGGCGGAAGGGGCGGAAGGGCGAAGGGGCGGAAGGGGCGGAAGGGGCGGAAGGGGCGGAAGGGGCGGAGGAAGGGGCGGAAGGGGCGGAAGGGGCGGAAGGGGCGGAATGGGCGGAAGGGGCGGAAGGGGGGGCGGAAGGGGCGGAAGGGGCGGAAGGGGCGGAAGGGGCGGAAGGGGCGGAAGGGGCGGAAGGGGCGGAAGGGGCGGAAGGGGCGGAAGGGGGTCGGAGGGCGGAAGGGGCGGAAGGGGCGGAAGGGGCGGAAGGGGCGGAAGGGGCGGAAGGGGCGGAAGGGGCGGAAGGGGCGGAGGGGCGGAAGGGGCGGAAGGGGCGGAAGGGGCGGAAGGGGCGGAAGGGGCGGAAGGGGCGGAAGGGGCGGAAGGGGGCGGAAGGGGCGGAAGGGGCGGAAGGGGCGGAAGGGGCGGAAGGGGCGGAAGGGGCGGAAGGGGCGGAAGGGGCGGAAGGGGCGGAAGGGGCGGAAGGGGCGGAAGGGGCGGAAGGGGCGGAAGGGGCGGAAGGGGCGGAAGGGGCGGAAGGGGCGGAAGGGGCGGAAGGGGCGGAAGGGGCGGAAGGGGCGGAAGGGGCGGAAGGGGCGGAAGGGGCGGAAGGGGCGGAAGGGGCGGAAGGGGCGGAAGGGGCGGAAGGGGCGGAAGGGGCGGAAGGGGCGGAAGGGGCGGAAGGGGCGGAAGGGGCGGAAGGGGCGGAAGGGGCGGAAGGGGCGGAAGGGGCGGAAGGGGCGGAAGGGGCGGAAGGGGCGGAAGGGGCGGAAGGGGCGGAAGGGGCGGAAGGGGCGGAAGGGGCGGAAGGGGCGGAAGGGGGCGGAAGGGGCGGAAGGGGCGGAAGGGGCGGAAGGGGCGGAAGGGGCGGAAGGGGCGGAAGGGGCGGAAGGGGCGGAAGGGGCGGAAGGGGCGGAAGGGGCGGAAGGGGCGGAAGGGGCGGAAGGGGCGGAAGGGGCGGAAGGGGCGGAAGGGGCGGAAGGGGCGGAAGGGGCGGAAGGGGCGGAAGGGGCGGAAGGGGCGGAAGGGGCGGAAGGGGCGGAAGGGGCGGAAGGGGCGGAAGGGGCGGAAGGGGCGGAAGGGGCGGAAGGGGCGGAAGGGGCGGAAGGGGCGGAAGGGGCGGAAGGGGCGGAAGGGCGGAAGGGGCGGAAGGGGCGGAAGGGGCGGAAGGGGCGGAAGGGGCGGAAGGGGCGGAAGGGGCGGAAGGGGCGGAAGGGGCGGAAGGGGCGGAAGGGGCGGAAGGGGCGGAAGGGGCGGAAGGGGCGGAAGGGGCGGAAGGGGCGGAAGGGGCGGAAGGGGCGGAAGGGGCGGAAGGGGCGGAAGGGGCGGAAGGGGCGGAAGGGGCGGAAGGGGCGCATGAAACAGGGAGACAGTCACACATGCTAACCAGGAGGATACTTTGTGTTCGCTCTTTCCTAGGCCAGTAGGTGTAGTATGTACCCTCAAACCAAAACATTATACTTAGCAGTGAGTCGACTCTATAGACGGATATACATACCAGAGTGTTGTGGCTAGCAGCCGCCTGACCGCTGGTCCTGGTGGGTGTCAAATCGAGAGTGCTGCTGCCTCCGCCGCTGCTGCTGTGCCTGGCGGGTTCAGCTCTAGCCCAAGGGAAGAAGAAGAACGAACGTGGCGTATACGAGGCTGAGCACGGCTCAAGAGGCGAGGCAAGTGGTGCTGCTGATGATGCTGATTGTGGTGGGTGCGGTGGGGATGGTACTGCAGATTGTACAGCAGGTGCTGCTGCAGGGGATGACGAGCTCGCAGCTGCAGCAGAAGGTTCTGAAGGTTCTGAAGGCCCGCTGAACGGTTTTGCAGCAGCAACAGGTGGCCGGGAAGCAGTGAGGCGCACGTACTTGTGCCGATTCCACTCCGCATGCTCCCTCCACCACGCCTCCTCCCCCACCCCACCTCCCGCTCCCGCCCCCCTTTCCCCTCCCCCTCCAGCTCCTCCTGCTCCATCTTCTACTGCCGCTGCCCCAGCCCCTCCGCTTCCCCCTGCCGCTCCTCCCCCGGCCCCGCCCCCTGCGAGTCCCAGCATCTGGCGGCGCATGTCGCGGCGCACGATGTGGTGGAAGAGGTAGAAGTGGCCCGTGCTCAGCAGCCCGCTGTTCAGGCTGCTCACATCAACTGTATCAAAGGCTTTGTGCCCGCAGCACAGGAGGAAGTCATCGGAACCTCGACCTGCACGCACCTGCAAGGGTTGGGGAGACAGGAAAGACGGGTGAAGGAGGGAAGGAGGGCAAGAGATGGTGGAAGAGGTAGAAGTGGCCCGTGCTGAGCAGCCCGCTGTTCAGGCTGCTCACATCAACTGTATCGAACGCCTTATGTCCGCAGCACAGGAGGAAATCGTCTGAGCCCCGCCCTGCACGGACCTGAGGGGGGGCAATTGGGAGGAGGGAAGGAGGGAAGGAAGGAAGCAGAGAAGGAGGGAAGCAGGGAAGGAGGGAAAGCGATGGTGGAAGAGGTAGAAGTGCCCCGCGCTGAGCAGCCCGCTGTTCAAGTTGCTCACGTGTACCGTGTTAAAGGCCCTGTGCCCGCAGCACAGAAGGAAATCGTCTGAGCCCCAGCCTGCACGCACCTGCAGAATGGGGAATAATGGCGCCCGTTGCCGCAATGCTCAGGTTTGACAAGGCTCCAACACGGCATAGCGTGAATCAGCTTCGAATCGACCAAGAGCTTCGAGTATGCATAGCGTTTTGACATTTCTAGAGGAAAAAGAAAAGGATGAAAGAACATGCGCGTGTTTTGCACGCCCATACCTCGTGAGCAAAGTGCTTCTTGCTTGGCGGCGTACCTTGGGAATACCGGCGTCCATGAATTCGGAGAGCAGCAGAGCAATGTCGTTGCGAGCCGTGAACAGATGTATGTGCGCGTTCTCCCGCACTGCTGGCTGTGTGCTGCTGCGCTCTCCTGCCCCTGTCCCTCTTGCCCCACTGGTTTCTGCTGCTGCAACTGCTGCTCCTGCTGCTTCGCTTGCTCCTCTTGCTCCGCCTCTTGCTGATGCTACTGATGGCAGTGGCCTGACCGCTGATTCTGTTGGCCTTTCTGCACCTGGGAACGGAACCGCAGCTCTACCTACACCTACACCTTCTCTTGACCTAGATTCTTCACTGCTGTGCGGAGAATCTACACTGCGAGACACAGAATCTACACGTCTGGACGCAAGATTCTCTTGCCCGCGGGAACCATCAGGCATAGACCTCCCCGTCTCACACTCTCCTTCAGTAGAAACAAATGAGCTATCGACACATGATCCTCCCGTTCTCGCTGCTGATTCATGAGCTGCTGCTTCCGGCACGCTTGAACTTTTGAGGGGATGTTGTCTTGTCCCTTCAGATGAGTTAGAAGCACTGCCAGTCCTGCTTCTTCCCAACCTATGCTCAGCCTCGTTACCTCCTGCTTCTCTGGTTTGGAAAACAGGCTCGGATGCACCTCCGAAACTCTCTGGTTCGGAGGCTCCAAGGCCTGGCACAGCCTTGGCAGACCCATGGCCACCAGGTTCGGCAAGGCCTGGCGGGTGGAATATCTCGCTCCAAACCTCCATCAGCCCCTTTTCCCGAACCTCCTGCCAAGCCTGCCGTAGCGTTACCCAGCCTGAGTTGCTTTCCCCAGCCACGTTCCACACGTCTGCAATCCTCTCTATCATGGAATCGTGACTGCGTGCATTTAAGTCATACGTGGAGGAGGAAGGTGAGGAGGCAGGGGCAGAGGATGCTGCGGAGGAAGGAGCGGGGGAAGGAGTTACTAAGGAAGGTGTGGAGGAAGGTGTGGAGGAAGGTGGGGAAGAAGGGGAATACGAAGTGTGGGGTGATGAGGGGGAGAGAGGCGAGGAACGAGAGGAAGGAGAGGAAGGAGAGGAAGGAGAGGATGGCAATGGCAACACCACAGGTGCTGCCTGCACGTGCTGGGCTTGCTGGAGAAGGGTCAAAGGGTGGCTGACATCCGAAGCCCCAGGGCCCGTTTCCCCCTCCTCTGCCCCTCTTTCCAACGCACCCCCAGCAGACCTCTCTTTTTCCTCCGCCTCCCCGTCCCACGCAATCCCCGGGAACTTGAATCTCCGTATGACAGAGGAGAAGGAGTGAGCAGCGACGTCAGGAGCCATGAAGTAGATGTGGGAGGTGACGCCGGTGCGGGCGTGGAAGGGGTCCAGGTGCGGCGGTGAAACTGAGGAGAGGCGCAGAGCTTCCAATAGTGTGCGTGCGCCCATGCTGTATGCCATTACGTGGACGGCCTTGGCTCCCACTTCGGTTGAGAGCATTTGCAGCAGGTCCTGTGGGGTTGGGAAAACAGAAACAGGAGAAACAGGGGAACTAGATTGGACCTCCGTCCGTATAATGAAGGAGAAGGAGTGGGCGACGACGTCAGGAGCCATGAAGTAGATGTGGGAGGTGACGCCGGTGGAGGCATGGAAGGGGTCCAGGTGCGGCGGGGAGACTGACGACAGGCGGAGGGCCTCTAATAGTGTGCGCGCGCCCATGCTGTATGGCATCACGTGCACCGCTTTAGCTCCCACTTCTCTAGACAGCATCTGCAGCAAATCCTGTGGGCAGCGAGGAAGGGGGAAGGGGTATGAATGAGTCCTGTGGGCAGGGAAGCAAAGGATGAGGGGGGGTTGGTTGGGGATCATGCGCGCGCCCATGCAGTACGCTATCACATGCACGGCCTTTGCTCCTAGTTCTCTAGACAGCATCTGGAGGACATCCTGTGGGTTTGCGAGGCAGAGGATGGGAGGGAATGGATGTGGGGTGAGAGTGCTGACAGGCATAAGTGTGTGCGCGCACGCCCATGCTGTATGGCATCACATGCACGCCCATGCTGTATGGCATCACGTGCACGCCCATGCTGTATGGCATCACATGCACGCCCATGCTGTATGGCATCACATGCACGCCCATGCTGTATGGCATCACATGCACGCCCATGCTGTATGGCATCACATGCACGCCCATGCTGTATGGCATCACGTGCACGCCCATGCTGTATGGCATCACATGCACGCCCATGCTGTATGGCATCACATGCACGCCCATGCTGTATGGCATCACATGCACGCCCATGCTGTATGGCATCACATGCACGCCCATGCTGTATGGCATCACGTGCACGCCCATGCTGTATGGCATCACATGCACGCCCATGCTGTATGGCATCACGTGCACGCCCATGCTGTATGGCATCACATGCACGCCCATGCTGTATGGCATCACGTGCACGCCCATGCTGTATGGCATCACATGCACGCCCATGCTGTATGGCATCACATGCACGCCCATGCTGTATGGCATCACATGCACGCCCATGCTGTATGGCATCACATGCACGCCCATGCTGTATGGCATCACATGCACGCCCATGCTGTATGGCATCACATGCACGCCCATGCTGTATGGCATCACATGCACGCCCATGCTGTATGGCATCACATGCACGCCCATGCTGTATGGCATCACATGCACGCCCATGCTGTATGGCATCACGTGCACGCCCATGCTGTATGGCATCACATGCACGGCTTTCGACTTTTGAGACGTCTCAAAAGTCGCCCATGCTGTATGGCATCACGTGCACGGCTTTCGCTCTCAGCTCGACTGAGAGCATTTCAATGTGTGAGAGCATGCAGGTCGTGTGGGAAGGGGGGGAAATGAGGGGGGAAAAGGGTGCAGGCAGGACGCACCCTTTCAACCCCCCCCAGCCAGCCCCACCAACGCAGATGGCCATGGCTTGAGACACCTGAAAAATCGAGTTTTGAGTCAACTCAAAAGTCGACTTATCACACACAGATGGCCATGGCTTGAGACACCTGAAAACCCATAACAGCCTATATGGCTTGAACGTAAATACAAAACAAAGCCCACTCACCCTGAGGTCAGGAGCGGCCTGCATGCATGTGATCTCGTCCTGGCGGTACAGGCTGATCACCCCCAACCCCACCGACACGGACGGCCGCCCCACCGTCGGCCAGCTGTACACCACCATGGGCCCGTTGAAGTCGAGGCCACGCTGGGAGGGGAGGGAGAGGGGGGCAGGAGGGTTGGGGAAGGAAGGATCAGCCTAATACAGGTGCGGGTATACTGCAGGCTGTACACCACCATGGCCCAGCTGTACACCACCATGGCCCAGCTGTACACCACCATGGCCCAGCTGTACACCACCATGGCCCAGCTTTACACCACCATGGCCCAGCTGTACACCACCATGGCCCAGCTGTACACCACCATGGCCCAGCTTTACACCACCATGGCCCAGCTGTACACCACCATGGCCCAGCTGTACACCACCATGGCCCAGCTGTACACCACCATGGCCCAGCTGTACACCACCATGGCCCAGCTGTACACCACCATGGCCCAGCTGTACACCACCATGGCCCAGCTTTACACCACCATGGCCCAGCTGTACACCACCATGGCCCAGCTGTACACCACCATGGCCCAGCTTTACACCACCATGGCCCAGCTGTACACCACCAGCAGCTGTACACCACCATGGCCCAGCTGTACACCACCATGGCCCAGCTGTACACCACCATGGCCCAGCTGTACACCACCATGGCCCAGCTGTACACCACCATGGCCCAGCTGTACACCACCATGGGCCAGCTGTACACCACCATGGCCCAGCTGTACACCACCATGGGTCCGTTGAAGTCGAGACCACGCTGGGAGGGGAGGGAGAGGGAGCAACGGGGCGAGGGGATTGGGACAGAGATACAAGTATACACACCAATGGCCAGCCCAGCACTCGCCCCACCGTGGCCCAGCACATTGCAGTCTGTACATCACCATGGGGCCATTGAAGTCCGTCTGGGCCTCGCTGAGAGAGAGATGGGAAATGCAAGAGAAGCGGGAACGGCCCATGGAGGGTTGACGTCGTTGAATCACAGCGCAATCACTCTCAGGGGTCCCCACTTAGGAGGCATGACTCTCAAAAGTCAGCTCGCTGAGAGAGAGATGGGAAATGCAAGAGAAGCGGGAACGGCCCATGGAGGGTTGACGTCGTTGAATCACAGCGCAATCACTCTCAGGGGTCCCCACTTAGGAGGCATGACTCTCAAAAGTCAGCTCGCTGAGAGAGAGATGGGAAATGCAAGAGAAGAGAAGCGGGAACGGCCCATGGAGGGTTGAAGTCGTTGAATCACAGCGCAATCACTTTTGAGTCGACTCAAAAGCAGGGTTGAAGTCGTTGAATCACAGGGCAATCACTTTTGAGTCGACTCAAAAGCAGGGTTGAAGTCGTTGAATCACAGGGCAATCACTTTTGAGTCGACTCAAAAGCAGGGTTGAAGTCGTTGAATCACAGGGCAATCACTTTTGAGTCGACTCAAAAGCAGGGTTGAAGTCGTTGAATCACAGGGCAATCACTTTTGAGTCGACTCAAAAGCAGGGTTGAAGTCGTTGAATCACAGGGCAATCACTTTTGAGTCGACTCAAAAGCAGGGTTGAAGTCGTTGAATCACAGGGCAATCACTCTCTCAGCTTGTTGGTTGCCCCACCGTGGGCCAGCTGTGTACGTGATCGTGGCCCACGGTGGGGCGACAGACAAGGTAAGAGTGATCCATGATCATGGGATAATTGAGGAGCATGTTTCATAATGATAGTGCGGCCGCACTGTGAGGTCACACAATGGGCCACACATGTTAAGTGTGGGGGGGTTGAAGAGGAGAGGGCTGAAGTTCGTACCTGCATGAATGCTCCGTAGCCCATGCCCCGGCTGAAATCAGTGAAGCAGCTGCAGGGAGGGAGAACACAACACAAAGGTCACAAAACAACACGGAAAGTGCAGAGAGGAATCGGTAAGTGCAGAAAAGGAGGAAAATAGTGTAGGATCCGCAATCGGACATACTCACGACTTTGGTACAACAAGAGACGAGTGTTACGGCATACCCCATCAACATACCCACACACATACCCATGCACATAACCATGCACATACATACCCATGCACATACACACCATGCACACACATACCCATTGCAGATACCCATGCACATATCATGCTCATCCCCCCCCCGCATACATACCCATGCACGTACGTACCCATGCACGTAAACAAGCACCGCCTTGTTCTCATCGCGAGCCACATGCTCTCTCAGCCGCTGCTTGAACGCCTCCGATTCCATACTCGTTACAAGCTGCCCCTCTGCCTTCACCTGCGGCTTGCCATTAGGACAGTCCACCTGCAGTTACAAACAAAAGCGAAGAGCATTTTGTTGCTATGTAGAGACGATGCAGTACCATGCTGATGATGATGGGGACGCCTGGACCGGAACATCCTATCCTGTTATCTTATCACTCACATCCACCATGGCCACATGCAGGCTGGCCACTGCCCATCAGCTTGCCGTGCACCTTGCCCATCCACTTATCCTCTCTTCTTTCCCAAGGGAGCCGGAACAGCCCATCACTCACATCCACCACAACAGCAGCACGCACCCAACCAAAACTGAGTCAGAAAACACCAGAACAGCCCATCACTCACATCCACCACGCCCACACGCAGGCCACTGTGCATGAGCTTGCCATACACCTTGCCCATCTTCTCGTCCTCCCACCCTCTCCCTCTTGTACATACGGTGGGTGATGTTGTACTCTTTAAAAATCTTCTCACAGCACTTTATTGTCAATCAAATCCACCACGCCCACATGCAGGCCGACCACAGTCCATGAGCTTGGCATGCACCTTGCCCATCCTCCCATCCTCTCCCCTCTTTCAACGGAAGCCAGAACAATCCGTCATTTACATCCACCACGCTAACATGCAAGTCACATTTGATCAAGAAAAAACCAAGACGTCACTCACATCCACCACATTGGAGTGACTTTTGAGAATTCTCAAAAGTCACTCCAATATAACATGCAGGTCACATTTGACAAAGAAAACACCAAGATGTCACTCACTTACATCCACCACGCCCACGTGCAGGCCACTGTCCATGAGCTTGCCGTACACCTTGCCCATCTTCTCGTCCTCCCTCTCGCACACCCGATTCGTAACGTAGTACACCTGAGAATGGGACAAGAAGCAAGGCATGGGGCAGGAAGGAAGTCAGTACATTGGGCTAAGAGCCTTACATCCAGCCCACTCCCGCTCCTCCTCGGGTCGCAGCACCAGAAGAATCATACGCGCCTCGGTTTACCTGATGCGTCTAGCAGCAAGCTCAGCGTTCCCCCATGCCTTCTCTTTCAGACGCAGAATCTCCCGCCATCCGAACCACACCAGATCCTGCAATTTCTTGGCTTGCAGCATCAGAGACAGTTGGAACCATACACACATTGGCTTACCTGATGTGTCTCAGCTGCAAGCTCAGCGTTCCCCGATGACTTCTCTTTCAACCCCAGAATCTCCCGCCATCCGAATCCCACCAGATCCTGCTCCTCCTTGGGTCGCAGCACCACCTCTCTCGGCTTCGCCAGCGACGAAACAGCCTCGGCGAACCGGCGACTGGTAACCAGGCACCAGAAGCCGCAATCGCTAGCCGTTGATCCGACGGGTCCGCCATCCGCCATCTTGCGATGCCTGCTCCGTCTCCGTCAACGTTAGTTTCCCGTCAGCTCTCGTTATCCCGCAGCTCTGACTCTCTGTCTGCCGTCCGCTGCCTTCGCGCTCAGCAAGAACTTGGGCCAATCAGGTTCCTTCACGATTCGAAACACTCCAACACTTAGGAGGACCGGACTCTTATGGTTAGACGAGCAAATTCCTTCAAAAATTCGTCGATCCCCACTTGCAATCAATCGGGATCAGTCATCCTCTCGATCTGCTGCACCCCTTCCCAGTCTGCTAGCTTTTCGTCAGCTACTGAATTCAACCGCTATATACCGTGAAAGACCGTAACGACCGTCCCAAGGCGTCGAATCACTTTCACTGTACACGATCTCGCACTACAAAGTGCCAATCCGCTCGAAGCATCCACCCAAATTCCAGCTTCGGCTGGTGCGAAACAGCGTGCCTCAACAGACTCTGGGAGGTTCCCAAGGTCGAAGCGATCACAACAAGCAGCAACGTATGGGGGGACCCGTCTCGTCAGCTGTCAGCAGTGACCAGGCATTGTGTTGTCCCAATCTAAAGGTTCAAGATAATTTCCAGCAGGGGATATTTTGGGGCCAGTCTTGAAAGCTCACTATGAAGTGGGACGTGCGTGTCGCATACTCAATTGAAGAAGAGGCAATGAAGTACAAACGAGACTCTCCCGCGCATTTCTTCTTTTTATTTAAAAGATATTTACATGTAAACTCACTATCCACATGGGGGTGTAGCTCACATGGTAGAGCGATCGCTTCGCATGCGATAGGTAAAGGGATCGATACCCCTTACCTCCACACTCGATTTCCCACTGTTGGGCGGTTTTCCTGAACCGTCATCTTGATATATATTCCAGTCAGAATCCATTCGTCTCCCGTTGCGGCGCGTGCGTGATACGCTGCTGTTTTTTTGTTTGCTGCTCGGTCGTGCGGCCCATCATGTCGTTTTGTTTTGAGCGAACGTCGCCGTCATTCATGTAGTCGCCTCCTGCGACCCTGTCCAGTCCGGCATGTGGCTGGATCCTCCTCATCTGGGTTATCCTCGTTTGTATAAAAATCGCTATTCGCCATGAGGATTGTTAGGTCGCCGTGGGCGACCTTCGCCCTGGGAGCTGCTGCCGGCTCGTGCGCCGCGCTTTGCGCTTGGAAGCTCTATTCCGTCTACTCTGCCGACGAGCCGCCTGAAATCACGTTAGTAGCGGCTTTGGGACAGCGAACGTTTGTTCCGGTCGACTTGTTATGTTAGTCTCGCTGGTTTGCTGTTCCTAAATCTTTAAAGCCATTTGCAGCTCAGTGCGATTTGTTGTGCCTTGCGGTTCATTGTCGCATCCCATCCGTCGATCCTATCAGTCGCATTTCTCACCGCGTGAGTTCTGCGGATTGTGGTATGACATGAATGACTCCCATCCGTGAGTTGAGTCGACTCAAATGTCACCTCAGTCCTGCACGTCGTCCTTCCGCATTTCAGAGAAATGGGAAAGGATTTCGGGTTCTCCCGTTCTTTTTCCCCTACCCAATTTTTCCTTTCCTCCCGCCTTTCTTTCCCCTTCCCAGGTGTAACGACGGCCATGCAGGTCTGGTGTCTTTAGGTGCAGAAGGCGAGGAGCAGGAGAAGCAGCATCACGAGCAGCACCTGAAACCACCTGAAGAAACACCTGACGCAGTCTCAGTTCCTGCTGCCAGGGGAATGTCTCGTCCTCCTGAGTCGCAGCACGGTGCTACTAGCAGTCAGGAACCTTCTAGTGGGGGGGAGACACGTGGCAGTGGCGGATTGGATGGCCAGGATCTTGCCAGCCTGGCAGCGGCTGATGATGACATCATCGTGGAGCAATTCACCAGGCACGCGTTTTAAACCCCTTCGTTATAAGAACGCTTATATATGTTTCTGAGCTCTCTCTGTTCACCATCTAAGCTCAATTCTCAAGCTATTCCATTTCTCTTGCTTGATAATTACTTCCTGTTTTTACATCACTGCCCTCTCTCCCCTCAACGATACTCTCTTCCGGCTAGTCTCTTCCCCCTCCAACTTCCCCCCCCCCACCTCCATCTCCCTCCCTTCCTTTTCCCCTTCTTCCCCCACTTACCGTCCTCACTGACTCAAAAGACTTTTGAGTCGACTCAAAAGTCAACTCCTCCCTTCCTTTCCCCCTTCTTCCCCCACTTACCGTCCTCACTGACCGTCCTTCACCTTTCCCCTTCCTCTCACTGCTGCCGGGCAGGAACATTCAAATGTTTGGTCTGCCCGGCCAGCTGGCAGTGCACCGGGCGTTTGTGGTGGTGGTGGGGCTGGGGGGAGTAGGCAGCCATGCTGCTGCTGCGCTGCTAAGATGCGGTGTTGGCCGGCTGAGACTCGTCGACTTTGACCAGGTACTGGGTCCCTCCATTGACCCTGTTGACTCTGTTGACTCGAGTTGACTGTGATTGACCGAGTGGCGTTTGTGGTCATGATGATGGGGCTGGGGGGAATGAGCAGACATGCTGCTGCTACTGCCCTGCTAAGATGTGGCGTTGGATGGCTGAGACTCGTCGACTTTGACCAGGTACTGTTGATCTCCATTGACCCTGTTGACTCTGCTGCTTGGGTTGACTCACAATGTCTCGAATTGACAGCCTGTTGCTGCCACGCTAGCTCAGTGAATGAGAGAGCATGTCCCCCCTCTCCTCCTCTTCCCCCCTCCTCTCCCCCCACCCTCCCCAACTTTCTTTACTCAACAAGTGTCACTATCCTCGCTTAATCGCCATGCTGTTGCCATGCTGTTGCCATGCTGTTGCCATGCGGGCAGACGTGGTTATTTCCAAGGCGCAGTGAATGAGGGAGCGTTTCCTCCTCCCCTCTGCCTCACCCCCTTTTTCCCCCAACTGTTATCCCACAGGTGTCGCTGTCATCGCTCAATCGCCATGCTGTTGCCACGCGGGCAGATGTTGGAATCTCCAAGGCGCAATGCACGAAATATTTCCCCTCTTTCTTCTCCCCCTTCTCCTGCTTTGCCTCCTCATTGAACAGGTGTCGCTCTCCTCCCTCAATCGCCATGCTGTTGCCACACGGGCAGATGTGGGGATCTCCAAGGCGCAGTGCATGAGGGAGCATTTTCTTCGCATCCTGCCCGAAGCGCAAGTGGAGGGGATGACAGCGATGTACACGGAGGAGAACGAGGAGAAAGTTTTGTCCGGGCAGCCCGACTACGTTGTTGACTGCATCGACAATATCGACACAAAGGTTCGAATCAAATCAAATCAAATCAAACCAAATCAAATCAGATCAGATCGAATCCGATAGAAGCAAACAAAGTAGAAATGGTTCCGCAGCTGCTACATGCATGCGTGTTTGGCGATGCACACGAAATCATGGGACAACCAACGGACGGAGTAAAGCAAAAGCAAAGCTGCACGCAGCTGCCTCACGAGAACTTTGAGCGGATTTTGAGCAATAGCAACCCCAAGGTATCAACGCCCCTAACACACTACTTCTTTTCTCGCCCTCCTCACATCACAGGTGGCTCTGCTCTCAGCCTGCGTGCGTCGCGGTCTGCCAGTCGTCAGTGCCATGGGGGCAGGCGCTCGGGCCGACCCCACTCGCATCCGGATTGCTGACATCAGCGAGTCGTCTATCGACCCTCTCTCACGCGCGGTGAGGCAACCACTTCTCCACCCACCCACCCACCCACCCACCCACCCACACCCACCCACCCACCCACCCCTTCATAGCGAATTCTGGCAAAAATGCTTCTATTTGTTTCTCTCTGTGTGTAACTGAGTGTGTCGATGAACCTCTGTGCTTGCTGTGCCATCAGCGAGCCGTCGTCCCTCGACCCGCTCTCTCCCGTGCGGTGCTGTCGACACATTCATCCACCCACCAGGTGTACTACAATATGTTTGCATGTGCGCGCATACATTTTTGTATATTTGTATATTTACATACATGTGATATACATTTACATAAATATATGTATGTATACGTGTATAGGCACACGTACACAGTCAAGCATACATACATATTCAAGCATACATATACAAGTATATGTATTTATATATATGTATATGCACACATACATATTCAAGCATACATCAGTTCATCACCATCCATCCCACCCACTGCAGGTGCGGCAGCGGTTGCGCAAGGCACTGGGAGCAGCAGCAGCAGTGGAGGCGGTGTTTTCCCTTGATCGTCCTAAGGCCAAGCTGCTGCCTGTGGGGGATGGGGATGGCTCCCTGCAGCCCGCTGATTTACAGGTATAGTGAACGTATGAGCAGTCTCAAATCAAGGCGCTGGGGGCAGCAGCAGCAGTCAGCGGCAGTGGAGGTAGTGTTTTCTGGAGGCAGTGTTTTCTGGGGGCAGTGTTTTCTGGGGGCAGTGTTTTCTCTGGACCGCCCCAAGGCCAAGCTGCTGCCTGTTGCTGACGACTCCTTGCAACCTGCTGACCTCCAGGTGATGTTCAGGTGCTTTTCAGGTGGTTCCCCAGGTTTTGTTATTATTATTATTATTATTATCATCATCATCATCATTATTATTATTATTATTGTTGTTGTTGTTGTTATTGATATTGTTATTGTGCTGGACTTGTGGTTTTCCTTTTCACTTCTTTCCCATTTTGCTTATCAAAGTGAAGTACAAACCCTTATCGTTGTCCTTGTTACAGGTGGTAATCTTCACATCAGATTGCCACGAGATGCACAGCTCCTGTTATCTATTTTCCTGCTCCACTCCCCGTTTGTCCATACTCGTTACAGGTGGTCCCAGGGTTCCGTGTAAGAGTCATCCCCGTGCTGGGCACCATTCCTGCCATGTTTGGCCTGGCGCTGGCGACCCGTGTCGTCACCTCATTGGCCGGAATGGACGTGGGGTTCGAGCCGGTGTTGAGGCTCAGTGCAGACCATTACTCGCTGCTGCACCAGCGGCTGGTGGAGAGAGAGGAGATGCGGTTTGGCTCGGCGAGTGAAGTGGAGGTGAGTCTGTATATGTGGGTGAGCCATGTGTAGGTGGGAATGGACGTGGGATTTGAGCCGGTGTTGAGGCTCAGTGCGGACCATTACTCGCTGCTGCACCAGCGGCTGGTGGAGAGAGAGGAGATGCGGTTTGGCTCGGCGAGTGAAGTGGAGGTGAGTCTGTATATGTGGGTGAGCCATGTGTAGGTGGGAATGGACGTGGGATTTGAGCCGGTGTTGAGGCTCAGTGCGGACCATTACTCGCTGCTGCACCAGCGGCTGGTGGAGAGAGAGGAGATGCGGTTTGGCTCGGCGAGTGAAGTGGAGGTGAGTCTGTATATGTGGGTGAGCCATGTGTAGGTGGGAATGGACGTGGGATTTGAGCCGGTGTTGAGGCTCAGTGCGGACCATTACTCGCTGCTGCACCAGCGGCTGGTGGAGAGAGAGGAGATGCGGTTTGGCTCGGCGAGTGAAGTGGAGGTGAGTCTGTATATGTGGGTGAGCCATGTGTAGGTGGGAATGGACGTTGGATTTGAGCCGGTGTTGAGGCTCAGTGCGGACCATTACTCGCTGCTGCACCAGCGGCTGGTGGAGAGAGAGGAGATGCGGTTTGGCTCGGCGAGTGAAGTGGAGGTGAGTCTGTATATGTGGGTGAGCCATGTGTAGGTGGGAATGGACGTGGGATTTGAGCCGGTGTTGAGGCTCAGTGCGGACCATTACTCGCTGCTGCACCAGCGGCTGGTGGAGAGAGAGGAGATGCGGTTTCGGTCGGCACAAGAGGTGGAGGTAAGTGTGTGTGTGGGCGTGTGTGGGTGAGTGTGTGTTGAGGCTGAGTGCGGACCATTACTCGCTGCTGCATCAGAGGCTGGTGGAGAGGGAGGAGATGCGGTTTGGATCGGCTCAGGAGGTGGAGGACAGTGTGTGTGTGGATGAGTGAGTGGGAGGGAGTATGTGTGGTGCGTTCATGTGGGGTTGTGTGCGTGTGGCGGTAAGGTGTGTAGAGGGGGGAGGGGCTGAGTGTTGCCATTCTATCTGCTTCTCCAAAGGCTGGTGGAGTGGAGAGTAGGAGGAGCATGGGCGCACGTGCTTGTGTGATTGTGCCAAAATCCTCATCTGAGTGTATGTGTGCATGTGTGCATGTGTGCATGTGTGCATGTGTGCATGTGTGCATGTGTGTATGTGTGTATGTGTGTATGTGTGCATGTGTGCATGTGTGCATGTGTGCATGTGTGCATGTGTGCATGTGTGCATGTGTGCATGTGTGCATGTGTGCATGTGTGCATGTGTGCATGTGTGCATGTGTGCATGTGTGCATGTATGCATGTGTGATTGTGCCAAAATCCTCATCTGAGTGTATGTGTGCATGTGTGCATGTGTGCATGTGTGATTGTGCCAAAATCCTCATCTGAGTGTATGTGTGCATGTGTGCATGTGTGCATGCGTGCATGTGTGCATGTGTGTATGTGTGAATGTGTGTATGTGTGCATGTGGGCATGTGTGCATGTGTGCATGTGTGCATGTGTGCATGTGTGCATGTGTGTATGTGTGCATGTGTGCATGTGTGCATGTGTGTATGTGTGCATGTGTGCATGTGTGCATGTGTGCATGTGTGCATGTGTGCATGTGTGCATGTGTGCATGTGTGCATGTGTGCATGTGTGCATGTGTGTATGTGTGTATGTGTGCATGTGTGTATGTGTGTATGTCTGTATGTGTGTATGTGTGCATGTGTGTATGAGCACAGGTGGACAATGATGATGTCATGTTTGTGACCCCTGGTCATTTGCAAGTGATGTGGCTTCTGAAAGTTCTCGTGTAACATCCCGAAAGTGCCCATATCCCTATCCATATGTCCACGTGTGCACAGGTGGACATGGATGACGTCATGTTTGTGGTGAGGGAGGTGTGGCGCGGCCGCAGCGCGTGGCAGCATCTCCGGGAGAAGGAAGCTGCTGAGAAGCTTCTTCACAGCCGGCCGGGCGAAGGCGAGGGCAATGTTGGATCACATGAGGAGGAGAAGACACGGGGAGAGAAGCGAGAGGAGGGTGAGGAAGGGGGGGAGATTCAGGGGCAGGGAGAAATTGCAGGGGGCACTCAGGAGGAGCAGGGAGAAAGTGAGGGGGGCACTCAGGAGCAGGGAGAAAGTGAGGGGGGCACAGGGGAGACGAATCTGGGAAATGGACAAAAGGCGGAGGAGCAACGAGAAGAGGAGCGGAGAGAGGAGAGGAGGCAGGAGAATGGCACTCAGGAGCAGGGAAGGAGCGGACAGCAGCAGCAGAGGAAGAAGGGGGAGCGTAGAAAACATGCTGTGAAAGCTGCTGGTGAAGGAAATGGGGGTGGTGGTGGAGGGACAGGAGGAGGTGGGAGAGGAGGTGGGGGAGGAGGAGGAGGCATGGATATTGGGCGAGCAATCTGGCGGTCCATGGGACACATGACTCTCACCAGGTGTGTTGGTGTCACGTCTGGGGTTCTTTTTAGGGTCACTTCTGGGGACACTTCTGAAGTTTTTTTTTGGAAGGACTCCCAAGTCTGGCAGTTCATGAGGCACATGACTCTCACCAGGTGATCTTGAAAAGCCTTTCCTCCTTGGTCTTCAAATATGTTTGTTTCGCTTGGGATGTCTGGATTAGATGGAGCCACCTTTTTTGCCTCGTGTGGTGGCTGGCTGTGTGGCAGGTGGAATGCGGCCCTCCCTCCCACCATTGACAATCTCGTTCTCTTCACATTTGATGAGGTAAGCACACAACACGTCTCTCTCTCGCTGTACCTTCGCTCACTCGGCCGCTCACGTGGGATGAGGTTTCTTGGACTTTCTTTCAGAAATCTTGCCAGAACTTGTTTTCATTACTGTGCGGGTACAGGATCAGCATACGCCTCAAAATTCTCGCCTGCAATCTCCTGCTTCCTCCCTTTGGGCTGCAGGCGGAAGCACACGAGGCAATGCCATTGGAGCAGGTGGAATCAGAGCAGCCAGAGCTCTTCCGATTGGTGGATGCCACACTGGAACGAGCTCGGAGATTGTACACATAGAGGCTGGAATGGGGCACTGACTCACTGAATTACTATTATCTGTGCTTGCGGTAACAGCAAGTGGCTCTGGTCAGCAGGTGGAAATAGAGCAGTGGGAGCTGTTCAAATTGGTTTACGCTCACTGGAGCGGGCTCGGAGACTGTACACATAGAGAGCTGGGTGGTGTGGGTCTGGCCTTGCTCTACTACCGTATCTCTTTATTTGTAACTTAGAAGCAATTCCTTTTTGTGAATGAGTGATATTGTAGCGTCAGCACTTGTAGTGCCCACAGTTGTCCTGTGTGCATTCCATGCTTGCAAATTTACCCCTCTGTTTCTACCAAGTTTCAGCTTTTTGGAAACACTCCTTATAATATTTAGTACCGTACAATTCCTGATACAGATCTTCACACCAAATCGCTAACCATGCTGCCAGCTTAGTCAAGGGTCACACCCTGCATACACAATGAAGCAAACGGTGCCATGAGGGGTCAACGGGAGCCAAGATAAACCCAAAACAGCAGTAAAAGCAGATGCAAAAAGTGTTCGGAATGCCTCACCTGGGGAGGTTCAAACCTGGTCTGTGCGATTACCTTACCGTACCTAGGGGCAATGCCTCAATTGGAGAAAAAAGGCCTCACCTGGGGGGGGTCGAACTTGGCGCCCAGCTCGCTGAGCTGCTTGTGCGACTGGGCATAGTCGGCAAAGAAGGCCGCCTGGTCCGTGGGATTACCTTACCTAGGCTAGGGGTAATGCCTCACCTGCAGGGGAAGTCTGTCACCAGAGAAACGTGGCACCCGGAGGAAAAGGGTCTTACCTGAGGGGGGTCGAACTTGGCGCCCAGCTCGCTGAGCTTCTTGTGCGACTGGGCATAGTCAGCAAAGAAGGCCGCCTGGTCTGCAGCATACTTCTCTGCAAACACCTTGAAGCCCGCGTCCTCAAACAGGGCGGCATCCGTCGGCAGCACCAGCAGTTCCGCATCCTTCTTCTCCTTGATGTCCTGGCATGGGAAAGAAGTTGAGGGGGGAGGGAGTTGGGGGGGAGGGAAAGCAGAGTTTGGATGAGCCCCAGCAGCAGAGAGCTTCATGCACCTATAAACCCAGGCCTGCGCGTGTGGGCAGCACCAGCAGCTCCGCATCCGGCCTGTCCTTTTTGTCGTGGTGGGGGAAACGGGGGGGGGTTGGGGGAGCGGAAGGAGAGTGGACGAGAGGGGGGGGAGGAGCGGCGTCTGGTTGACTGAGCCCCTACACCAGCAGTGTTTCTCTGGCGCTGGTGCTTCTCTGCATGTGTGGGCAGCACCAGCAGCTCCACATCCTTCCTCCCCTAAACGGAGGGGTGATGGGGATGGGTGGGAGAGTGTGGGGTAGAGATGGAGGGGTGGAGAGGAAGAGGGGGGGGGGGAGGGGGAAGGTGGAGATGCAAATTGTGCAGCGTTTGCATATGATGAAGGGGGGAGGGAGAGCGGCAATTGGTAGAGAGGCAGTGCCCCAGCAGTGCCTGGCAGTGCCTGGTAGTGCCTGGTAGTGCCTGGTAGTGCCTGGTAGTGCCTGGTAGTGCCTGGTAGTGCCTGGTAGTGCCTGGTAGTGCCTGGTAGTGCCTGGTAGTGCCTGGTAGTGCCTGGTAGTGCCTGGTAGTGCCTGGTAGTGCCTGGTAGTGCCTGGTAGTGCCCGGTAGTGCCTGGTAGTGCCTGGTAGTGCCTGGTAGTGCCTGGTAGTGCCTGGTAGTGCCTGGTAGTGCCTGGGAGTGCCTGGCAGTGCCTGGCAGTGCCTGGTAGTGCCTGGTAGTGCCTGGTAGTGCCTGGTAGTGCCTGGTAGTGCCTGGTAGTGCCTGGTAGTGCCTGGTAGTGCCTGGTAGTGCCTGGTAGTGCCTGGCAGTGCCTGGCAGTGCCTGGTAGTGCCTGGTAGTGCCTGGTAGTGCCTGGTAGTGCCTGGTAGTGCCTGGTAGTGCCTGGTAGTGCCTGGTAGTGCCTGGTAGTGCCTGGTAGTGCCTGGTAGTGCCTGGTAGTGCCTGGCAGTGCCTGGCAGTGCCTGGCAGTACCTGGCAGTGCCTGGCAGTGCCTGGTAGTGCCTGGTAGTGCCTGGTAGTGCCTGGTAGTGCCTGGTAGTGCCTGGTAGTGCCTGGTAGTGCCTGGTAGTGCCTGGTAGTGCCTGGTAGTGCCTGGTAGTGCCTGGTAGTGCCTGGTAGTGCCTGGTAGTGCCTGGTAGTGCCTGGTAGTGCCTGGTAGTGCCTGGTAGTGCCTGGTAGTGCCTGGTAGTGCCTGGTAGTGCCTGGTAGTGCCTGGTAGTGCCTGGCAGTGCCTGGCAGTGCCTGGTAGTGCCTGGTAGTGCCTGGTAGTGCCTGGTAGTGCCTGTTAGTGCCTGGCAGTGCCTGGCAGTGCCTGGTAGTGCCTGGTAGTGCCTGGTAGTGCCTGGTAGTGCCTGGTAGTGCCTGGTAGTGCCTGGTAGTGCCTGGTAGTGCCTGGTAGTGCCTGGTAGTGCCTGGTAGTGCCTGGTAGTGCCTGGCAGTGCCTGGCAGTGCCTGGCAGTGCCTGGTAGTGCCTGGTAGTGCCTGGTAGTGCCTGGTAGTGCCTGGTAGTGCCTGGTAGTGCCTGGTAGTGCCTGGTAGTGCCTGGTAGTGCCTGGTAGTGCCTGGTAGTGCCTGGTAGTGCCTGGTAGTGCCTGGTAGTGCCTGGTAGTGCCTGGTAGTGCCTGGTAGTGCCTGGTAGTGCCTGGCAGTGCCTGGTAGTGCCTGGTAGTGCCTGGTAGTGCCTGGTAGTGCCTGGTAGTGCCTGGTAGTGCCTGGTAGTGCCTGGTAGTGCCTGGTAGTGCCTGGTAGTGCCTGGTAGAGCGGAGCGGAGCGGAGCGGAGCGGAGCAGGCCGCCTCTCGGCCAAGCTAGAGTGTATGGAGAGGCAGGCGGACATATGGGGCGCAGGTGGAAGGGGGTGCGCACTCACGCGGAAGTAGGAGTTGTCGAACCGAAGCCACTCCACGGTCCAGGACTGACCGCCAGGCGCACCAGGGCCGTCCTTCTGCAGGGAGGAGGGGGAGAGGGGGATGGGGCGAGGACGGGAGGGGAGAGGATGTGTGTGAGTGAAGGCGGGAGAGAGGCGGCGGAGCAGGTGAGAGGGGCCGAGGGGAGAGGAGGGGAGTTGAGAGTGGTGGCTGGTGCAAGCCTGCTATGCTGTTCCAAAGCATGTATTTAATTAAGTGAGGAACCTTGAAGCATGGTGCAATGCGAACTGTGTGCGTTAACCAGTGTCGAAACTCCCAGGACGTTGATAGCATGGCGCACGTCTTCTGAGATCTGGTTTTGAGACAGTGTCATGTCAAGATCCCCGGATGGTGAAGCACCTGGGCATGGTGAAGCAACGTGTTGTGGTCTCCACGTTGCCGCAACCACTCCTCTCTGGCCGACTTACAGCTTGCCCTGCCAACACACCCCGCACACCCAGCACCAACAGCATGCCCAGCACACCCAGCACACCCAGCATCCCTCCTGTCATCACCACCAGCAGCACCCCTCGTTTCTCACATTGTAGTTGATTTTAAGGCACCGCACAACTCACCGTGTACTTGGTCTCTGCCTTGCCCCACCCGCTCCTGTCTGGCCGAGCGCGGCCCAGAGTGTGTGCGCCAGACAGAGCAACAATGTCCTGTGGTGGTGAAAGGCAGGGATGGGGAGAGTACGGCGGGGGAGGGGCAGGGATGGGGAGAGTACGGCGGGGGAGGGGCAGGGATGGGGAGAGTACGGCGGGGGAGGGGCAGGGATGGGGAGAGTACGGCGGGGGAGGGGCAGGGATGGGGAGAGTACGGCGGGGGAGGGGCAGGGATGGATGTTATGAGCCCCAGAGTGTGCGCGCCAGACAGAGCAACAATGTCCTGCCATAAGGAAGGAGGGAACGACATGCATGGTTAATTCGAGGGGAAGCAATAGACAGGTGAATCTCGAGTCCTAAGCCCCAAAGTGTGTGCGCCAGACAGGGCAACAAAACATTGACCTGTCATAAGGAAGGAAAGGACATACATGGCGTAAGTCAAGGGGCAACAGATGGCCTAAGTCGAGAACCTTGCATTGCCTCTTATTGTCACACCACTTCTCACTCTCCTTGTCGTCAAGGCCCATGCGGTGGAACACCTTACTTTGCCAATATAACCACACTGCTTTTCTATCACGCTGCTTTTTTATCACCACTTCTCACTCACCTTCTCGTCAAGGCCCATGCGGTAGAACACCTTGCGCAGGTGGTCAGCAGGGGATGGTGGGCCCGCATCTGTTCAAGGAAGGCCCATGCGGAACACCTAGCCCTCAAATCCCCTCGCCATTGTAGTCCCTGTAGTCACAGTGCCTTACAGTCACACCACTGCTCGCTCACCTTGTCATCAAGGCCCATGCGGTAGAACACCTTGCGCAGGTGGTCAGCAGGGGATGGTGGGCCGGCATCTGTTTGGGGGGGGAGGGGAGATGAGTAGGGTGCAGGAAAGATGAAAGAAGAGAAGGAGAGGGGGGGGTGGGGAGGGGATGGGGAAAGGGGAGGGGGGACGAGAGAACAAGAATCAAGGGGGTGGGAGCTTATGGTGGAGGGATAGTGATGATGGTGAGGAATCAGGGTGTGCGTGTGCATGTGTATGAATGTGAAGGCGGATGTGGAGGGAATGGGGCGTGCCTGGGAGAGTGCCACCTCGGTTGCAATCCTCAAGGCTTATTTCTGGAGGCGCCTGAACAGTACGTGCCTGGGAGGGTGCCGTCAGGAGTGCAGTCCTCAGGTCCCCTGGCGTCCACACGGCCATACTTCATCGGGATCTTGGGACCTCCGGCCAGCTGGCACACACACGTACAGCCGCACACAAACACACACACACACACACACACTCACACTCACACTCACACTCACGCACACGCACACACACACACACACACACACACACACACAGGCACAGAGGGAAACAGCAAAGAAGCAAAAATCTCTTTGAGGCGCCTCAAAAGGAGTCAGCACGACGGTATGGTACTCATCCCTGCTGCGCAGCGCATCCAGACAAAACCCAGCGACGGGACTGCCCATCTCTGAGCAGTCGAATCAAGCAGCATCCCTCGCGACCATGGCGAGCCGACTGAGCTCACTCGGGACATTGGCACAGTACTAAGAAATTTACCCTGCGACCCTTGCCTTGCCCCCCATCTGAAAGATTCCTATGCGGAAACTGGCGGATCTCATGTAACCAGACGCTTGCGAATGTTTAGAAAATGCCGGAGCCCCAGCATGGGCACGAGCGGAGGCACACGCACGGACAGACCTCGACTGCCCTGGTGCCTTCTGCGGCACCGCAAAAAGCATAAGCATGCGCAAGCGCGGACGGACCTCCACTGCTATGGCGCTGGCGAGCTGGAAAAGGTCGGCGTAACTGACGGCGGGATACTTCTGCTTGATGGGCTCCAGGAGCGCGATGGCGCCCGCGAGACCTGCGGGAGAGAGGGTGGGAAGGTTGGGAAGCAAAGGAAGTGGTCGAATAAAGAGTTGATACAAACAGTCTGGAAGAGGTGAGGAGGGAGGGTGGAAGGGGGAAAGGAATGGGGAAGAGGGAGGGGGAAAGGAAGGGGGAATGGAAGGGGGGGAGGGAGGGAGGAGATTGGAATTTTTTTTACTGGTGAAGCGTGAGGGTGAGCTGACAAAAAAAGAGGCATCCGCGAGTGGCGGTAGCCCTGAACGTGGAAAAAGTACAGGAGCGTCTAGCATGCGTGTGTGCGGGCCGTACCAGCATTGGCGCCGTGCTCGATTTCAGGCTTGAAGCGGATGCTGGCGGTGGCGCCGCCCGCCTTGGGCCACTCGGCGATGCTCTTGGTGTACGTGCCCGCGTCGTGCCAGCCGAGCCGGATCTGCGCAAATGCGGAAGATACAATCGATTATACGACCAACGGGGTAAGGAACGGAACGATGGCAGGAGAATCTAACGGCTGGAATCTGACAGCAGTGTTTTCAAAGGTACACGACGATACGGTTTTGTTCGTAGGGATTGAGAGGGACCTGAACCGTCATGCTCACTTTCCGGACGCCGCAACTTATTTGTAGCACAAACGTGCGCGTACCTATATATCTTTACCTAGCCTTCAGACGGTAGTGCCTATTCTTCACGTAGCTTCTCATCCAAAAAATATAAGCATTTTCGTACCAGGATGGGGTTGCAGTGCTTGCTCTTGATGAGCTCCTTGATCTCGTCCCTGGCTCCGCGCAGCTGCTCCACGTTAGCAGACGCGCGAGCACCGGTCGAGCTGGCTGACCTCCTCAGAAACGCGGTTCCACTCAGTTGAGCAGGAGCAGCCTAACGTGGAATGTACAGAATCGTATATTGGTTGATAATGATTGATTCGTGTCAAAGGATGCTGAACAAACGAGGTCGCTGACCTCCTCAAGAACGCGGTTCCACTCAGTTGAGCAGGAGCAGCCTAACGTGGAATGTACAGAATCGCTTATTTCTCAATCATTCCTGCTAAGGCGTCTCAGAACCCAATCCGCTGACTTGGTGAAGCATGATTTGCTGGCATATGAGCAGGAGCATGCTGACCGTGGGATGCACACTTCGTAAAATTCCGACATTGAAAACTGAAACATTCTGACCATGGACTGGTAGATTGAACACTGATAGTGGCTTGCTACATGCTGGGTAATGGCATTTCTAGCGATTCTCGCGTTTCGATTCCTGATAAGCTTACACACGGATGTTTGCCGCACTGGATGTCTTACATTGAATCCAGAGCCCAGGAACTCCGACTGCAGCACTGAGGCTTTGCTGAGCGTCGCGGTCTTGGATCCCGCGAACGACGCCGAATGCAGCCGCCTGGCAGCAGCGCGGAATGGCGAGCGGATGCCGGGAAAGGCGGACGCAACGGCGGACTGGAGGTGGACGGCAGCCATAGCGTGGAGTCAGCAGCAGGTAGAATTTCTAGGCAATCTGGTGCTTCTTGGTTTTGTTGAGAGGATTGTTTGGCTGCTTCTTGGTTTTGTTGAGAGGATTGTTTGGCTATGTGCCAAGATTTGAACAAATTGATTTAGGTTTGAAGGTTGCTGATTTCCGCTCACTGCTGACATCAGCGAGATTTCGATTCCCCAAACCGCGTTCCCTTGAGATTGCTGGTCAGCCAGTTTCGAGAAATGCACTTTCGCGAAGCATCTGGCTTCGAGATTGGAGCCAACACGAATAGCTATTTGGCACCTGGAAGGGTGTGCTGATTCACGAACAGCCCCGTTAGGTTTCGAGAGAGCCAGCGTGGAGGCGCTGATAGGCTTGATGTGGCAAGGATATTCGGACATGCTCAAAAGCGAACAATCATTTGCCAGCTCAGAAGGCCATTAGGTACAGCATGTTTTAAAAGTTACTCTGTTACCAATACGTGCTGTAACCAGTTCCAGGCCAGATTCTTTCTACAAGCTGGCTCGTTGACCAGTTCAGCGGCTGTCAGATGAGGCGCACCACCGCCGAATCGCTGCTGCTGGGTGGCCGTCATTTGTTTTCTGGGCAGAATAAGCCAAGTAGTGTAACCATCTTGGTGCGAAGCACACGTTTGTCAAACCATTTTCGCATTGTTTTTTACCAGCGTGTATTGTGAAGTTTATTGTAGAAATGCACTGCATTTGCAAAAGTGCACTTGCCCAGCCCAGCCTGGTCAAAACATCACCGACAGCGAAGACTGGAATCAGGGGGGCGGTACCGGCGCTGAAGCCGAACCAGCCAGGGGTGCAACCGTGTCGCAGGCGCATTCCCTCAATGTGGTGCGCTGATGGCGCATGACAAAATTCAGGAAGGCAGCGTTCCGCACGGAACGGCACCGAAAAGGGCCCTCCCGCCCCGCTCCACCCCACTTCTCCCCCTCTCCCTCAAACCCCCTCCCCCCCACCTCTCCGCCAGCACCGACTCTCCTCCCCATTCACATTCGGAGTTTCAAACCCGAGAATGATTTACTGTACTTTGCAGAAGGGAGGCACCCCTCGTGTCGATCCAGCAAGCAAAAGTTTCATTTGAAGTGGCAACTGTGCTGCTACACGATGGGCTTGCTGTGCGATTGCGACGTACGCAGCATCCGCCGCCACCGCCGGGATGTCATTTCATTTCCCGCCTGTCGAGGACGTTGATGGGGTTGACTCTTCCCTCTCTCCTATGAATGGAAGCTTTTGTACAGTAATCTCCCCCCTCAACTATCCTGTGCTGCCTCCCACGTCGCGCGGACGATGTGCTCGCTCTCTCTCTCCTCCCCCATGACCCGTCGATTCTTGACCAGCACTCGCTGAATCCGTCCTCAGCCACTTTTCCCCCTCCATTCCCCCGGCCTGCTCAATTCTTTCGCACTGTCCATTCCCCCAAGTTCGGTGATCTGATCAACACCTCCTCACATCATCTCATTTCATCGGCCCCAGTGTCCGTGCCTCTCCGTCCTCTCATCATCACAGTGACAACCTTTTTGCTTTTGATTTACAATACCACTTTGCCTATCAAGCCGTTTGTGTCGCTGCCGCATTGTTTTGCAAGTATATACGAGGAATAGATTGGCTTCTGACGCTTTGTCGATTTTTCGAGCTGCCAGCTCACTAATCTGCCTTGGATCGACGTCTCTATGTGAAATTCCTTCACGGCGTTCCCTCCTTCTGAAATATTTAGATAAAGGCTGCCAGCCCTTCGCCGCGTCACATAAATCAGACTCGCAATGGCTCGAGTATCGGGGAGAGGTCTGGCGACTCTTCTGCTCTTTGCTGTCGTCAGCTTGCAGTGCGTGGCGCAAGTCACGCCAGCTTATACCGGGTATCAGCAGTTGGTAGCGAAGCTGACGAAGAAGAAATACACCACCGCTCTTGCCGCGTGGCAAACGTCTGGTGAGTCGCGAGCACCGTCCGCTGTTCGTAACATTTTCCGAAAAGCTGTGAACTTTTTTTCCATGGTCTTGAAGAACACTGGGAAGCCGAGGCAGCGTTCACACATATTTGTTTGTCTTCTGAAATGTGTGTCATCCTTTTGATTGTCACGACTGTCACGCCTTAAACGCTGCAACGCTATTCGTTTCGCGCGATTCCGTGCCGCGCTTGCCGTTTCTCTTCGCCATCTGCTTGAGATCGCGACGTCAAAGCTCGTACCGACCGAAATATTCCTTCAGACGTAATTCTCAGGGAGCTGCAGTAGCGAAGCTAGGCTTAAAGCAAAAGAAGAAACAGCTTGGGATCGCGACGTCAAAGCTCGTACCTACCGACTGTGATTGGTCTTTTTTTCTGAGTCGACTCATAAATAGACCTACGCCGTCTGCTTGGGATCGAGACGTCAAAGCTCGTACCGACCGAAATACGTCTTTAGTGTCAACCTGATGGAGCATTACTTGAAGGTTTCGGCATCGTGAGTGTCTTTTGACGCGCTTCGAAGGTCAAAGCTCGTACCGACCGAAATGCTCTTTCAAGGTCAGCCTGATGACTTTTACATTACTTCCACGTTTCGGCCACGTGACTGTTATTGACGTCACGCGTCCCGAAACTTGCAAGTTCGGTCCGACTGAAGCTTTTAATTTGAATCTTATCCTAGATTCCTGATTTAGAGCTTCGATTCCGAGTTTCGATATGAATTATCGATGTAATGGGCTAATGTACGAGTCAGTATTTGTCAGTGGGTCCATCTCGGTGAAGCCTGTGGTTGCCCTCGATTTTTTGTGCTTCCCTGGAACGTACCATTCCCCATTCCCATCCCCATTCTCCCTCCTATTCTCCACAATCATTCCCCGGTTTCTTACCCCCCCTCGGCCCCCACTTCGCGTCTCGCCCTCCACCCCTTATCCAGTCCCACCTGTCGCTTCCCTTCTTGAACCTCCCCCGTCGCTTTCTTGCATCCCCGCGCCCCCCTCTCAGCGTGCGCATAGAGGGTATTTCCGAAGGCTCCTCCTATTACGACAGGGTACTCTTGAGCCTGTCTCATGCGACCCTTTCTTTCGAATGGTCGCCTTCGTGCTCTCGCTCGCTCGTAATCTCTACCCACCCTGCTTTTGAGTCGACTCAAAAGCCTTCGTGCTCTCGCTCGCTCGTAATCCCTACCCACCCTCCCCGACGAGATGACTCCCCTCTCCCCCCTCGCCCTTGTATGTGTCCTTCTTTCTCTCCCAGGCAACGATATCACGACCTCGCCGGTGCATCTCTTTCCCATCAACTCTGCTTGTCTATCTCTCGCTCATTCCCACCCAGGCCCCAACACCAAGCTCCGAAAGTGCCCGCCAACAGATGGAAGGGACTTTCGAGTCATCAATCTCGCCTCAATTGAGCGTTCCAGATTGGTCGTGCTCGTGCCATCAATAATCTCGCCTTTTCTCTCATCTATCTCTGTCACCTCTCCCTATCCTGCTATCTCCCTCTTCTCTCTCTCGATCTCCCGCCGCCCCCTTTTACCTCCTCCAGGCCTCAACAACAGCTCAGGAAGTTTCTACCAACGTTGCAGTTGACTTCCCCCGTGTCTCTCTCTCACCTTTTGCTCCCTTCCCCCGTGCCACCTTTTGCTGACTTCCCCCGTGTCTCTCTCTCTCTCACCCCTCTCTCGCCTCCCCCCCAGGCCTGAACAACACGCATAAGCAGTACCTCCCAACGTCGCAGATGGCGGGGTTGGTGCCGTCTCTTTCTCGCTTATCCCGCATCCATTTCTCCTCTCCTTCGTCCTCCCCCCCTCGCAGGCCTGAACAACACACTCAACGTCTCAGATGACGATACTGGTGCTGCGCAACAGTAAGTTTAAACTTTTGAGTCGACTCTAAAGTCAACTCAGATGACTATACTGGTGCCGTGCAACAGTGAGTTTGTCAAGCTCACGGGCAGCTTCCTCTCATCTACCCACCTCCCTTTCTCCACCCCCCCTGCCCCCACCTCCCCCAGGCCTGAACAACACGCTGAAAAAGTACCTGCCAACGGCCAAGATGACGGTGTTTGTGCCGCGCAACAGTGCGTTTGACAAGCTCACGGGCAGCTTCCATTATTCTAAACTCAAGAAGAACCGGCCTGCGCTGCTCCAAGTCATGTCCTTCCACGTCCTGAAGCAACGCTTCTACGACTCCACGCTGCAGGCACTCAAAGTGGGCACGCAGGTGAGAATGGCGACTACTTTTTGTCGTATTCACGTTTTTGTTTTTCACTCTCTCTCGCGCTCTCTCTATCAGTGTGCTTCAAGCAACCCTTCTGCAACTCCACACTAGGCACTCAAAGTGGGCACGCAGGTGAGAATAGGATAGAACTGGAAGCATGGCAGTATTAGCACCAGGTCGTGTCATTCCACGTCTTAGAAGCAACGCTACGACTCGACGCTGCAGGCACTCAAAGTGGGAACACAGGTGAAAGTGGCGACTACTTTCACAGTTAAGAATGGAAAAGCTTTTGCTGCGCCTCCAGTGTATTTCTCTCCGTATCCCTCTAGCAGCGCTTCCACGCTGGAGGCACTTAAAGTGGGCACGCAGGTGAGAATGCGATCACTCTCGTTTTGCTTACTTTCTCTGTAATATTTCCAGTTTCTCTCTCTTTGTGCACTGCACGTCAAGCCGCGATTCTACGACTACACGCTACAGGGGCTTTAAGTGGGGGAGGCCTTCTGGTAGGAAAAGAGGTGCTCAGAAGAAGTCTTGGAAGATTTACTAATTCTTTTTATGTCCTTCGAGGAAAACACTACGGGCACACAGGTAAAAAGAGGTGCTCTGAAGGAGCCTTTAGCATAAAAGTATGATTTCTCTTGTCCTCTGGGGAAATCAGCTGCTGTAAAAACCCAGTCAAGTGGGCAGGCAGGTAGGTATTAAAGGGCAACACTCGAATTGCTCAACGGAGTCAACGCGGGAAAAATAGCTTCGGAAAGGCAGGCAATTGGAGGTTCGGAAAACTTCCGAAACCCTTTTGCCCTGAACCCAGCAGGGGCGAGACGCAAACTGGGGCCAGTTTGTGAAGGCTTTTCTGTAAATCAAGGGCTGGGCTTTAAGAGTAATACAAGCAGAACTTTACCAAGAAAGGGGCTTTTGAGGGACTTGTGATCGTAGTTTCTTTTTCCCTCCCTCTCCTTCCCTCTTGCGTTTGCAGTTTGGCACCCTGGATTACAAGTTTGTGATGGTGAAGGCAGGCACCAAGCCGGCAAGGTTCACCAAGCTTGGAGCTACGGGGGGGCTCCAGATTGTCGAACCAGACCTGTATGTCGATCCGCAGGTCATTGTGCATGGCGTTAACACCGTCATCATCCCACCCAAGATCCTATAAATGGATGGAAAACAAGAAGGGTAGCATATGATTTGTTCCCACGTACAATGCAAATGCTTATGGGGGTGTTCCAGTCCAATATAGTAGGGGGTATCAGTTAGGGGGTTATTTAGGTGTTCCTTAATCCTATCACCATGTTCTAAGGGTACGTTCCTGTGGAGACACTTGTGTCTCAATCCCCTCTTTTCCGAGTCGCGTCTACACATTTTTGCAATCTCGCGTCACAAAAAATGAGTGTATCACGAAACTGTGCGACCAGGTGAAATTTACAGCTGTGCTCATTTGATTGGATTTCAAACTTGACTGAACACCTGCTTCTTCAACTGTCTGGTTCGGGTGGGGTTTTGACGAGCGGAACTTTTTCCCGCGCGAGATTTTTACTGTGGAATGTTCAGGTGCATTGACATTTCGAACCGCGTACAGAGTTGTTGACAATGACGGGTCGATACGCAACTCGTCCGCGACATCAGCGCGTTTCACGCTGACAAATGAAAAATACATTAAAAGTCGCACAAGGCGACACGCGTTTGTGACATTGTACGTTATAAGCTGGTTTTACGCGTCACAAAAGGATTGAGACACAAGTGTCTCCACAGGAACGTACCCTAATTGCACAAATGCCAAATGACAGCGCACCTGTGGCAGAAACAATTTTCTTAATCCTAGCACTTATGTTCAATTGGTAAGCTAGGTACCGGACCGGGATACAAATACAGGCGGCGAAACTGATGCCATCATTCACTGGTAGAACAAATCGAGCGATAATGAAAGGTTGAAATTTAGGCCTCCTGAGCAGCTTGATAAGTTTTGACATAGGTGCGATGGCGGCTCGCGAGTGAGTGGTTGGAACACCATACGCGCTGTAGGGTTGGTCGAGCCACAATTTTTGGTGCCTTCGGTGTACGCGCTGTAATCCGCCAACAGCAAGGAATTACAGTAACGATTTCTGACATTCTCCCATCTTCTAGCGACCCACCTGAAAACCGCGCTGGGTTCACGGGTGTTGCTCCAGGAAGTGGCACGCAAGCTTTGGTTGGGGCTGGTGTGGCACTGGCGATACCCTGAAATCCACTGTTGTACAGCCCAACTCCCCTGGTTGGGAAACAAAAACCGACAGTCCACTGTACCGCGCACGCTGGCCCCCCCCCCCCTGCCCCCCCCGAGCCCCGATAACCGACGTGCGCTTGATACTGCAGCCACCGACAATGTGACACGTCAGGGCCGCCAAACCGAACGAATCTGTCAGCCCAAACGCTTTCCTTCCCGCGGCTCGTTCATACATTGTATATCACTCACCGACCTCCCCTCCCCCCACCCCACGAATGGAAGCTTCTAGCGATGTTTTTGCTCGCCCCGCCTGCTCGTCACCCCAGTGACCAGTTGTTGCTCCTCCATCCCACACAACCCAACCACAGTTCCAGCCCATTGTAAACCCACAATACCCCTTATCACCGCATATTTACCATCCTAACCACAACACTTCACTCGTCCGAAGGCGTTTTTCTCAGCCCCCTCCCCCCCCCCCACCAGCCCCCCATCCCCACTGACCTGCATTGCTGTTCTTCACCTTCGCGTCGTGCTTGCTGCTGGTGCCACGCCCATCCAATCCATAACGTCCAGTTCGCTCATACCCTCCCCACGTAGTGCTGGTTTGGATAGGGCGCGTCCCCTCCCTCGATCGATCCGGCCCTCGATCGATCGAGGGACCTGTACAGTTTCGCAATTGACAGGGTTGCCACATTTCGAGATGGCTAGCGGATGTACACTGGGGCCCAACGATCTTGTCACCTCCCCTGATGACGATCGATATGCCTGGATGGCCACACCGATCTCGGCTTTTGTAGGATCGAGAGTTTTTCCCCCTTGAATTCTCGATCCCCTCACCCTGGGCTCGAGATCGATCTGCGGCTGTCACCTCCTACCAATCCCTCCCCAATCCTGCGATCGGTGTGCCCGATCGGTTTTCCACGTCGATCTCGCGATCGATTGAGGGAGGGGACGCGCCCTAACTCATCCGCACGGTCTGGTGATCTAGTTTCTCCCGTCGCTGTGTCTCGTAGTTTGCTCCTACAGACAGTTCGTGGTGCTGTTCGCCAGCACATCGATTCTTGAACAGAAAACGATGGCATCGGCATCGCGACCGCATATGGAAACGGGGGCGGAACCCTCCTCCGAGGTTTGGGCGTAATGCCGCCCGAGAAACTTCACGCACACGAAATGGGAAATTACGCAGCCGCATCGGGAAGGTCCATCCCCACTTTCCCCCCTGTGGCGCGAAAGTTTAGCCTCACTGACCCTTGTGCTGCCCGCTGGCCAAAATTTTCTCAGCGTGGGTAAAAAGCGCAAATAAAACACCTCCCGCTCAAACACAACCCCCGCCACCTCGTGCTCACGACCAAGTTATCTGCGGGGGGCATTTCGAAGGTGTGTTTGGGATGGAAAAATGGGGGGTATACGAACCCCCCTTTGTCAAACTGCAGGCTTGTTCAAGGGTTCCCCTCTGAACAGTAATGCGTCGGCTGTGTCACCGCTGTGCTTTGAAAAACGCGGCATGACGATGGCATGGCTAGGGGATGGTATTTTGCCTGGGGACGAAGTTTCGTCCCCGCTTCCATATGCCGTCGAACGTTAGAATTGGTGGACAAAAGTGGGCGTTCGCCAGACGCCCAGTTTGTTTGTTGGTTTGGACGGTAGGTGAGGCTCGGCACTTTTTTCACGGGCTGACCCGGCTGACGGAGGTAAACGAACTCTAACTGACGGGATCAGGAAGGCGAGAGGAACATTCCTGATCCCGTCGTTATCCCGTTGTTTTTGCTATAATGGTGCTGGCGAACAGCCCCCGTGTTTCAAGCACTGCTCGTCGGGCTCCCTGTAAGAAAGAGGTCACCTCTACCGCATGCACTTACCCCCTGGTTCGAAGCCACCACTCTAAGACTGTCTCTAAGTCACTGTAGTTAACTTCTGCATCTCAGAAGAACTCGTATACAACGGGACTACCTTTTTACGTATTTTTTTGCGAAGTTCCGCGAACGTCTTTTACGAAGTTTCTCGAACGTCTCTTTCATAAAGTTTCCCTCACCATGGATCGAGCATCAAGAAGACGCCCGGCGTTGCTTCTCGTCCTTGCTGCTGTCGTCACCGTGCTCTGCCTCGTGCAAGTCGCGTCAGCTTATACCGGGTATCAACAGATGGTAGCGAAGCTGAAAAAGAAGGGCTACAGCACGGCTCTCGCCGCGTGGCAGACGTCTGGTGAGTCGAAAGCTGCTGGTAAGGCGAGGCAGCCGATTACGGGAACCAGCTGGTTAGGGTATTGACGTCTCAAAACTCTACGTCTTGTTGCCAGTAACGCGAGCAGCTGATTTTCAGTGCCGACTCAGAAACTTTCAGTCGAAGATTGCCGGTGAGGTGCAGGCGGTTAGGGGAACCAGCCAGTTACGGGGACGCACCGGCCGCTGAAGAGGACAAGCTGGTAAGGGGGACAGACCGTCAACAGGGACATGCGGGTAACGGCGACAAACGGCGACATGCATTCCAGGGTGACTTTTGAGTCGACTCAAAAGTCACCTCTTAACAGGGATATGCGGGTAACGGCGACAAACGGCGACATGCATTCCAGGGACAGTGGAGTAGTAAATTTGCGGTTACTAGCATGAAAGCGGTTTGCGGAAGGGGATATTACCGAGGCGAGTCGGCAGCCTACCATAGCCGATCCGTCACGCGATGACTCTAAGGTGACTCGAGCTGACTGTCGTTGTGGCGCCGCGCAGAGCGATACGACCGTTAGGGTGCCGCGCAGCGGGATACGACCGTTGGGGTGCCTCGCTCTCTCTCGCTCCTATCTACTCCCATGATGACCGTGCTTGTGCGCTCTCTTCCTCCCAATCCCAATTCTCTCCCCCTCTCTCGTTCTCATGTCCCCGTGTTTCTCGCACCTCCCCCATCCTCCCACCCTCCCCCAGGCCTGAACAACACGCTCAAGCAGCTCCTGCCGACGTCCAAGATGACGGTGCTGGTGCCGTCTCGTTCTCACATCCCCGTGTCTCTCTCGCCTCCCCATTCCCCCACTCCCCCCTCCCCCCTCCCCCCTCTCCCACGCCCCCAACCTCTCCCCCAGGTCTCAACAACACGCTCAAGCAGTACCTGCCGACGTCCAAGATGACGGTGCTGGTGCCGCGGAATAGCGCGTTCAGCAAGCTCACGGGCAGCTTCCAATACTCCAAGCTCAAGAAGAACCCCAAGGCGTTGCTGCAGGTCATGGCGTACCATGTCTTCAAGCAACGCTTCTCCAACACTACCTTACAGGCGGTGAAAGTGGGCACGCAGGTGAGTTGTGGCAATTATTTCTATTGCATTTTCGGTGTGCCAAGCAATGCTTGCTCAATCCCGTGCTAAGGAAAAACATTCCCGTGGCCCTCTTCTTCCCTCCGTCCCTCCATCCCTCCACCTCTCATGCTCGCGACACTAAAGCGAGATGAGTCTCAATATAGTTTGATCTGGCAACCCTCTCCCGTTCCTTCCCCCTTGCTCCGGCATTTTGAAACCCTGTATTACAATCTTATTATGGTTAAGACAGGCATTTAACCGGCAAGGTCCAACAGGGAAGGAGCTTCTGAGGGATTTGTGTAATTAACTGCGCCCTTCCCCTCCCTCCTTCATTCTCTTGCTCCTGCAGTTCGCCACGCTGGATTACAAGTATGTGATGCTTAAGACTGGATCCAAACCAGCAAGGTTCACCAAGAAAGGGGCCTCTGGAGGAGCTAAAATTATTGCTGGAGACTTGTATGTGGACCCACAGGTTATTGTGCATGGTGTGGATACCGTCATCATCCCACCCAAGATTCATAAGTGAGGGTATGGGCCTCTGGAGGAGCTAAGATTATTGCTGGAGCTAAGATTATTGCTGGACCCACAGGTGATCGTGCATGGGGTAGACACTGTCGTCATCCCACCTAAGATTGTAAAGTGATGGATGGGGAAGGGGGATGGGATGGGCCTTTGGAGGAACTAAGATCATTGCTGGGGGGACCTGTATGTGGATCCAGAAGTTATTGTGCATGGTGTAGACATGGTCATCATCCCTCCCAAGATTGTGAAGTGATGGATGGGGAAGGGGGATGGATGGAAGGTCTTCGTAGCGTCCAGTTAGTTTTGTAATATAGTGCATCCGGTTCTGGAAGTTGTAGTTGGAGCTCTCTAATGCCACTCTTATAGATTTGGATATTTACGTTGCTTTTTTTCGTGTGCACTTCAGGATATACACTTTGCACCGTACACCCTGAACATGGAGGTCACGCATTATGTTCATATTGCAAGCCTAACGCCTACAGTATAGGGTTGTCGAAAAGCACGTTCACGTGCTGTTATACACTCCAATGGACCAACCAACGAGCTTTTTATTATAAGTGATTAGTAACCCCTAAATAGGCGACAAGAATGTCTGTCTGATACAAGCTCGGTGTCCTTATTCCTTGCCACAGTCTCGCCCTAATAGAGCTTGGGTGGCATAACCACCATACTCACACCGTGTATAATCACGCGCGGGTCTGAGTACACATTTGCGTCGATAATCAGAGCGCCGATTTTGGATCCTTTGGCACCCATGATTGGGCGCGTATCCTTGATTCGTGCCATGGTAAACTCGAAGTCTAGGGTAGGGACCTGCGATTGGAGGAACGTGGGCGGGAAAGGCGGGGATGTGGGGGAGAGGGGAGAGTTGAAAATACATGTGGTTACGGAGGGAGAGGGAGGGAGAGAGAGGGAGAGAGAGGGAGAGAAAGGGAGGGAGAGAGGGAGGGAGAGAGAGGGAGGGAGAGAGAGGGAGGGAGGGAGGGAGGGAGAGAGAGAGAGAGAGAGAGAGAGAGAGAGAGAGAGAGAGAGAGAGAGAGAGAGAGAGAGAGAGAGGGAGAGAGAGAGAGAGAGAGAGAGAGAGAGAGAGAGAGAGAGAGAGAGAGAGAGAGAGAGAGAGAGAGAGAGCGCGTATTGAAAGGCCTCCTTGATAACTCCGCGATGCTCTTTACATGGCGCACCCTTGCTCGATGCTCCTCAACTCCTGAAACTTTGCCTGGAAATCACCATGAAACTCCAACTTTCCTTCACCGCCCCGCCCTTACCGTGGTTCCAACCGACAGCGCTTTAATCTCCAGGAAGCGCATCCGCGTGCGCAGCGTGTGGTACGCGAGGATCTGACGGAGCTTGTCGGGCGTCTTCTTTAACCCCTTCCACGGCGCCGCCGTCAGCTTGTAAAACGCGCCGTTAGTTGGGACGAGAATCGTCACGTTTCTCGTCGGGAGGAGCTTGATCAGCGTGTCGTTCAGACCCGAGATGCCGAGTCCGTCGAGCGCGATCGAGTAGCCCTTGGCCTTTAACGCGTCGACGATGCGCAGATACGCGAGCCGCCCCGAGTATCCCGCTTGCGCGGCCACGCGCGGCGTGAATTGCGGCGAGGAGGCGAGGAGGAGCAGGAGGGAGATCGACAAGCAGAGGAAAACAGTTCGCCGGTCCATCATGCGCTGTAGCTTACTAGCTCCGAGCTCGAGGCGCCTAAAATACTAAATGATACTCTGGAGTCGATTGCCTTAACGGGGTCGAGTAAATGATAGATTCTTACTCAAAGCGCGGTCGGAGTCGATGGGCCAATCTGGCACCAGCTAGTGTATAAATATGGGTTGTAATAACACACGGGAGCAGTACAATCTCACTCACGACACCTAGACGGTAGCTTGAAAACCTGGTTGAAAGCTTGGCCTTAGAACCTGACCTCTGTCGGCTTTGTAACAAAATTTGCAAGGGCGTACTTGCCCAGGAGAACCTAAAAGAACGTACATGTACGTACACAAGGCGCAGGATAGGCAAACAAGGAGGTGGAGGAAGGCACTTTCAGGGGAAGGGATGGTGCTAAGCTAGTTGGCAGGTGGGGCTGGGCTGCTGTGCTTGTGGTGAGATGTGTATGCCAGCCGCAATACACTTGAATGCGATGGGGAGAGATGTGCTGCGTGGTAGAGCGGTCTGTATTTTATCATGAACGCTTGGATAGGGTTTATTCGGGTTACGAAATTGAATGCCGCACCTGCAAGTCGGTTGAGAGCGAATTTCCAGATTTCGGGCATTGAAGGGTGGGTTTGTAGGCGGCCAATGTTCTTTCTCGCTCGCGACCCGGATCGGGGTGGTGGTCATTTCTGCGCTGCGAGGGTGGATGCGGGTGGGAGACAGCTCTCGCCTTGCGCATTGGAGTGGAATCGAGTGTGGCAGCAAGCAAACCAATGTTAACTCGTTAGACGCGTCTCTGCTGGGCTTATTAAATGGAGCTTGCACTTTGAAAAGCTGAACGTCAGTATCAATGCCATGTACAACTTTCTTGCAACATATGTGGCTCCAAACCAGGGCCCACGTTATCAGGGCAAAACATCCTGATTACCCTGAATTCAGGATGCAGTTTTGAATTTACCCTGTCATTTCAGAATAGTGCCAATTTTCACCCTGAGGTCCCAGGATGTTTTTATATGCAATGCCCTGAACTCTCAGGATGGCCGTAGTGTTCCCCCCTGTAGCGTCAGGATGAATATCGAGGCCAGCCCTGACGCGTTTTTTTTTGGGGGGGGGGGGGGGGGGGGAGGGGTTTCGTCCCTGGGGACTTTCGTCTCCGGTGATTTTTTCCCCCGTGTGTGTTTCCCGCCTTCGCACGATCTCCTTGAGAGTTCTGTTCCGATCCCCCGCAACGCACCAGCCAAGACAAACCCATCAGACTAGGGGGAACTGTGAAAGAATGAGGAATGAATGCACTAGGAAACAGGTGGGTACAAGTAGGAAAACCTAAAAGTGTTGTACCCCATATTGTCTACCCCACTACAGTCTACACTGACTATAGCATATAAGTTTGACACACCCCCATAGACAAAGTGGGGGAGAACAAGAGGTCACAAGACCAGCCAAGCAAAGAAAAGCAAGCTCAGGGTGGATCACAACGTCACCACACATTCCGAGCACAAGTTCAAGGCCACAAGGCCAGTTCACATGCAAGATCATATATAAAGGTAAACAAGCAAGGGCATGTATAGAAAGATCACAGTACAAGCAAGGTCAAGAAGTCAGCAAGTGAGGCCAAGTAGGCACAAGACCTAGCATCGTACAGCAGGGCTGATGATCACAAGGCGGAAGTGCCTTGGTAAAGATATCAGCAGTGTTGGCCTCAGAGGCCACGTAAGCAAGGCGCAGCTGACTACGCTGCTGCAGCTCACGAGCAAGGAAGTAGCGAAGAGCAATGTGCTTCGTTCTGTGCTCCAGTCTGTGCTCCCGACACAAGGCCAGCATGGCCTTGTTGTCTACGTACAGAACTGGAGGAGAACGAGGCGGCTCTCCTAGGTCAGTCAGCAGGTAGGTGAGCCAGCGTAGCTCCTGTGCAGCCATGGCCCCCGCATAGATCTCAACCTCACAGCTGGAGCCGAGAACAGAAGACGAGCGGGTAGACCGCCACGAAACAGAGCCGGAACCAAGGCTGAAGGTGTAACCCTGTGACGAAGGTCCCCAGGGGCGAGGGTGCCGCGGCGGGCAGGGGCGGCGGCGGCTGACACGGCAGCGGCGGCGGCGGCTGCTGGTGTCGGCGGCGGCGGCGGCTGCTGCTGTCGGCGGCGGCGGCTGCTGCTGTCAGTGGTGGCGGCGGCTGCTACGGCCGGGGCAGGGGCGGCGGCGGCTGCTACCGTCGGCGGCGGCGGCGGCAGCTGCTGTCGGCGGCGGCGGCTGCTGCGGCCGGGGCAGGGGCGGCGGCGGCTGAGAAGGGGCCGCGGGGCCTCGAGGGGCCGTGTGAGGGGCCGCGAGGGGCCGCGAGGGGCCGCGAGGGGCCGCGAGGGGCCGCGAAGGGGCCGCGAGGGGCCGTGAGAGGGGTCGCGAGGGGCCGCGAGGGGCCTCAAGGGAGCCGCGACGGGGCCGCGAGGGGCCGTGGGAGGGGCCGCGAGGGGCCGCGAGGGAGCCGCGAAGGGGCCGCGAGGGGCCGTGAGAGGGGCCGCGAGGGAGCGGCTAAGGGGCCGCGAGGGGCCGTAAGAGGGCGCGACGGGCCGCTAAGGGCAGGGGACGCGACGGGAGGTCAGGCACACGGGGCGCGACTCGGGCAGGGGCGAAGCGCGCTCCGGGCAGGAATTTTTTTTTTTTGATTTTTCGGTGGGCCCTAGGAAGCGTTCCCACTAGGGAACTTGCTCTATACCATGTGAAAGAATGAGGAATGAATGCACTAGGAAACAGGTGGGTACAAGTAGGAAAACCTAAAAGTGTTGTACCCCATATTGTCTACCCCACTACAGTCTACACAGACTATAGCATATAAGTTTGACAGGAACAGGTTGGGCAAGGCAACTCGTCGTGTGCCATGCATGCACTAGCTGGGTGTCTCTCTGAGCACTCCTCCATCCAACCCAACCAACTCTCTTCCAGTGTTGCTGTTTGAGTAGCACAGGTGAAGCTCGGCTGGCTCATTCGTACTAGTCATGGCCAACGAGAACGATGGCGCGACGCCAGTATCACGAGGTCTTACCGGCTTAGATTTCTTGCGTCCTGTTCGAGCGGTGTCCACGTTACCAACGGCCTCACCTGCAGCTGGTTCATCTCGAACTCCCGCAGTCACACCCGCCCGTGCTAGTACGAACAGCACAAACGTTGTGCCACCTGGTGCGACACGCATCGGCCCTGCCCCTAGTGCTAAATTAAGAGCTACCAAGCACAAACAGTCGCGCTTGTCGTTCTCTCGCGAGAGTCCTACGGAACCCACCGTACGTATCCGCTTAGAGCCAGCTGTACCAGGACCATCGGCCGTTCCTGCTGCATCTTCATCGACGGAGGAACTGCGCGATGAGGCAGAGGATAAATACCAGGAGGCGCTTATGAAGTACAAACGGGAATGGTCAACTGATTTCCCGTGGCTCGTGCTTTGTCAAACTTCCTTCGGTTTCCCATCACTGAGGTGCAATTTGTGTATCAAGCACGCAGGACACGGCACAAACTACGGCGCTGCTGGCGAAGGAGCCGTCGACGTCCAAACCCAGGCGTTCCGCACGCATCAAAACTCTAGGAAGCACAAACGGTCCGTCAAGAGACATGCCCTGGCGGAGCAGGCGGCTGAGAAGCAGCAGCGCATCGTGGACTGTCCAAAGGCCGGAGACATCCAGCGCGTAAGGGTCATCGCTCTGCTGGAGACCCTGCTGTTCATCTGCAAATGTGACGCACCGATTGAGATGTGGGTTCAATTCGTTCGGCACCTTGCAGAGCGACAGGCACCTGGCTTCCCGAAGAATGGCTACGGTGCTTATTACACCAGGTGAGCCGTTGATCAACAAATGCTGCTATACCCGAGAACCTTTGTATGGAGGTTGTGCACAACCTGATCACTGTTACTAACCCTCAGCTGGAGTACCTTGTTCCGTTTGATGCAGATACGGGTTTGCCGAGCTCATCGCAAGCACTGCAGCATATCTCCGTGCTCGTCAGCAAGTCTGGTTGCAGTCTAGTCCATTCATCGGAGTTACCTGTGACGAGAGTACAGATCGTGTGCATGGCAAACACCAGATCGTGTTTGCCACGTTTCTCCGTGACTCTCGTGTAGTCACTGAGTTCATTGGTCTACTGACGGTGGAGAAATGCGATGGCGCTTCGTTGCTTTCCCTGTTGCTGACCCTACTTGACTCTCTTGGAATCGACATGAGCAGGGTGGCCGGGATTAGCACGGATGGCGCAGGTGCGATGATGGGTAGCACAAATGGCCTGGTGGCTCGGCTGCGTGTAATGGTCCCGCACCTCTTCTCCAGCCATTGCGTTGCACATCGGTGAGTAATATTGATTGCCTGCGGGTGTTGTTTATACCTACCCATCACGTTGCGCAGAAAGTGGAAGGCAGGCAGGCGCTCATATGATCTACCGCTCAGGCCATTCCCCACCCTTACTGTATCCCCCCTACTTTCCTGTCCCCCCCCCCCTCCCTCCCTCCCCGCTCCAGACTTGACGTTGATCTGCTTCATATTCTCCTCGTGGACGGACAGCAACGGCCCGCATAAACAGTCGATGCAACTCCTCCCTCCTTAAACCAAACCTCCCCTTCTCTCGTGCCCACACCGTGTCGTGCAGAGAGGCCCTGGCAGCCAAGGACGCCGCCATTGCAGTCCCTGAGCTGGGCCTGATCGACTACGTCCTGAAGGAACTTGCGGAATACCTGGGGAGGTCGCATCCCTCTCACAATGAGTTCCAGGAGCTGCAGGAGGTGTTCTGCAAAACAAACCTTGAACTGCAGGGAATTCACTCAGTTCGTTGGCTGAGCCGCGGCGATGCCATCACGTGCTTGGTGCGTGTTCTCCCTGCCGTCATCGTGCTCCTGTGGGAGTGGGACGACGTCTGGTACCACATTGTGACTTCAGTGAAGTTCAATGTGTACCTTTACTACCTCGCGGACATGCTCAACATCCTCAACACCCTCAACCTGGAGTTTCAGAGGCAGGAGGTGAGTAGCCTTTGTAAGCCGAAGACCATTGACTGTGCTCGTTGTACGGTCCTTGTAAAATCTGTACCTTGTCATGTTACAGGTCGACATGACATCGGTGCAGTCGACCGTGCGCCGCACCCTGATCACCATCCGAACGCGCTACATCGAGTGCGGCGATGACTTCGGTGGCGGCCCACAGCTACACCTCGGGGCCTTCCTAGCCAGGCTCAGTAAGTCTCCGAAAATCACTGTGGCAGGTGTGGACAAGGAGGGGGAGAAGCGACAACACAAATTTGAGCTGCACGAGGAGCCATTGACGGGCTACAGCAAGACAGCTGATGACCTGCAGTCGTGCCTCGACGTCTGCCGCTGCCATGCCAATTCGACGCTCACCCACCTCCAGAAGAGGCTGGGGGACCTCGAAAGCTTGAACGGTGTCCGGCTTTTTATGCCAGACACATACCCTGAAGACAAGGAGGGACGCGCAGAGGAGTGTCGCGAGCACTTCGAGACTCTCGTCGACTTGTTCCATGCCCGCGAGCGAGCAGACATCCTCCCGGGTAAGCAGAAGTAGATTGTCTTACCCATTCTGCCAAGTTCTGTCCTTGCTCTGTGTACATCCAGCGCTTTTACTTGCTCTGCCCCTGCTTTGTGTTTAACCTGCTGGACTCCGTGTTCTGTCCCTGTTCTGTCCCTAACCAGGAAATTTCATGCTCCGTCCCATGGGAGCAGGTTGCCCTTGTGTATAACCAGAATCACAGGCTGCCCAAGGGAGCGGGCAGCACTGTGTATAACCAGAATCACAGGCTCTTCTGTCACTGTTATGTGTGTAATGCGTGGCAGGTGTGGACAAGCGTGCCGCCAAGAGAGAACTGAGGACATTTGTCCCTGTTCTGGCTGGCGCTCCTAAAGGCGAGCGCACATTTCAACGAGGACTGGCGGCCATGCTGCGAACGAAGGACTGGGAGCGGAGCTACCCCAAACTCGTCCGCCTCTGGACAGCGGTGGCTGTCCTGCCGCTCAGCACCGTCGAGTGTGAGCGCGGCTTTAGCCGCCAGAACGTGATTAAGTCCTGGCAGAGGACCAGCCTCTGTGATGCCAGGCTCAGTGACTTGATGTGCCTGAGCCTAACTGAGTACGACATGGAATGGGGGAAAGTTGTGGATTTGTGGCGCAGCAGCAAGAAGAGGAGGCCTACTAAGCGAAGGGAGCAGCAGAGGAAGGCGGGGAAGGGGAACGTCTTGGAGGACGGACAAGACGCAGATACTGAACATGGCAGCAGCAGCGACAGTGGGTTTAGTAGCAGCAGCGATGATGATGATGAGGAGGAGGAGGGCTAAGAGGTGGTGCAGGGGTTAATTGAGTAGTAAAACACCTACTATACGTGTGATGCGGCTGCTCTGCTCTGCTCTGCTCTGCTCTGCTCTGCTCTGCATCACAGAGTCTGGTCTTTGTCTGTGCTAAAATCTGAACCCTGAACACTATAGTTTTTGCCCTGACAGGTCAGGATTAGTTTCTGCACAAGCCCTGAACATACAGGAAGGCTTGGAAAATTTGCCCTGACAAATCAGGGCATTTTTTAAGATTCCATAAAAGTGCCCTGAGGGCTCAGGATGCCCCAAATCCTAGCACGGGCCCTACTCCAAACAATATGCACAATACTCCAGGCATTCATGATAACAATTGGACAGGGTCAGTGATATTCCCTCAGTAAATTGTTGGGCTGTGATATGCGTAACTTGGATTGGATGGAAAAGATATCACAATTTTCCCAAATGGTCTGAATGAATCCCAATGCATGCCAATGCATCTTGAGGATTTGGTGAGTGCCAATGCCAATGCGTTGGCATGCCAACGCATCCCAATGCATCCCAATGCCAATGCATCCCAATGCATCCCAACAGGGCCCGTGCTAGGATTTGGGGCACCCTGAGGCCTCAGGGCACCTTTCCAGAATCGTAAAAAATGCCCTGATTTGTCAGGGCAAATTTTCGAAGCCTTCCTGTATGTTCAGGGCTTTTTCAGAAATCAATCCTGACCTGTCAGGGCAAAAAACCCTGTGTTCAGGGATCAGATTGATTGGTTGACAGAGTTAAAATTGACAATGTATACGCCTGCACGGGGGTGGGTTCGATCCCAGGGCCTCAATCTATCGATACCGGTAGTACCTTTCTACTGACTAGGCCACTTCTGGATGGTTGGGTGGATGAATGAGTATTTAAACTACGTGTTGCCTACGGAGACAAAAATCCACGGGGAAAATTTCCCCAGGTACGGGACTCCCCCTCCCCCCTAACAAAAAACGCGTCGGGGCAGGCCTCTGCATTCATCCTGACGCTACAGGGAAGAACACTACAGCCATTCTGAATGTTCAGGGCATTTCATATAACAACATCCTGAGACCTCAGGGTAAAAATTTACACTATTCTGAAATGACAGGGTAAATTCAAAACTGCATCCTGAATTCAGGGTAATCAGGATGTTTTGCCCTGATAACGTGGGGCCTGCATCCCAATGCCAATGCATCCCAATGCCAATGCGTTGGCATGCCAACGCATGCCAATGCATCTTGAGGACCAGCATGACTAACAATAAACTACATATTTGTTATTCAGTCAAGTGTTCTGTTAATATGTGGTCCCAACAGGGGCTCAAGGGAGGAATCTTCATCTCCAGGGAGACCCAGTGCCGCTAATGTCCCATTGTCACAAAATCCATCCGATCGATCCGCTATTCCAATCGAGCATGTTCCATTCAGTGCGGCAGGCAATCCTCGTGCTGGAATTTCTTCAGGAAAACCCATGTGGGCACTTTTTGTGATTTCCGTGACCCGCCCATTCTCCACCAGCAGCACCCGGTCAGCATCAGCGATGGCTGCAGGCCGGTGTGCCACCAGAATCACCTGATAAGGGAGGGAGAATGAGAACGTGGAAGTCGGCCAATTTAGTAAGAGAGCAAAGACAGTGAGAATTTGGTGAGCGCACAGGGAAACGAGATTGTGATTTTCGTGACTTCGCCCATTCTCCCAGCAGCACCCGGGCAGCATCAGCAATGGCTGCAGGCCGGAGCGCCACCAGAATCACCTGATGAGGGGAGAAATGAAGGGGGGATGAGGAAGAAGTTGGAGAATGAGTGGGAGAATGATGGGGAGACTGAAGGAGTCAGCCTATCCAGCAAGGGAGAGAAGAAAACACAGTAGAAATCATATGAGAGCACACACAGAGAGATCTGTTTGTGCCCCAAGTGTAATTTTACCCAACTTTTGCGTAAGTTATTAACCTACCCCTTCTTCCCCACACCTGCGCCAGTCCCAGTCCCTCTCCCCAACTCTCCAACACAACATCTGGGGAGCACCACTTTGTGGTGGGAGACATTACGTGGCAGCGGTTTCTTTAGCGTAAGTTAAGGTTCAGATAGGTTTCAGGCGTGAAAGTGGTGCTCCCTGGGCCAGTCCCAGTCCCTCTCCCCAACTCTCCAACACGTCATCTCCTCCCACACCCCTCGCCTCTCCTCAGCTCCTCTCCCCCCACCCACTCCTCCACACATGCACCGTTCGGCCAACCATGGGGCAACACAGAGTGTTGACTCCCCCCATCCACCCCTTCCCTTTCCCCTCCCCCCTTTCTCCACCACACGCGCACCGTCAACCGACCATGAGGCGACACAGAACATTGACTTCCCCCCATCTCCCACCGTCTTTTCAACCCCAACCCTCCCTCCACCCCTCCCTCCACCCCTCCCTCCACCCCTCCCTCCACCCTTCCCTCCACCCCACCACCCACTCCTACACACACGCACCGTTCGGCCGACCATGAGGCGGCGCAGAGCGTCGCGAACGAGAGCCTCTGATTGGCTGTCCAGTGCTGACGTGGCTTCATCCAGCACGAGGATGGCAGGGTCGTTGAAGATGGCTCGGGCGATGGCCAGCCTGGCAGAAATGGTGTTGGAACAGAGTGAGGTTCGGCATTAGGTTCGGTGACAGGCTTGGTGTGAGGTTCGAGTATGGATGCACCTCACAACTGGTTTTTTGCTGGTTTTAGAGCGGAGATATACACATGGACACCACACATGCTGACTGAGGCACCTAAAGTGCTTGAGTAAAAACACAAGGAAAGGAAGCCAAATGAAGGAAACCGAATCCTGGACATGCTAGGCGTCTGGAAACAACGAGAAAACAAGCGACATTTTGGAACAAGAACAACTTCTGTTTCGTACCTCTGCCTCTGCCCGCCACTGAGAGACGCCCCTCGCGGGCCCAGCTGGGTGAAGTAGCCTTCGGGCAGAGCAGAAATGAATTCATGTGCGTTGGCAAGGCGGGCAGCTCGCTCCACCATTGCCAAATTTGCTGCCTTTCCGGGCAGGTTGGAAGATTCCAAAGAGAGGTATTCCAGATGCCCGTATGCAATGTTTTGCGCCACCGTGCCCGAAAAAAGAACCTGAGACAAGTCAGGTGGGGGGGAGTTGAGAGAAAAGAAGTGAGAAAAGGAGGGAAGGGAGAGAAGAGAGGGGAGAGGAGAGAGGGGAGAGGAGAGAGGGGAGAGGAGAGAGGGGAGAGGAGAGTGGAGAGGGGATGTGCAGGAGCAGATAGGCCGAGAAACTTCTTTCTTATCACTTGCAGCACCCAGAAAAGAAGCCTCGTTATCTTCCTCCCCTTCCATTCGCACCATCACTCCCAGCCACCACCAAACCGGCACCCACCGTTTCCTGTGGCACGAAGCCAATCTGACGGCGCACACTGGTTGCAGAGCACGATGCAAGATCTCGGCCGTCCAGCAGAATGCAGCCTGCCATACAGGGTACAAGTACAAGCCAAACCAAGCAGTCTAAGATTTGTTTCGTAGGGACCAATACAAGGGTATTACAGGCCAGCAGGGGCCAGCAGGAGCCAGCAGGGGCCAGTAGAGGTCAGCAGAGGCGAGCAGTTGATAGCAGAGCATAGCAGAAGCATAAACAGGGGGAATGGACACAGCAGAGGTGGTGATGGGTTATGAGAGAGCCATGAAACTCAATTTCCCACACTCTCCCACTCTCCATCTCACCTCACCGCACTGCACCATGCCACCTCACCTGCAGTGGGGCGGTACAGCCTGATCTTGTGACCTTACCGGACCCAACCCGACCAAACCCGACACAATCCAACCCAACCCAACCCGTCCCGACCCGACCCGACCCAACCCGACCCGACCCGACCGGACCACACCTCCCCTCGGCTCTCCATGCAGCTCACCTGACCTTACACCTTCAGCATGTGACCTGACCGTACCTCACCTCACCTCACCTCACCTGGCCATGTGACCTGACCTGCAGAGGGACGATAGAGCTTCAAGAGAAGCTTGAGCAGGGAGCTTTTGCCCCCTCCAGACGGGCCCACTACAGCCACCGTCTCGCCCCGCCTCACCCGGAACGACACGTCAGACAACACACGGGACTTCAAACCTGAACCTGCTTCTGCGTCTGCTGCTGCTGCGGCTGCTGCTGGGGCTGCTGGGGCTGCTGGGGCTGCTGGGATTACTGGCACTGCTGCTGCTGCAGGTAACGTGGAATCTCCTGCTACCGGTGCTTCTGATTGAGACCTGTCTTTTATCAGTGATCCCATTTCCATCGGTAAGCCATAGTCAGGGAGTTTTTGAGAATTCTCAAAAACTCCCTGCAACATCGGTAAGCCATAGTCAAAACACACCCCTTGGAACTCAATGTCTCCCTCTAGCCTTCCAATGTCTTTTTCCACTTCTTGAAGGGTGGGGGAGGGGGAGGAGGAGGAGGAGGAGGAGGAGGAGGAGGAGGAGGAGGAGGAGGAGGAGGAGGAGGAGGAGTGGGAAGCAGTGGAGTGCGGTGGGTTGAAGCGTGTGAGGGCGAGCACGCGTTCAATGGCTGGCTGGCCCTGCTTCAGCTCGTTGAATGCAGTGCCTGCTGCCTGGGCGAGGGAGGAGAATAAGAAAGAGAATGGAAAAACGAGTAAGAGGGACAGAAAGAGTGGTGCGCAGGGGTTGAGTGGGGTAGGTACCACAAAGTGTGTCTGCACTTGTTCAATGGCTAGCCGCCCCTGCTTCAGCGATGTTGTTTAAGGGCGGATTCGATCGCAGCAAGCCAACTGAGGTCTCTCGTGTCTAGATCTAAATGGATCTAACCAGATTCAACTAGGAGAGAAGAAAGCGAGTAGAAGAAAGACTTAGTAAGTCAATCGGTAAGACAAAACATCGCCTGGGATGTGCGTGCGTACGCGTTTCGGCAACAAAGCCTTCATCAGCGCAGTGCTAGTCTAACTGACTAACTCATCATCCCTTTTCTACTCTGTCTCTCCCTCCCGTCGTCAGCGAACCTCGGGAAATATCCCAAGTCGCGACTGAACTACTACTTAGAGAATTGCTACGCCAGCTACCTCTACAGCTATCTATCTAGCTGTCCATGCATGCAGAATACTACCGAGGAGGTTGTTCACCAACTTTCTGGTGGTACCCATCCTCGTTACAAAATAGAACCACGCTACACCAATTTAGCCCTAACTAACTTGTTACCAATCTTATACGGAAGTCGCCAAGCTGATACAAACCGAGGTTGATGTAGTCCATTTTGTTTGAGATTAGTTTTGAGAATTCTCAAAACTAATCTCAAACAAAGTGTGTCCGCACTTGTTCAATGGCTAGCCGCCCCTGCTTCAGCTCGTTGAATGCTCTGCCCGCTGCCTGAGGAGGGAGGGAAAAAAGAATAAACGGAGTGGTGAGAGGAAGTGGACTAGGGTAGCTTGCTTGAGAGTCTCTGTCAGCCCTCGTTTCATGGCTGGCAGGCTGGGCCTGCTTCAGCTCTATCTACGAACGCACTGCCTGCTTCCGAGATTGAAGAAGTGTTTTGAGACGTCTCAAAACACTTCTTCAATCACGTCTCTATCTACGAACGCACTGCCTGCTTCCACCTCTTCATCTTCTCCCCAATTTCACCACCCTGTCCCCAGACCAGGCCCAGGCAGGCCCTGAAAGCTCTCATTTCTCCGTACTTGAAAGTGGGTATCTCGGAACGGTCTCATCTGCACTCACCTGAATGGGTGGGGGTGAAGAAGGAGACAATCCTTCTCTAAACCCTGAATGGGTGGGGGTGAAGGAGACAATCCTTCTCTAAACCCTGAATGGGTGGGGGTGAAGAAGGAGACAATCCTTCTCTAAACCCTGAATGGGTGGGGGTGAAGAAGGAGACAATCCTTCTCTAAACCCTGAATGGGTGGGGGTGAAGAAGGAGACAATCCTTCTCTAAACCCTGAATGGGTGGGGGTGAAGAAGGAGACAATCCTTCTCTAAACCCTGAATGGGTGGGGGTGAAGAAGGAGACAATCCTTCTCTAAACCCTGAATGGGTGGGGGTGAAGAAGGAGACAATCCTTCTCTAAACCCTGACTGGTGAGCCCTCCCTGACCCGGTGACCCCTTCCCACTCACAGGGCCCCTTCAGTAAGGAGACAATCCTTATCAGGCTCCGCACTTTCAGCCCAGAAAGTTCAGCCACTCACCCCCAGAACAGGCTCGGACTCTCTTCTTTTCACCTGAATGGGTTCGATGAGGAGAACAAGCGAGGTGAAGAAAGATACAATCCCGGCACCCGTTAGCCCGCCCGCCCGCCCTGCCCCACTGCACACGTGGCCACTCCAAACAGCACCACCACCACCGCCGCCGCATACGCCGCTGTAATCGCCTCTGGAAACAGCGCCTTGAGAACTGAGCCTCTTCGTCCCGTTTTCAAATCTTCTCCCCTATTTCAGGCCCTGTGCTTTCAGCCACGTACCTGAATGGACTCGATCAGTAGCACAAGGGACGTGAAGAAAGAGACGATCCCAGCCCCGGTAAGACCTAAACACGTCCCAGCCCCGGTAAGACCTAAACACGTCCCAGCCCCGGTAAGACCTAAACACGTCCCAGCCCCGGTAAGACCTAAACACGTCCCAGCCCCGGTAAGACCTAAACACGTCCCAGCCCCGGTAAGACCTAAACACGTCCCAGCCCCGGTAAGACCTAAACACGTCCCAGCCCCGGTAAGACCTAAACACGTCCCAGCCCTGGTAAGAGACGATCCCAGCCCCAGAAACTGCCCCACGGCCCACGTGGCCACTTCAAACAGCACCACCACTGCCGCCACCGCCGCATACGCTGCCGTGATCGCCTGTGGAGGGAAACAGCGCCTTGAGAGCCTCTTCTTGCCCATCCCAGTCCATCACCCCTGTTTCAGCTCATGCTCGAGCCACACCCCGCTAGAAAAGGTTTTTGAGGCGCCTCAAAAATAGCCTCTTCTTGCCCATCCCAGTCCATCACCCCTGTTTCAGCTCATGCTCGAGCCACACCCCGCTAGAAAAGGCTCAGGCAAATAAACCCTACACACTCTCTTCTACCTCACCTGAATGGGTTCGATGAGAAGAACAAGCGACGTGAAGAAGGAGACGATCCCGGCACCCGTTAGCCCGCCCTGCCCCACTGCCCACGTGGCCACTCCAAACAGCACCACCACTGCCGCCGCATACGCCGCCGTGATCGCCTCGGGAAACAGCGCTTTCAGCCGCTTCTTTCGCAGCCGGGCGGACCTATCAGCTTCCGCCAGGTGGCGGAACAGGAGCGCCTCGTAGGGCTCGGCTGCGTGTGCCTTGACGAGCAGCATGGCTGGGAGGACCTCGGTGATCCGCGCTGAGAGGGCCGCGATGGACGCCTGCGCTTCTGAGGAGACAGAGCGAACTCTCTCCCCCAGTGTGGCAATGATGACTGACATGAGTGGTACCACCTGATGGGAGGGGTATGGAAGGGGGTCACAGAGACGAGCAGCATGGCCGGGAGGACCTCGGTGATCCGCGCTGAGAGGGCCGCCACAGAGGCCTGGGCTTCTGAGGAGACGCGGCGAACCCTCTCGCCGAGCGTGGCGATGATGACTGACATGAGTGGGACGACCTGGTGTGAGGTTGGTGGGAGGGAAGAGAGGGAGGAAGAAGGAAGATCATTGCCACTGCTGTTTTGGAGTCACTTTTCAGAACTCTCAAAAGTGTTGCTGCTGCTGTTGCCACTGCTACTACCAATGCTACTACCACTGGCCCACATCACCAAATCCTACTGCTACTACTGTTACCACTGATACACTCCACGTCACCAAATGTTACTGTCACTGCTGTAATCTCTGGACCGCGTGTCACCCACTCACACAAAGAGTCGCCAGCGTCATCACTGGGCTGAGCTGGACCATCCGCGTCAGCATGACTGCCACCTGGCAGACAGCTGGCACCGCCGCCTTGAGCACCGCAAACACCACCTCGCCCACCTCCCTCGCCTCTGCCGTCAACCTATACACCAGGTCCCCTGTTGCTACAGCCGATGGTGCTGTCGCTACTGCATCTCTTGGCACAGCTGCAGCCTCTCCTGTTGCACCTATTTCCGCCTCTTTATCCGCCTCCCTTCCCCCTCCTCTTCCCTTCCCACCTGCGCCCCCTCCTCCTCGCCCTCCTTCTCCCCCTCCGACCCGCCCACCTCCGCGCCCTTCAAAGAACCCCAGGTCCGCCCCCAGCAGGTGGTGCCAGGCCTGGGAGCGAACGGCCAGAGTGACGCCGCTCGCGGCCTCCCACAGCCATGCGTCCTGCCAGTACGTCGCTGCTGACCGGGCTGCTACGAGTGCCAGCACCACACCTGTCGCACGGAAGAGCGCCTTAAGGTCGCCTGGTGGGTGGGGGGGGAGGACGGGGAAGATGTGGATGGAGGGGGGGGGGTGTTGTGAGCAGCCGCCTCCCACAGCCACGCGTCCTGCCAGTACGTCGCTGCCGACCGGGCTGCTACCAGTAGCAGCGCGACACCTGTCGCATGGAAGAGCGCGCGGAGATCGCCTGGGGAACGGGGGGAAGAGGGGAGGGTGGCGGGAAGAACGAGGAAGGAAGGGGAAGTGAGGGCTGTGACGTTGCTGCACGGATGAATGTGGGTGACCCGCTATAAGAGTGAATGCAGGTGACTCGCTATAACTGAAAATGCAGGTGAACACCTACAAACATAATCACATCGAAAAAATACATCGAAAATTCGCTCTGGGAATTCACTTTGGGATATCACCTTGGGAAATCAGATTGGAGATTCACCTGGGTAAGTCACCTCAGTAAATCACCTTGGGCAAGGAGCGTGGTGAGTGCGCCGAAGCGGGGGGTGTGAAGAGGAGCAGAGAGGTGAGTGCGACGGCGATGCACAGCCACGCCTTCTGAGGCACCTCAGAAGCCACCTCGGGAATTCACCTGAATAAACTACCTTGGAAAATCATCTGGGTGAATTCCTTAGAAAATCACATGGGGTCACCTTGGGAATTCACCTTGAGCGAGGAGGGTGGTGAGTGCGCTGAAGCGGGGGATGAAGAGCAGCAGCGAGGTGAGGACGATAGCGGTGCACAGCCACGCCTTGAGGCGTTTTATATACACCTTGGAACTTTACCTGGGTAAATTACCTTGGAAAATCAAATTGGGTCACCTTGGGAATTCACCTTGAGCGAGGAGGGTGGTGAGGGCGCCGAAGCGGGGGATGAAGAGGAGCAGCGAGGTGAGGGCGACGGCGGTGCAGAGCCACGCGCGGAGGACGAGGGGGAGGAAGGGGCGCAGGAAAGGAAGCAGGCCCATAAGGGGGTGCTGGTGGGGGTGTTGGTGGTGCTGCTGCTGGTGTTGGTGGTGTTGCTGGTGGTGCTGCTGCTTCTGCTGCTTCTCGCCACTCCGCGTACCAGGTTCCGTTGCCGGTGCTACATCTCCGTCCTCGCTCAGTGACGATTCGTTACCAGAACGACCATCAAACGAACTGGCTGCTCGTAACCTCGCGGAGTGTAACGGCGCGTGTCTGATCGCATCTCCGCCGTCTGTCGTCCCCGTGAAAGTGCGAGACGCCCCCAATTCGGGTCTTCCCCAAGACCCGTAAATGGAAACTCCTCCGGTCCTCGTCCCCGTTAAACAGGATTTGATATAAGACCGAAAAGCCGAACGACTACTTCTATGGATAATACCATCTGAAGATGCTATGCAGGAATGCGCTTTCCAGTTTCGCTTGGTTTGCGAATATCTAAAAATGGATGAACTGGAATTGCACCTGGTAACTGGAGGCTGCCGTTGCGACATCAGCAAGTCCGTTCGCGAAGAAAAGCTTCGCCGAATTCGCCTAGAATGCTCTTCATCAGGACGTCCTAATACCGTCGGGCCGTCACGGAACACCGTCACGCAGCCGCTAGAGCTAGAGGTTCCGGCGCGACTATGATTGAGCCTAGCGCAACTAAGCCCGATATTTAAGCGCTGACTGGAGATCAGCTCGGAGGCCATGCCTGGCTCGTAAACGCAAGCTTGTGTGTCTGGTGAGGTGACGAAGGTATGGCGACATGCATCGCTCTGTGCTAGTATTTCCTGAAGTCTGGAACGCGACCCTCGCTTGACAGGAAACAATTGGCGGGAAAATGCAAAAACCTGACATACTCGCTCCTGCAGGTCCCAGTTGTGTACAAAGTTTCATCTCAAGAGCGCACCGATTATACAGTGGATTTATATGCCATTTTAAGCCTTAGTGTTCCATTACCATCACCACCATGAACTGAGAACTACAAAATCATATTGGCGCTAGCAGGCCACTCTCTGGACGCTAGGGCTTGTAACACCGCTGCTGCTGTCCATTGTTTTGCTGCCTTTTTCGAGGGCATTGATCTACCCTTAACGTGGACCACGGTTGAGCCGTCACTTGCTTTAACCACACACTCCATGCAAAAGCTGCAATGTCAAAACAGAAATTACAAGAATGGATGAGGATAAGAAAATCCAGTAATTGGACAATTGTAACATACTGTGCATCCACTACAAGGTGGCTAAGGCATGAGAAGTTACATACCTGGGAGCACTTGTATTCCCGTCAGCAGGTTGACAGCTGGCACCACCAACTGCCTCCCCACCACCACCACAAGCAGCAAGGCTGGTAAAGCGACAAACAGTGGAATTACCACCGTTGATTACACCACCATCGGCAGATTCACCACCGTCCACTGGAACATCCCCCACAACTGTGGCAGCAGCAGCAGCAGCAGCAGGAGCACTCCCAGTAGTGCCCCCACCTTGTGCCAATCCGTTACTGCCTAAGGCAGCCTCGGTGTGAGCAGTTGGAGATATGATTCTCTCACTGTACACTGCCGTCCATCGCCGCGCCATGCACGTGTGATTCAGGGCAGATATAGCCGCCGGACCTGGCTCACAGCCTCGGGGTCCAACCAAGGCGTCTGGAGCAGCCGAACCTACTGTAATCTCCCTTCCCAGTGCTGCATCGTCTCCGCTTGCTGCTACGAGTGCAGCTTCTGCTGCTGCCAACCCTTTTCCAGACTTCCCCCGCTTCCTCTTCTTCCCTCCAGCCTTCTTCTGCCCACCATTACAATCACTATTTCCTCCAATCATCAAGCCACCCTCAGGCCGAACTTCCTCCGTACCTGCTGCACCTTCTCCTCCCGCTCCCTCCTTCCCTACTTCACCCTCCTTTCCTCCCGCCTCGCCTTCCTCTGCCTGCGTCTCCCATGTGGCCCTCATGGCCCCCAGCACGCGCATCCCCTCTGCCTCCTGGAACAGCTGCCTGAAGCCCTGTACAGTCTGGGGAGGGGGTGAGGGGGAGGGAGAGGGGAGAGGGTAGGCAGAGAGTCATGGGAAGACCAGTGAGTTCGAAGGGCCTCACAGCCCCCAGCAGTCCGTCCGCATAGTCACACCCTCTCTGCCTCCTGGTACAGTCACACTCACATCTCCAGCAGCTATTCCGCTGCTCATGTATAGTCACACTCACAGCTCACTTCTTCACATTCACAGACAGCATTACAATCACCTCGGTGCATCAGATTCGCCTTCGCTGTTGAGTCGACTCAAAAGCGATCACCTCGGAGCATCGAACTCACCTTCACCTTCTGAGCAGTCTCAACATTCCACTGCCCATATGAACTCCCACCTCGTTGATTTCACAGCATTCAAATCATCACTGCATGCATCCCAATCACTCACCTTGGCCTGGCCGTCTTCAGCACGCCACCAGCTGCTTCCACCGTTGCTGCCATGTCATCCACCCCCCACCCCTCCCTCCCAACCACTCCTCTCTCCTCTACTTCCATCACCACCCCCTCCTCCCCCTCCCCTCACTGCCACGCGCTTTTCGATTCAATCACACCATTAGACTCACCTTGGCCGTCTTCAGCACGCCACCAGCTGCTTCCACCGTTGCTGCCACGTCATCCATCCCCCACCCCTCTCCCAGCACCACTCCCCTCACCTCCACTTCCATCACCACCCCGTCCTCCTCTCCCTCCCCTCCTCCGCCTCCTCTTCCCCCCACGCCCTTTTCACACAGCCCATTTTCCACTCCCTCCTCCCCCTCCTCCCCGTTCTCCCCCTCCTCCCCCTTCTCCCCTCCTCTCCTCCCAACACTGCTCCCACACACCATCCCTCCGTCCCTCCCACTCTCCTCGTCCTTCCACGCCCCTTCCCCTTCCCCTTCCCCTTCCCCTTCCCCTTCCTCCCCTTTTCCCCACTCTCCCCCGCACTCCTCCCCCCACCCCTCCCCCCAGTTTCCCCCCCACTGCTCCCCCCCTCCCCCGCCCCCCTGCGCCCTGGGCAGGTAGATGGGGGCGGGGAGGGCGAGGGCGCAGCAGAAGAGGAGCAGGGCGGAGGGCGGGTGCAGGGAGAGGGGATGCAGCAGAGGGATGGGGCATAGCCAAGAAGAAACCACGTGCCACGTGCGGGCGAGAGGGCATGGAGGATGGAGAGGGTGAGGTGCAATGGGGTTGAGTGCGGTGGGAGGGGCGTGTGGAGGAGTGGAGTCGAGGAAGACTGCTGCCGTGAGGGCCTTGATGAGATCAGAGACGTCCTGATGGGGGGGGAGGAAGGGGGGGACGAGGAGGGGGGCAAGGAGGGGAGAAGGGAAAAGGGAAAGCAAGTAGAGGGAGGAAATCAAAATGGTAAAATGAGGCAGCTTATGGTATTACAGGCAGTTCTGGAACCATTTTAGGGTTACATGTGGTTACACGACATGGTCATATGGTTATAGGCTTATAGCGCACGCGGCTACACTACATGGTTACACGGTTATATGGTTACAGAGTTATAGGGTTACTTAGTGGGAAGAAGTTACCTTGGGAAACGGCTTCTGCCCTCCATCATCCTCGTCATCTTTCTCGTCAACCTCCATGCCCTCCCAATGACTTCTTACGCCATCCAGGCGAATGTTAGCGGGAGCAGAGCCGATGGGAGCAGGATTTAATGAAGCAGAACCCAGGTGAGTGGAGTCCGTGTGAGCAGGATTCATGTGACTGGAACCACTGGCATCTACCCTTTCATTCGTCCCCTCCTCTATCCTCTGCCCCACCCCCCCAACCTCCTCAACACTCCTCTCCTGTGCAGCCGTTTCAGCCAATTCAGCAGCATCAGCAGCAGCCGTAGTAACAGCTGCAGCCGTAGTAACAGCTGCCCTATCTGCAGCAGCCCTATCAGCAGCAGCCTTTGCCGCCCGCTGTATCTTGCGCACCAATCGCAGCAGCCCACGGCACGCTGCCAGCTGGCAGAACCGCTCCGAGTGGATCACAGCCTTGCGCAGGTTCGTCAGCTGGTGCGGGGACGGCCGGGCGGCGTGCGATGACGTGGCAGCGTGCGATGACATGGCACCTGATGACATGGCACGTGGTGACGTGGCAGCAGGAGAATGGGCCGCCCCAGATGTTGCTTGCACCATGTGGTGCATGACTAGAAAGTCCAGCACAGCTTCCCCCAGAAACACAAACCGCCTCTGCCACTTCAACTCCCCCTCGCTTATCGCCTCCCTCAGTATCCCCTCATTTCTGAATCGATACCCCATCGCACCTTCCAGCTCTGACAGCCTATCAGGTGTTGCCACGTGGCGTTTGCAGTTCGTTCTGGTAACAGAAGGTTTCAGGAAGCCGGGCTGGCGTATCGGCTGACCTGACGGTGCGTTGTCGGATGGAGGTGAGATAGGTGGGAGAGATTGCTGCTGACAGAGAGAGACAGGCAATGAGGATTCTGAAACCAGCACGCCCTGCCGCTGCTCATGCAGCTTGGCGCGCTTCTCTGGTGGCTGAAATGGCAGCAGGGGCGCCTCTCCAGGTGATTCCAGAGCGTGCTTCCTGCCACTCACCCTTTGCTCCGACTCTCGTGCTGCCGCCACTTTTTCTGCCACTGCTGCTGTTCCCTCTTCTTCTTCTTCTGCTGCTGCTGCTGCTGCTCCTTTCGTTTCTAGTGCCATATCTGGCTTTCCTACAACGCCTGGTACTCCTTCCTCTGCCACTCCCTTGATGCATCCCTCCACCACGTCCTCCCCCTTTCCCATCACCATTCCCTCCGCCGCTCTCCCCCTCCACGTCATCTCTCCCCTCAATAGCTCCCCCACGCCCTCCGTGGGCAGGCCCAGCCACCTCAGCATTGGCAGCGCCATTTCAGCGCCGCCGCACCGCCAGCTGGCGCCCACCAAGGCCTCCGCCACGTCAGCGAGGGTTTTCTTGCCGAGCTGGCGCGCTGACTTGGCCGTGGCTGCTGCCTGCGCTAATGCCAGCGAGGCGAAGGCAGAGTCCAAAAGGGCTTTCGGGCTAGGCGGAAGGTTCTGGGAAGCTGCAGTAGCCCGAGAGGGGGACGAAGGAGGAGATGCTGTTGCTTGTGACTGAGTGTGTGCGAGGGAGTCTGAAAGCGAGTGTGGTGGGGGGAGTGAGTGAGAAAGGGAGTCAGCCAGAAGCAGCACAGCGTGGGAGGGTGGGATGAGAGGGCCGATCCAGTCAGAGGGTCTGAATGGCTTGCTGCGGACGAGGGCAGGCACTCCGGCTTTAACTGCCAGCGCTGCCAGATGCTTGTTGGATACCAGCTTCACGCACTGCCCCTTCATGTCATCGTATGTCGGCTGGGTAGGCTGGCTGTGCAGCGCATGCGATGGCATCGAGGCATTTCTCGCAGTGTATGCTGCTGAGTCGTCGTTCCCATTACTCTGGCCGTTCCCATGCCTGCCATGCGGCGGCTGACGTGGCAAGCTAGTGGCAAAAAGGTGGCAGGAGGCGGCTAGCTGCACGCAGCTGTCTCCCAGCACCTCGTCTGACTCATAGGTGCCCACACCGCTCTCTGTTGTGCCGGGGCAGGTGAGGGCGCGCAGGAGCTGAGGTGTGGGGCCGAAAGGAAGGGAGGGAAGATGCATTGGCGGGTGAATGGGGTTGGGAGGGAGCGAGCGGCGAGCTGCACACAGCTGTCACCCAGCACTTTGTCACTCTCGTATGTGCCCACACCGCTCTCCGTGGTGCCGGGGCATGTCAGGGCGCGCAGCAGCTGAAGACAGGGGTGGGAGAGGGTGGGGTGTCGGTGGATGGAGAGGGGTGTTTGAGTTGAGAGGCACTCTGCACGCAGCTGTCACCCGGCACTGCGTCACTCTCGTACGTCCCGGCACTGCGTCACTCTCGTACGTCCCGGCACTGCGTCACTCTCGTACGTCCCGGCACTGCGTCACTCTCGTACGTCCCGGCACTGCGTCACTCTCGTACGTCCCGGCACTGCGTCACTCTCGTACGTCCCGGCACTGCGTCACTCTCGTACGTCCCGGCACTGCGTCACTCTCGTACGTCCCGGCACTGCGTCACTCTCGTACGTCCCGGCACTGCGTCACTCTCGTACGTCCCGGCACTGCGTCACTCTCGTACGTCCCGGCACTGCGTCACTCTCGTACGTCCCGGCACTGCGTCACTCTCGTACGTCCCGGCACTGCGTCACTCTCGTACGTCCCGGCACTGCGTCACTCTCGTACGTCCCGGCACTGCGTCACTCTCGTACGTCCCGGCACTGCGTCACTCTCGTACGTCCCGGCACTGCGTCACTCTCGTACGTCCCGGCACTGCGTCACTCTCGTACGTCCCGGCACTGCGTCACTCTCGTACGTCCCGGCACTGCGTCACTCTCGTACATCCCGGCACTGCGTCACTCTCGTACATGCCTACGCCGCTCTCTGTTGTGCCGGGGCATGTCGGGGCGCGCAGCAGCTGAGAGGGGAATGGGGTACAGGGTGCGGTGTGAGTGGGTGGACAATGGTGGTTGAGAGGCATTGACGGCAGCACTCAGCTGCACGCAGCTGTCACCCAGCACGCACTCTCACACGTCCGTCCCAACGCCTTTTGAGGCGCCTCAAAAGTCGTTTCATTACCCGCAATTCTTATATTGATCGAATTTTTGTTGGTTGGAAGTGTGCACGAAATGTGCAACAGTGCCTGGTTCGCGCGAGGCTCCTACACCACCCAACTCCAAGACTGCCGAAGAGGCATTGACGGCAGCACTCAGCTGCACGCAGCTGTCACCCAGCACGCACTCTCACACGTCCCAACGCCGCTCTCCGTAGTGCCGGGGCAGGTGAGGGTGCGCAGCAGCTGAGACAGGCGGAAGAGGGGCGGGGGGGTGCAGTGCAGTGCAGTGCAGCGCAGTGCAGTGCAGTGCAGTGCAGTACAGTGCAGTGCAGTGCAGCGCAGCGCAGTAGCTGAGACAGGGGGAAGAGGGGCGGGGGGGTGCAGTGCAGTGCAGTGCAGTGGTGCGACTCACATCAATAGCAGGAAAATGCGGTTCCTGCTGCTGCTGACCCTCCCTGTGCTCGCCACCACCACAGCTCCGACCCTGCCGCTCACACCCATACTGCCGCACAATGAACCGCCGGATGTCCCAGGCAGTGAGCAGGCAGTCAAGCCGGGAGAGCAGCGAGGGGAGCAGCGAGGCAAAGAGCACGTGCTGCAGTGGCAGCACCGGCACCAGTAGCTCCAATGGGAGGTACGATGTTTGCCGCCCCCTGCCCTTCTCCCTGCCCTGCTGCTGCGCCTTAGCTGCCTCCTCCTCCCCCGTGCCTTGTTGCTGCTGCTGCTCTTTCTCTGCTGTAGTATTGTCTATTGCAACCGAGTTTGCTGCAGCCGTGTCTGCTACAGCCTCAACTTCTGCAGCCTCATTAGCCAGAGCCTTGTCTGCTACAAAAGTGTCTGCTCCAACCGTCTCTTCTCCAGCCTTGCCCACTACAGCCATGTCAGCTACAGCCATGTCAGCTACAGCCATGTCAGCTACAGCCATGTCAGCTACAGCCATGTCAGCTACAGCCATGTCAGCTACAGCCATGTCTGCTACAGCCATGTCTGCTACAGCCATGTCAGCTACAGCCGTCCCCTCTGTAGCGCTGGCAGGTTCGGACATCTGCCCGTCTCGACTGAATTGGACGGCCCTGTTGACGAGGTCCCAAGTGTCCACTGAGGTGGGGGAAAGGGAAGCGGGTGATGTAAGGGAAAGGAGGGTGGGACGATGGAAAGGAGGGTGGGACGATGGAAAGGAGGGTGGGACGATGGAAAGGAGGGTGGGACGATGGAAAGGAGGGTGGGACGATGGAAAGGAGGGTGGGACGATGGAAAGGAGGGTGGGACGATGGAAAGGAGGGTGGGACGATGGAAAGGAGGGTGGGACGATGGAAAGGAGGGTGGGACGATGGAAAGGAGGGTGGGACGATGGAAAGGAGGGTGGGACGATGGAAAGGAGGGTGGGACGATGGAAAGGAGGGTGAGACGATGGAAAGGAGGGTGGGACAATGGAAACGAGGGTGGGACGATGGAAAGGAGGGTGGGACGATGGAAAGGAGGGTGGGACGATGGAAAGGAGGGTGGGACGATGGAAAGGAGGGTGGGACGATGGAAAGGAGGGTGGGACGATGGAAAGGAGGGTTGGACGATGGAAAGGAGGGTGGGACGATGGACAGGAGATGAGCGGCGAAGGGCGAAGTGCCTCAAAATTCGTGAGACCGCCCTAATTGGACAGCCCTGTTGACGCGATCTAGAGTGTCCACTACCTATGGAAGAACATGCAAGCACGGACAGGACGACTGGTACACATATAGACCGGCTTAAGGAGGGTGAGAAACTCATCCTGGTGCAGACACAGGAGGGTGAGAAACTCCTCCTGGTGCAGACACAGGAGGGTGAGAAACTCCTCCTGGTGCAGACACAGGAGGGTGAGAAACTCCTCCTGGTGCAGACACAGGAGGGTGAGAAACTCCTCCTGGTGCAGACACAGGAGGGTGAGAAACTCCTCCTGGTGCAGACACAGGAGGGTGAGAAACTCCTCCTGGTGCAGACACAGGAGGGTGAGAAACTCCTCCTGGTGCAGACACAGGAGGGTGAGAAACTCCTCCTGGTGCAGACACAGGAGAGTGAAACTTACACTCTGGTGGTGTCTGCAGCAGCAGCAGCGCATTGCGCAGGTCTGGCTTCAGCTGACAGGCAGCGAACAGGGGCTGATTGGGGTGCTGCAGCGATATGCCGTACCTGGAAAGGGGGTACGGGACGGGGTGACTCTTAGGGTTAGTTGAGTCGGAACTCAGGACCTTGGCATCCCACCCAAGGCTTCCTTTTGGTATACAATTGTGGTGTTTGTGAACTTAAGTCTCGCATCGCAGTTCGTGCCTGCAGCATGGATCGGGACAGCAAAGAAATACACGGCACCTGGCCAAGCCAACGCTTGGGTGCACTTGCCAGTTGCTGATTGGGCAATGAGAGACGATAGAGGGGCATGCAAGGCATGATCGAGGGATGGGACGAACGTGCACTCACTGGTTATGGAAGTACTGTTGGAACGTGCCTCCATGCGACCCCACAAACTCACTGCGCGCTGTTCTCCCCTCAGGGTCCCTCCCCACTAGCTGGTACAGCTAACGCACATGCACCCGCCACTCCCTCACTCGCATACCCACCATGCCATACCATGCCACGCCATGCAAAGCTGACACCCAGGAGGACACCATGCACGCGCTGGTTAATCACTGACTCTGACGCTCGCTCCTTAAGGATATGAAAGAATCGCACTCACTGGTTGTGGAAGTACTGTTGGAAAGTGCCTCCATGCGGCCCCACGAAATCACTGCGTGCTGTCCTCCCTTCCGGATCCCTCCCCACTAACTGGTACACCAGACGCGAATGCACCGCACATGCCACCATGCCGTGCAGTTCTCGTTCCTCCACAGGCCCACGAGCACAGACGAGCAGAGGCATGGTAGCAGGGGCATCCTGAGCGGTGCCTGGAACAGCAGCATTGGTATCAGCAGCAGCGGCATTGGCATCAGCAGCAGCGGCATTGGTATCAGCAGCAGTAGCATTGGTATCAGCGGCAGCAGCATTAGTGTCGGCAGCAGCAGCAGCAGCAGCAGCAGCAGCAGCACCACCACCACCACCACCAGCACCAGCGCCACCAGCAGGATCAATATCAGCAGCAGCATCACGTGCACGGGCACGAGAGGCCGCTCCCCTGTTGCCTCCCAGAGACACCACCCGGTCCACCATCTCCCAGTCAACCCTCCCCATCAACACGCGCATCATATCATCATCCCCTCCCCTGCTCATGCCGTCACCCCCTCCCCCCTGCTCCCCTGCATCCACCCCTTCACCTTCCCTGCCTGCATTCGCCCCTCTCCCTCCTTCCCTCCTTCTTCCATCTGCCTCTCTCCAATCTTCCGCTGTCTCTCCTCCTCTTTCTTCCCCTCCCCTCACCAAGCAGGGCAGCACGAGGCAGTAGTGGGATGCGGTCCAGAAGGCGCCAAAGGGGCGCACAGCGGTGCTGATGGGCGTGGGAGGCACGGACGGTGCTGCAGGAGAAGCAGCAGCCGCAGCATGAGCCTCAGCTGCAGCCCCTGCAGCGGCAGATTCAGAAGCAGCGGCAGAAGCGGCAGCGTGGGCGAGGGTGGGAGCATGGTGCATGAGGTCCCATCGGTCCAACGCCATGCCGAACAGACGCATGTGGTAGCACATGGCGCTGGCCAGCTGAGGAGCAGAGGGAGAAGGGGGAGAAGGGGGGGTGCAGGTGGGTGTAGAGCTCATGACGCATTCTGACACCTGCATGAGCTGAACCTGAACCATCTGAATCACCTGAACCACCTGAATCACCTGAACCATCTGAATCACCTGAACCACCTGAATCACCTGAACCATCTGAATCACCTGAACCATCTGAATCACCTGAACCGTCTGAATCACCTGAACCATCTGAATCACCTGAACCATCTGAATCACCTGAACCATCTCAATCGCCTGAACCATCTCAATCGCCTGAACCACCTGAATCACCTGAATGGTATGAACACAACTGACCTGCTGAGGCGAGAAAGCGAGGGCTCCAAGTGGAGAGAGTCGGACTGATCCCGAAGCAACTGCAAGGGGTTGCGATGCTGGGTGGTGGGGTAACCCAGGTGAGGGGCCGGCAGAGGGAACACCAGCAGTAAGAGCAGCAGCAGCAGCGCCAGTAGTAGCAGCAGCATCAGCAGCAGCAGCAGTCACGGCAGCAGCAGATCCTGAAGCTGTAGCAGCTAACCCCACATCTGTAACCGTAGGCTTTGCATCTGTAGCAGCAGTGCAAGCTCCGAAATACTTGGAGCAAAGAGGGACTTCCATGTGTGCCACGTCAGCATCAAACGGGCCAATGGCAGGCGACGTCAGCAGCATGAACCCGGAAAAGCACTCTGTGCTGCACGTCCCCTTACTAGCATCTTCACTACCGGAGCTCGAGGAGGAGGAGAAGAAACGGAGAGAATACGCATGGAAGGGACCGATACTGGGACATGCTGGGGTGGTAGATTTGGCTGCTGCTGATGGTTCATCTGCTGCTGCTGCTGCCGATGTCGCTGCAGTTTGTAGTAAATCATTTGCTGACAGTGCTGCTCTTTCTGCTGGAATGGGTACTGCCGGTGACCTGGCTTCTGGCGTTGCACGGTCCGCCATATGTGGAGACAAGATTCACAGAAACGGCGGGCTGAACCTCGCTCGATGACGACGCGGTGAACTCTAGGGACTTTGGAGATCTAGAATATTAGGAAGAATCAGCTCAACCGCAATCTGCATTTTGAGGCGCCTAAAAAAGAAACAGCTCATCCCCAAAGCGCAATTTGCAGCGAACGCAAACTTATGCTCCGTCTAATCAGCTGCAACGCGTCAGCTGCCGTCGGCGGCCGTGTAGCTTTCCGTGTGTTAGCGTGGCTCATTCGAACTGCGTATCCAATCGCGCGCGAAACAGCGACAATGGCGGACGACAACGATGGAGGTTGAGCGTAGATTTGCATTTCGAAGTGAATAATAATGATGCTGAGGTGAGGTACCTTGGAGCTTGGCTGTTCGGCGATAATCGCCAAACGCCGCCTCATCCTGGTTTCCTTGCTTTCGCGCAGACCAACAGACCAGCGATTGGAGGAGGTACGTTCTGATTGGGTGATTTGCACCAACAAACAAGTCTGTCAGCTGTTTGTTTCCATCGGGATCGGTTTGCACCGGTTTGGGGCAAATACGAAAGGTGCCAGGCGAAGCGCAGTGTGCTGCGCGGAGCGGAATGCACAGTGTCACCTCGCCTCAAGACAACCCAGTTGCACAGAACTATGCTGAAAAGAAAACTAAAGATCCAAAAGCTGTACCTTCTCCCAAGTTATGCTAGTGCAATCTACACATGACACCACCACACATGAAGCACGTGTCTTTCTCCCTCCTCCCTTCCCTCGCGCCTCCCCACTTGCAGCATGGCATTCGAGTTGACTAGAAGTAATCCCGCCTGTGCATGATGCGCATGGGCTCTACCTCTCTCCAGCGTGCTTTTCTCCCTCCACTTCCCTCTCTCCACCCTCTCGCTTCCCTACTTGCAGCACACCATTCGAGTTGACTAGAAGTAATCCCGCCTGTGCATGATGCGCATAGGCACTACCACAAAGGTAGGGCGTGCTTTTCTCCCTCCACTTCTCCCTCGCGCTTCCCCACTTCCTGGAGCTTCCAACCCGCTTGGAAGTTCAGCTGCTGCAAGCCGCCCGTGAATCTGCTTTTGAGGCGCCTCAAAACTCGCTCCTCTCCTCCCCCCTGCTTCCCCACTTCCAGAAGCTTCCAACCCGCTTGGAGAATCAGCTGCTGCAAGCCGCGCGTGAATCTGGTCGCAACTCATGCTCTTTACAGGGAGCTTACCGAGAGGAAGATTCCAGGAAGGCCTGGAAGGATGATTTTTTTAGATCATGCGAGGCGTGAGTGGGGAACCAAGCGGGGAAGCACGGGAAGAGAGCGAAAGTGCAGCAGCTGCTACAGCAGCACCAACAGCAGAAGCACCAGCAGCAGAAGCACCAGCAGCACCAGCAGTAGCAGCAGCAGCACCTGCTGAGGCTGTTGTTCCTTGACTAGCCTCCGCAGGTTCGCCAGCGATCTTATCGAAGATACACCCTGCCGGCCTGCGAATGGCACCTGCAGCCGCAGCAGGCGGAGCAGCAGCAGCACCTGCAGCCGCAGCAGCAGGGGCAGCCGCAGCACCTGCAGCCGCAGCAGCAGCAGCACGGAACGTGGAAGTTTGTAGCAAGCTTGAGGTGTCAAGGAACGTGGAAGTTGGGAGCGGGCTTGTGGTGGTGTTCACACGAGAACGGAAGCCAGCAGAGCGGCGAATGTCCGCATGCCACGATGCCCTTCGTCTCATGAACCGGTAACCGCCACCTCCCGGTGATCTAGCCCCCCCTCCTCCCGGTGATTTAGAGGCAGACGGGCTATCCGGGTCAATACTCCAGGACACCCGCTTGCCAGCACTTGGAGAAGCTGCGGTGGTGCTGGCTGATTTGAGGCTGGAGCGGCGACCAGAAGGGGATAGAGTTTCACTGCTGAGAATTCTCAAAAGTGAGTCTGACGATGCTGCAGTGGTGCTGGCTGATTTCAGATTAGAAACGCGAGCAGAGGGGGATAGGGTGCCTGAAAATGACTCATGAACTCTCAAAAGTGAGTCGGACGAAGTTGCAATGGCGCTGGCTGATTTCAGGTTAGAAAGGCGAGCAGAGGGGAAGCCGAATCCGGGAGAAGAAGCTGCAGAGGTAGCAGGTGATTTTAGGCTGGAGCGAGGAGCAGACGGGGACGAGGGAGTGAGAGGGGATTGGGATGAGGGAGAGAGAGGAGCGGATCGAGATGAGGGGGTGACAGGAGGGGATAGAGAAGGAAGGTGTGACTTGAGACTCAGCCCAGAAGGAGAGTGACAGGTGCTGGGAGGAGAGGAATGGGCTGGGTGCGTAAAACGCCCTGCTACGGTTCCTGCTACAGTCTCCGCTACAGTTCCTGCTACCTGTTCTGCCACAGCATGCCCATTCTCAGTAACACCAGAAGCCGTGGCTGTAGCTGCTGCTTCTTCTTCTGCTGCCGCCGCTGCAATTTTATCAGCAGAGACAGCAAGCCGGCCAGCAGACTCAGAGCTGTGATGTCCGTCCTTGTGGTGCTTCACCAGTGAGACAAGGTCGTGAATGTGAAGCCAGTCTCTACTCGAAGCAGAGCCGTGATGGCTGTGGCCGTGCTTGTGAAACAAGTCCTTCAAGTCGTGATGACTGTGGTGCCAGTCCGTGTGGTGTTTTACCATTGAAACAAAGTCGTTAATGTGGAGCCAGTCGTGACTGTGGTGCCCGTCCTTGTGCTTCATTATCGCAGCAGCATCGTGACTGTCTTTGTGACTGTCTTTGTGACTGTCTGTGTGACTGTCTGTGTGACTGTCTGTGTGACTGTCTTTGTGACTGTGAAGCCAGTGTTTAAAGTCATGACCGTGATGCCCGTCCGTGTGGTGTTTCACCATTGAAACGAAGTCGTGAATGTGAAGCCAGTCGTGACTGTGGTGCCCGTCCTTGTGCTTCGCCATCGAAGCAGCGTCGTCGTGACTGTCCTTGTGACCGTGAAGAAAGTGTTTGAAGTCGTGCTTGTGAAGCCAGTCTTTAAAGTCGTGATGACTGTGGTGCCAGTCCTTTGAAAGAATCTCAAGTGTTGTCTTGATTAGAAAGAGTGTCGGTACATATAGGAGATGAGAAGTTTTGGGAACGAAGTGGGGTACCCTCAGCATTTATTGGTGGACCAATCAGATTGGGTCGACCAACAATTGCTGGGGTAACCAACAATCGTTGGAGGGGACCATTATTGGCCCCCCCCCGTCAATTGCGGTCGAGTTGGGTTTGGGGGCGCCCAACCAAAATTGGTTGGGTCGCCTTGACCCAAAGTGTACACCCACTTTAGGGTGTAACACATGCACAAATATAAACATACATTATGCTATATTCTAACACAACCCCGTAGCATAAGAGGTTTATAAGTGTGCACAACCCCGGAATCATGAAGCCGGGGAGAGGCCAAGAAGGCGAAGGAAGGCCTGGTGGGCTAGCTTCGGAAGAGCTTTGGTGAAGATGTCAGCGAGGTTGGCTTCGGCGGCAATTTTTCGGACGGCAAGATGGCCTTGCTGGACAAGATCGCGAATGTAGAAGTAGCGTAGTTCGATGTGTTTGGAGCGCCCGTGGAAGACCGGATTCTTGGTGAGGTGGATCGTGCTGGCGTTGTCGCACCAGAGCGTGGGGCATGGGTGGGGGGCCCCAAGCTCGGCTAGCAAGAAGGAAAGCCAGCGTCCTTCCTGCGCAGCCATGGTACCAGCATAGAGTTCGGCTTCACAAGATGAGAGGGCGATGGCGGAGGAGCGGGTGGAGCGCCAGCTGACCAAGCCGCTACCGAGCGTGAAGCCATATTCTTGGGAAGAGCGGCGATCCGGCTGAGAGTCTGCCCAAGACGAGTCACTGAAGCCGGTGAGGAGCGGGGGAGAGGCACCACCAAGGGTGAGAACATGGTCCTGAGTGCCACGGAGGTAGCGTAGGACTCGTTTGGCGGCTCTCCAATGCACGGAGGTGTGACGACCGGTACCGACGAAACGCGCCAGGACGCTGATGGGGTAGGCGAGGTCGGGACGGGTCCCCATCATGGCATACATGATAGAGCCAACCAGTTCCGCATAGGGCTGAGTGGAGGCGGAGGGGGAGGTGGGTGGAGCAAGCCCATGGCCGAATGGAAGGGGAGTGGCCACTGGGTTGGCGAGAGCCATGTCGAACCGCTCCAACACCTGCTGAAGATAGTGAGATTGAGATAAGGTGATGGTGCGGGCAGCTCGATCGCGTGTGATCTCCATGCCCAAGTAGTGGCGTAATTCGCCAAGGTCCTTGCACTGGAGACGAGCTTGTAGTTCTTCCTTAACGTCGGTCATGTCGGCGGAGGTGTCGGCGAGGAGCACCATGTCGTCAACATAGACTAGGACGAAGAAGCGGCTGGGACGGGTCCGAATGAAGAGACTGGCGTCAGAGTGAGATGGTTGAAATCCGAGAGCACAGAGTGTAGATGCCAGCTTAGCATGCCATTCTCGAGGAGCCTGCTTCAGGCCGTAGACTGGACGGCGTAGTTCCCAGACAGTGTCTGGTGGGAAGGCTTCATGGAAGCCATCTGGGCGGTCGAGGAAGATTTGTTCGTGGAGGTTCCCCTGAAGAAAAGCGTTAGAGACATCCATTGATGAGATCTCCATGCCGTTGCGGGAGCCAAAGTCGAGAAGCGTGCGAAGGGTCCCGAATTTTGCGGTAGGTGAGAAGGTTTCCCAAAAGTCCTTGGCATAGGTCTGTGTGAAGCCCTTGGCGCAGTAACGGGCTTTGTAGACGGGCTCCTCCCCCGGAAGCTGCTTCACCCGGAAGACCCACTTGCCAGCGACAATGTTGGCATCTGGAGGCGGCTTGACATCGACGAAGGAATCATTGCGAATGAAGGCGTCGCACTCCTTGCGAATGGCCTCCAGCCATTTGTCAGCGTCAGGGCACGTGATTGCCTCCTGGAATGTGGTAGGCGTGAAGATGAGAGGTGAGGAGGGAGTGCCAAGTACAACCGCGCCCAAAAGGGCAAGGTACACAGGGTTAAGGGAAGGAACGTGAGTGTGAATGGCACAAAACTCCTCATGGGAGTCTTCATGAATGAGAGGTGGTTGACCAAGAATGGGGTCAAGGGAGCGAGTGTGCATGCGTGGGAAGAGGAAGGGAGAGCGTGAGGTGAGAGAAGTGCGAGGACGTGGGGAGGATGCAGGAGGTGCGGCGGGCGAGGATGGAGGAGGAGAAGCTGGAGGGAGGTGGGTGGGAGGGGAGGGAGGAGGGGGAGAGGGAAGAGGGGGAGCGGTGGAAAGGGCAGGTGAGGCAGCAGGATCATAGATATCAGCCGAGGAAGGTGGAGGTGAGAGTGGAGTAGTTGGGAGGAGTGGAGCAGATGGGAGGAGAGGAGGAAGAAGGGCATCCGCCCAGGTGAGTGGGCGGGAGGGTGGGGGGAGAGGGTCGGAGGGAGGAGGAGAGGAGTAGTAGGGGATGGTTTCATCGAAGACGACATCGCGGCTGCGAATGAGGCGTCCGGAGGGAGGATGAAGGAAGAGGTACCCAGGAGAGCCACGATTGTGGCCGAGGTAGACGCACTCCAATGCTTTGGAGGCAAGTTTTCCTGCTTTGCGGGAACGGTCTGCGGGAGGAATGAGAACAAAGGATTTGCAGCCCCAGACGCGAAGGACGGAGGCATCAGGTTTGGAGTTGCACCAAAGCTCAGTGGGAGTGAGGTTGGGATGGTGGGGGTGAGGGTAGAGGTTGGTGAGAAGGGCGGCATGAGTGAGAGCATAGCCCCAAAGGGAGGGAGGGGTAGATGCATGGGTGAGGAGACAGCGGGCAGTTTTGGTGATCTCACGGATGCGACTTTCAGCTACACCGTTTTGTTGCGGAGAATGAGGGAGAGTGGACGTCTGTTGAGTGCCATGTGCTTTGCAGTAGGAGGCAATGGTATGGTTGAGAAACTCCCCGCCACCGTCAGAGTGAAGGCGACGGATGGGTCGGCCGAAGTGCACGCGCGCTTGTTCGGCCCAGGCGATGATGACAGCGGCTGCTTCAGCTTTCGTGTGGAGTAGAAACACAGAGGAGTTCTCGTCTACGAGGACGAGCATAAAGCGGTGGCCCTGGCGGGAAGGGGAGGGGGAGGGACCCCAGAGGTCCATGTGGACGAGATCTAGGGGAGCAGTAGCAAATGAGGGATGGCTGTGATGGGGTTTTTGTTTGAGTTTGCCATGAATGCAAGTGGGACAAGGAGGAGCTGGTGAGGTGGGTAGGGGAGGAAGGGCAGGGGGGAGCCCATGAAGGAGGCGAGAGGATATTGCGGCACGGAGGGTGGTGAAGTTGGGGTGACCAAGACGGTGATGGAGGAGAATGGCGGGGTGAGAGAGGGAGAGGTCGGGAGAGGTAGAGGGAGTGGGAGATGATGAAGGGGGAGGAGCAATGGTGGGAGAAGGGTAGGTGGAGCGACGGGTGGTGAGATGACATGATGCCGGAAAAGGGAGACGTAGTGTGTAAAGGTGAGTGCGGGGGCAGATTGGGAGGCGATAGACAAGGCGGCCAGTGGAGGTATGAATGAGATCGCAATAGGAAAAGTGGGCAGGAAAAATGGCGGTAATGCCGGCTTTTTGGAGATCATGAAGAGAAATAAGGTTGTGACGAAGAGTGGGAATGTGGAGGCCAGTGATAGTGCCGGAGGGAAAGAGGGGACACGGAAGAGTAGAGGAGTGTGTGCATGGGATCGAGAAGCTAGAATCAGCGCCATGAACAGTGGAGGGGAGAGATAGTGTTTTGAGAATGCCAGCGTCCTTCAGGGCACTGACGGTGGCCCCGCTATCGAGGACAAAGTCCAAGGTGAGCGGGGAAGGAGACGCAGAATACTGGAAGTCACTGTTATTAAGAACAGAGGGATACATGGAGGTGGTGCTAGGCAAGGGAGAAGCTAGCTGACCAAGAAAGCTAGAGTATGACTCAGCTGGGGAGGTATGGGCGGCGGTGGCGGCAGAACCGAAGCCAAGAGGTTGCTGCTGCCAGGCGGCAGTTGCTGCTGCTGCTGCTGCCGCTGCCGCTGCTGTGGCGGCTGCGCCTCCCCCACCTCCCCAGGGCGGCTGCTGTGGCTGCTGGTGCGGCTGCGGCTGTGGGGGCAGCTGCGGGGGCTGCTGCAACTGCTGTGACTGAAGATGCTGCAAAAACTGCTGGAGTTGCAGTTGAGGAGAGGGAGTGGTGAGGTTAAGGTGGGAGGGTTGATAGAGAGGGAGATGTTGAACATCATGGACAGTGGGACGACTTGCAAGAGCGGACCAGCGGGGGGGGGTACCATGGTTACCACGATCAAACCAGGCATCGTCCAAGACGCCGAAGCAGGTGGTTATGGGGTGGTTGGTTTGACCGCAGGGTTCCCCAGCGCGAGGGCCGTGACGGCGAACGTAGGGGCAGGGGGGGAGTTGACCAGGTCCGCTACCACCACGTCCACTTCCTCCAGGGCCGCCCGTGCAAGAAGGAGTGCGTCCACCAAAGGTGCCACCACGTCCACCACCACGGCCGCCACCACGCCCACCTCCACGTCCGCCACCGCGACCACCACCACGCCCACCACCGCGTGTCTGGGTGGCGTTGAGTTCTGGCGCGGGTGCTTGAGCCGTGTTGAGAGAAGGCGGGTTGGTACGAAGGAGGCGGGTTTCGGTGTCAATGATCCATTGAACGACAGCAGCAACATCCGCAAACGGCTGATTTTCGCGGAAGGCAATGACGTGCATGTCGTAGGACGGGTTGAGACCGCGGAGAAGGCGATCTATCTGGATGAACTGGGGGAGTTCGGACTGGCGAGCCTTAAGTCGCTTGGCGAGAGAGGTCATGCGGCCGGTGTAGGCGACGGCACCAGTGCAGGTTGCGAGCGTTGTCTCCCAGTATTCGTCAAGGAGCAGCCCCACGGAGTTGACGTCATGGCGCTCAAACATGGCGTGAAGGGAGGCCCAAAGGGCAGGTGCGTGAAGCTCTTGTTCCTGAAAGTCTCGCATTAGAGCGGGGGGGAGACCACCAAGGATAATATTAGAGGCAGAAAGGTCAGATTCCTTCCAAGCAGCAGCTTTAGCGGTATATTCAGCGAGCGCGAGAGTGTAGCGGTCAGCCATGGTGCGGTGATTTATTATGGCAGCTTGGCGCATGTCGTATTGCTCGCGAGCCGCACGATGGTCCGCTCGGAGCGTGAGGAACCGACGCCGCTCGAGATCGTAGGCTGCTTCATCAGCGGCTTGGCGAACAGGACCCGTGGAGGCAGCGGGCAGATCTGGTTCGTCAGGTTCAGGTCCAGGGTCAGGCGGGAGAGTGGGGGCCGATCCAGGGGACATAGGGGGCGTTGGCGGGAGAGCGGCAGCATGGCGGAGGACAAGGTCGAGGAGGGTGGAGGAGGTGTTGGGGATGTGGATGACGCCGAGGAGGCGGCGCATGCTCCCTGTGTAGGAGTACCAGTTGATAGCGCTCTGATCGGGAGCGAGCTCGAGCCGATCAATGGAGAGAGTGTTGAAATTCTGAGGAAGAGAAGGAGCAGCCATAGCAGTAAGTTAGTGCGATGTGAGGGGAGAAAAAATGTTAGTAGCGAGCGAAAGCGAGGCAGGTTAGAAGCTGAGGGAGAGGAGGAGGGGGGTTAGTAGCAGCACGTGGGAGAGGATTGGGAGCAGTAGCGTGGCAGGAGAGGCGGAGAGCAGAGATAGTATGAGAGAGGCAGCGGGAGAGGAAACGGTGGGCGGAAGCAATGGGAGGGGGGGGAAGGGTCGAGGGAGCGGCGGGGAGGAAGAGATGAGGCAGTAGCTAAGTGCCTGGCGGCGAGGGAGAGTAGGAGCAGCCGCGGCGAAGTGTCTTGCAGCGAGGAGAGGCAGTGGCGGCGGCAAATTGCCCGCAGCGAGTGAGTAGAGGCGGCGGAGGCGAAATGCCCCGCGGCGAGTGGGAGCAGTGGCGGCGGCGGCGAAATGCCCCGCGGCGAGTGGGAGCAGTGGCGGCGGCGGCGAAATGCCCCGCGGCGAGTGGAGTAGTGGCGGCGGAGGCGAAATGCCCCGCGGCGAGTGGGAGCAGTGGTGGCGGAGGCGAAATGCCCCGCGGCGAGTGGGAGCAGTGGCGGCGGCGGCGAAATGCCCCGCGGCGAGTGGGAGCAGAGGCGGCGGCGGCGAAATGCCCCGCGGCGAGTGGGAGCAGTGGCGGCGGCGGCGAAATGCCCCGCGGCGAGTGGGAGCAGTGGCGGCGGCGGCGAAATGCCCCGCGGCGAGTGGAGTAGTGGCGGCGGAGGCGAAATGCCCCGCGGCGAGTGGGAGCAGTGGCGGCGGCGGCGAAATGCCCCGCGGCGAGTGGGAGCAGTGGCGGCGGCGGCGAAATGCCCCGCGGCGAGTGGGAACAGTGGCGGCGGCGGCGAAATGCCCCGCGGCGAGTGAAGCAGCGGCGGCGGCGGCGAAATGCCCCGCAAGGAAGAAAAGCGGTGCGAGAGTAGTGGCGACGGCGGATAGGTCGCGGCGATTGAGACGCCGGCAGCTGAGAACGTAAATGCGGCGGCAGGAGCTGAGGCGAGAAATTCGCCTTACGAGAGATAGAGTAGGAGCTGGAGGGAGGTGGTGACTGGTTGTACTTTACGGAAGATTGAACTTCAACCAAGTCAAACCCACGCAACAAGTTGCATGGGCAGGACGGAAGGGTCCTGACGAGCGGGGAGGAAAAAAAAAACTTGAGAGAAAGAGGTCGAGAGGGGCGTTTGCCAATTGGCTCTGAATACCATGAAAGAATCTCAAGTGTTGTCTTGATTAGAAAGAGTGTCGGTACATGTAGGAGATGAGAAGTTTTGGGAACGAAGTGGGGTACCCTCAGCATTTATTGGTGGACCAATCAGATTGGGTCGACCAACAATTGCTGGGGTAACCAACAATCGTTGGAGGGGACCATTATTGGGCGCCCCCCGTCAATTGCGGTCGAGTTGGGTTTGGGGGCGCCCAACCAAAATTGGTTGGGTCGCCTTGACCCAAAGTGTACACCCACTTTAGGGTGTAACACATGCACAAATATAAACATACATTATGCTATATTCTAACATCCTTGTGGTGCTTCATCATCGAAATGAAGTCGTGAATGTGAAGCCAGTCTGTCATTGAAGCAAAGTCATGGCTGTGGTCGTGCTTTGCAGCTCCACCTTTAACCCCTCCTCCTTCTCCCTTTCCCCCTCCCCCTGCTCCTTTTCCTCCTCCTCCCCTTCCACCCCCTCCTCCTCCTCCTGCATTCCCTCCCATTCTACCAGACACCAACCCCGGAAGCCCATAGCTCTCGGGAGGAGCAATCAGCCTCCACACGCCTGTGTTGCTGAGATTCGATTCAGATCTGCTTGGGCGGATTTGATACGCCGCTGAATTTTGAGTCGACTCAAAAGTCGCCCGACTGGAACCCGCGGCCTTGAACGGTAGCGGAGCGGCCTTAGACGGTAACGAATCTGACTTAGATGAGGATGAAGACGAGGGACGGTCGGAGCTCGAATGCAGAGCAGATGGAGATTGCAAAGGAGAGGAAGAGGGAGACAAAGCAGGAGAGGAAGAGGGGGAAGAAGAGGGAGAGGAAGGAAAGGACCAAGAGGGAACCGGCAGAGCATTGGAGGAGCGGGATGCTCCTCTTGGTTGAACACCTTCAGGGCTGTGGAAAATCCTATCCTGCTGCTCCTCTTGCTGGTGCTGCCGCTGTTTCTCAGGCAGGTGCGAGCCGCAATGGCGTTTTTTGGGCAGGTGCAAACTGTCATGATGTTTCTCGGGCAGGTGAGAGCTGTCATGGTGTTTCTCGGGCAGGTGCGAACTGTCATGATGTTTCTCGGGCAGGTGAGAGCTGCTGTGGTGTTTTTTGAACAGGTGCAAGCCGCCATGGTGTTTCTCGGGCAGATGCGAGCTGTCGTGATCTTTCTCGGGCAGGTGCGAGCTGCCATGGTGTTTCTCGGGCAGGTGAGAGCTGCTGTGGTGTTTCTTGAACAGGTGCAAGCCGCCATGATGTTTCTCGGGCAAATGCGAGCTGTCATGATCATTCTCAGGCAGGTGCGAGCTGCCATGGTGTTTCTCGGGCAGGTGAGAGCTGCTGTGGTGTTTCTTGAACAGGTGCAAGCCGCCATGGTGTTTCTCGGGCAGATGCGAGCTGTCATGATCATTCTCGGGCAGGCGCGAGCTGCTGTGGTGTTTCTTAAACAAGTGCAATCCACCATGGTGCTTCTCGGGCAGGTGCGAGCTGTCATGGTGTCTCTTGAACAGGTGCAACATCCCATGATGTTTCTCGGGCAGATGTGAACTGCCATGATGTTTCTCGGGCAGGTGCGAGCTGCCATGGTGTTTCTCGGGCAGGTGCGAGCTCTCGAGGTGTTTCTCCGTGCGTTTGAGAACGGGCCTGCGCAGAGTGGCACAGAGGATCCGCCACGTGCTGTGAGCATGCAGCACCGTCTGCTCCGCTTCCTTTGCTTGCTCCGCCTGCTCCGCTTCCCTCGCTTGCCTTGCTGCCTGCTCCGCTCGCTCTGCTTCGTCTTCTTCCCGCGCTGACATTCCCCATTCCTCTGCTCCTAGCTTCACGTGTCCGATCATCGAACCTCGACCGTCCATTCGTGAGATTCGGATCAGGGTTCCTCCTCCGCTTCTGCCGCCCCACGCTTCCCTCTCCTGGCCCTTAGGTCTTGAGTCTTGATCATCCGATTTTCTTCCCCCCGCCTCCACTGCTTCCACGGGCGAGGGAGAGGGGGAGACGCCGAAGCAGGGACTGGGGGAGCGACCTGCGGGGACGCGGGACACCCGGTAGTGGAAGAGGGGGAGGGAGAGGAGAGGGAGTAAGAGAAGAGCGGGAGGAAAGGTGGGGAAATGGGAGGGGGAGAAGAGGAGAAGGGGATAGGGGAGAAGGGGAAGGGGGTTTAGTTTGATTTTTTTCTCTGTAAACGGTGGGAACTTTCAAGGAGTTTTCAATTTTCGTTTATCTGTATATCGCAATTATTCAGTGGACAAGAGCGCACAAAGTGTCGAGCGAGGAGAAACGCGGGAAGAAATAAATGCGCTAGTAACGAACAAGGAGGGAATATGGAGGGAAAGGAGAGCAAGGAGGGGGCTGCGCGGCAAAGATGTAGGATCGAGATATGGAAGGGTCTGTGAGGTGAGAGAGGGGGGGATGGAAGGGGAGTAAGAAGGGGGGGCGAAGGGTAGGGGGAGCGAAAGGGGAGATAGTTGAAGTAACCAGCTTCGGCATGCCTGGTGCCGCGATTTCGTCAAACGATTCCAATTCTTTCGCCCACTCGCGAACGCGATCCAACAAATCGCTCAAGGAATGTTTCAGCTTGCCGCTCGTCACCAGCTCGTCGTCCGCTGCGATGGTTACAATCCTCCACGAAATCGGCATGCTGTTTCGCCCGGATCCCAGCAGTCGCAGGGGCATCGCCAGCAGCGGAAAAACTTCGTACGTGTCGCCAAGTTCGCGCGCCTGCGACCCAATCTCCAGCGCCTCCAGCGGCACGTTGTCGCACGCCGTTAGAAAGAGCGAATTGCGGAGCTCCTTGACAGAATCACCATCATTCGCATCAGAATCACGCTCGCTAACCCCCGGCTCGTCCTTGCAGCCGCCCGAACCGCCAGAATCACCATCATTCGTATCCCAGCGGGAAAACATCGACATGGATCGCGACGCGAGCACGCACGTCTGCGGCAGGATGCCCAGATTCCACGGCGACGCCTCCAGTAGGAGCGCCGCCGACGACGATCTTAGGATCGTAAACACCTTAGTCGGCAATAGTCTACTTGCTATTGCTTATCGTGTTCTCCACGATCTCACGAATCCAATGATATGCGCAGCTCTGCTTGAAGTTGTCAATACACACTTCAGCAATTTCCAGAATCTCCAAGTTGTGTTTTCCAGAATGAGTACAAGCAGTTTTATAGTCAAGCAAGTCACAAAATGCGATTCGTAACTTCACTTGTTTCCCAAGTAACCCCGTGCGCCTCGTTTCACCCCGAGTCGCACACGGAACCGAACTGAATGCACCGAACACTCCTCAAGTCCGAATCTGGAACCTTCTCGAACACGCCTCGAGCTCGTACCACAGTTTCCCCCGTCGATCTCATTCTCGATACTTCTCTACTCTTCTCCTCCATTTCTCTAGTATCTTCCCGATCTCTCTCCCGCTTCTCACGCCGTAGCTTCCAATATCCACCGTAGGCCGATTTCCACCGTTTCACCTAGAATCATCCACATGCTTCCATTTCGCCGTCATTCCGCCGTCGTAGAAGCTTTCGCCGTAGGTTCCGTGGTTGGGCGAACCAACCCTAACAGACGACGATTGCGACGGCGACGATCGCGACGACCGCGACGACGGCGATGGCGACGACGGCGATCGCGACGATTCGCAATCGGTCTGCACTTTAATACGAGAGCCGTCTAGGCCCAATACGACCGCCTTCCGCTTCTCCCACAGGAAAAGGGAGTCGTCACAGCGCTGGAGTTTTTGGCTCGCGGGCCCGCGATCGGCGGAGGGGGACTTGGCGGCGCGGCAGACGAAGGAGAAAGCGGAGGTGGGGAAGGGGGAAGCGGGGTGGCGCGGGGGGGAGGAGGAGTTGGCGGGGGAGGCGGAGAATCATCGTGATGATGATGATGTCGACGACTATGGTGATGATGATCATCATCTTTATCATCATCATGATGGCGACGACTGTGGTGATGATCATTATCGTCATGATGGTGTTGATGGCGGCGATGATCATCATCATCATGATGATGGCGACGACTATGGTGATGGTCATCATCATCATGATGATGATGACCTAAATCCTTATCATCATGATGGTGATGATGGCGACGAAGGTGCAGCCGTGCGGAGAATCCGGAGCGGGAATGACTCGTTCTCGTAGGCGCAACGGGGGGGGAGGCGGAATGAGGAGGATGTCGTGCCAGATGGATGACACGTGGCCGCCGTTGATTAGCGGGAGAATGCTCTTGGGTGATCCGACGATCCGATTTGGCGCCATGATCAAGTTGTCGTAGTAACTAGTAGTTTTAGAGAGTCAGCAGTGAGCTACCCGTGTGATGCGCGGGTCATGGGGTAGAAATAGCCTAATTGATGCGAAAGGCGTCTAAGGTGCACAGCGGCTGTGAGATATAACTACGTGCATCGTAGCCTTTACTATGTGCTCAGGCTTTTGAGAATGAGAAGGAATATTAGAAGCGTCGAATTGGTTGGACAAATCGCCGGGATGATTCGTACAGAAAATGCAGCGAGCAGCGGTGGTCCCTCCGACTCTCGGAGACATGCATACCGGAAAACGACGGCGTCTACCGTCGAACCTGACATCGATTTCTATCGTTATTCGTTTCCTGTCCATTGAATTCGAACAGTAACACTCGCCGCTCGGTCCGCCCTGGGAAGCAGCCATGCGGAAAACCAGCCGTGCCAATTACAGTACACCCCAAAGTCGGTCCCTGATCGCGGAAACGTACGGCGGGCGCCTGTGCGACTGATCAACTCGTGAAAAAACACGTGCGCTTTAGTGCAAGTTTGTTGTCGTGGTGGTCCTAAAGTTTCTTGGGCGAATGCGAGTTCTTAGCAAGATGCATGACTCACTTGCTATGTCCGATCAAGTGTCATCGTCAGTGTTAATTGCTGGGAAGGCGACTCGGGTGCTGTGACTCCCATTCAGTCACAGAATCAGGTGAGTGAGTGATCTCTGGTTTGGGAGTGTAGGTTTCGTGTGGTTCAGATCAGCTTACGTTTAGCACATGCGGTTGGATACGATGATGTGCAATCTGAAGCGGTGCATCGTTAAACCAACAGTATCAGCTTGAACATTCATGATGAGCACGAACTATGACCGAACTTTCGAGCAGAATGGGTCCACTGCCAAGAATAGGAGACATTGCATCAAATGACTACTTTATGCATCGTTTTTACTCATATGCACCAGTCTTGCCTCGCCATTCCGTAACCAAGTAGAAGTGAAGTTCGGTAACGCAGCAACAGTTGATTCCTATTTTTTTATCAATGGGTAACACCATACTCCAGTTTAAAAGAAATGATTCTTCTAGATGTTCCAAAATGTTCTGACATCAATACTCTAGGTATTGTTGATTGTTTCGGGAACAACACTTATGTATTGTAACTTCCTTAAAGTTATCAATCATACTAGAAATACAAATAAAAAATATAATAGTAGCATATTTATACTATGCAAAATACTTTTGGTAATCATATTATACATGTAAAATAATGTTATATTCAGCTTTGAAAATAGTAATGCTATTTTTTAAGAAAATTCTTGAAATAAAAGCAAACGATTATGAAACTTCTTTTGAAACAAAAATATATTTTAGCATTTATTACTCATAATAACTACAATATTTAAGCATATTTGGCATTATGTTTGTATTTCTATTTCCCATATGTTATGTCACAGCCCACTACAAAAGCATAATATTATGCAAATCTACCTAGTTATATGCGAACATGTATTGTCACTATCATGAGGTAAAAAATAATATACATATATATTAAGATTCAACAACATAGAATTTTATATTAGAGAACATGTAACATAATGTCAAACTTACATGTTGCATGTTGTGTAGATTGTGGAGAGGTAGCCCATATGGGGTACAACCCAATTAAGGTTAGTACTTGTATTCATCCTGTTACTAGTTCATCCATTCTTGCTCATCAGATTCTGTCATGGTATCAGAGCAGTAGGTCCGTAGGACAGTTTTTTTTTTTCGGGCTCACCAGTAGCTAGTGACCGACTGCGGTTACCACGCTACCCCACGCCCTGACCTGCTCTGCGCAGTCAGCGCGCGCCCTGCCCTGCCCTGCCTAGCGTCACACTGCTCGTACACGCCTTGCCCTTCGTCGCGCTGCCCCGCGCACGCCCTGCTCTGCCCCGCGTCACGCTGCTCCGCGCACGCCCTGCTCTGCCCCGTGTCGCGCTCCCCAGCGCACGCCTTGCCCTGCGTCTCGTCCTACCTCACCTATTCGTGCTGCTCGCGTGTTCGTCGTGTCCCGCGTCCGCGTCCTCCCCATGTGTCCGGCACTCACACTATGACACTTCGTCATTCCTCTGTTCCACTGCGAGTTCCCTTGCCGTCTCCTCCAGCGTCCTCTCTTCCTGACGGTCCATAGCCTGGGCATGACTTGGTTCGTGCTGCCAGTCCTACTGTCGCACGTCTTCTAGCCACTGTTGTCACCGACCCTTCGTTTGAGTCCACTGCTGCGTCTGCCCTAGTTGCTGAGCTTGTCGACTTTGCTGATGCGTGTCATCTAGACTACGCCGCTAGTCTTGTTGCTGAGTCTGAGTCTGTCTATCCTCCGTCCGTCGAGGGTGAGTGTGCTCTTGGCACGGACGTCCTTGAGGACAAGCAGAGGACTTTGAGTGTCTTGCAGCTGCTGTACCTCATCTCGTGTCCATGCTGATTGCACCTGAGGGAGACCCGGATGCTCCAGACATCCCGACCCCGCGCTCCTACGAGGAGGCGATTACGGGTCCCTACTCCTCTCAGTGGCAGACAGCCATGGACGCAGAGATGGCATCCTGGACGTCCATAGGCACTTACGTCGACGCAGTTCCCCCTCCTGGGGCGAACATTGTCGATGGCATGTGGATTTTTAGGGTGAAGCGGCCGCCAGGTTCTCCGCCTGCCTTCAAGGCTTGTTACGTTGCTAGAGGCTTTAGTCAGCGACAGGGAGTTGACTTCTTCCAGACCTTCTCCCCTACCCCGAAGATGACCACCCTTCGGATGGTGCTGCACGTCGCTGCTTAGCGTGACTACGAGCTTCACTCTCTTGACTTCAGCACAGCTTTCTTACAGGGCACTCTGCACGAGGAGATCTGGCTGCGCCACCCACCTGGCTTCACTGGGTCGTTTCCTGCAGGTACCCAGTGGAGCCTCCGGTGGCCAGTCTACGGTCTCCGCCAGGCGCCTCGTGAGTGGCATGACACATTGAGGACGACACTTGCGGCTCTTGGGTTTGGTCCTTCGACTGCTGACCCGTCGCTGTTCCTGCGCACCGACACTTCGCTGCCGCCGTTCTACATCCTCGTGTACGTCGACGACCTGATTTTTGCTACTGCTGACACCGAGGCACTGACTCAAGTGAAGTCGGAGCTGCAGAAGAGACACACGTGCACAGACCTGGGTGAGCTGCGCAACTATCTTGGCTTGCAGATCACCCGGGACAGAGCACGCCGCACCATCACCCCTCAGTCACACATGGTGCAGCAGGTCCTTCAGCGCTTCGGCTTCACTTGGTCCTCGCCACAGTCCACTCCTCTGCCTACCAGTCACTCGCTCTCAGCTCCACCTTCGGACGAGTCCGTAGAGCCGAGTGGCCCATATCCAGAGCTTGTGGGCTGCCTCATGTACCTGATGACCAGCACTCGACGTGACCTTGCCTACCCTCTCAGCATCCTGGCACGCTATGTTGGCCGCTAAGAGGGCGACACAGACGAGAGACACAGACGAGAGCACTGGGAGGCCGCTAAGAGGGTGTTACGCTACTTGTGCAGTATGTCGGGCATGGGGCTCGTGCTTGGAGGACGGAGTCGAGTTGTTCTCACTGGCCACGCTGACGCGTCTTGGGTTGAGGACTTGGCTACGCAGCGGTCGTCACAGGGTTACACTTTCAGCCTTGGCTCCGGTTCTGTTTCTTGGCTGTCTACCCGCTCGTCTTCTGTTCCCAGTTCCAGTTGTGAGGCTGAGATCTACGTAGGGGCCATGGCTGCACAGGAGTTACGCTGGCTCACCTACCTGCTGACTGACTTGGGAGAGCCGCCTCGTTCTCCTCCAGTTATGTACGTCGACAACAAGGCCATGATTGCCTTGTGTGAGGAGCACAGACTGGAGCACAGGACGAAGCACATCGCTCTGCGTTACTTCCTTGCTCAAGAGTTGCAGCAGCGTGGTCAACTTCGTCTTGCTTACGTGGCCACTCGGGCCAACACTGCTGATATCTTCACCAAGGCACTTCAGCCTTGTGATCATCAGCGTTTTTGTACTATTTTAGGCCTTGTGCCTACTTGGCCTCACTTGCTCACTTCTTGACTTTGCTTGTACTGTGATCTATATACTTATACCTGCATGCTTACACTTGCTAGGTTTTGATCAATTTACTGCTTGTTCTCATTATATAAATCTGCATGTGAACTGGCCTTGTGGCCATTTGCTTGTGCTCAGAGTGTGTGGTGACTTCGTGATCCACCCTGAGCTTGCTTTGCTTTGCTTGACTGGTCTTGTGACCCCTTGTCTCCCCCACTTTGCCTATGTGTCGTACTTATATGTTGTATGTTGTGTAGGCTGTAGTACTTAGGGTTAGTACTTGTACCTATCCTTTTACTAGTTCATCCATTCCTGCTCATCAGATTCTGACACATAATTCGTTGGTGAACATCACCCTTGCAAGTGTATGGATATGAGTCACGTTTAGAGTTAGAAATCGTACAAGCACTCATATGTTTCTTGTACAGTGAGTTATAATCTTACTTGTGAAGTTAATATTGTCATAGAACAGTGCCCCAAAGGCAAATGAGGCTTGGCTAACGCACTTGCTATAGAAATATGATTCATTTTCATGAGAGATTTACGCTATAAGATCGAATATATCCACAGTCGTAACTGAGGATGATGCTAATTATATCCGAATTTGAACAATTAATAAATGACTAGAATGCACTGTATCTTTCATAATAGGAGGTCTGGACCATGGCGTAGCAAACGGGAGAGAGCAACAAACCGTGTCGCTAGTTTTGAGAGCGATGTTGAATCTGTCGAGTTTTCTAATTTCTCGAAGGTTTGATTTGTTGGGCGGGAAAAATGGAAAACTATATGGCTGGTCACATATATGGCCTGTTTATCACGGATGGCCACTCAGCTAAAGCTCAGCTTTTGGCGCTTCTCACTCCCTTGCGGAAGAGGCGGAAGGAGAGGCTCGTGGAGGTCGATCCGGACTTGAAGACTCGAGACCTAAGGGCCAGGAGAAGGACGCGAGGGGTGGCGGAAGCGGGGGAGGAGCTCTGATACGCGTTTCAAGAATGGACGGTCGAGATTCGATGATCGGATGCGTGGCGCTAGGAGCGGAGGATCTCGAGGAGGAATGGGGGAGGTCTGGAAGGAGAGCAGAGGACGAGGAGGATCAAGCGGAGCAAGCAGCAAGGCAAGCGAGGCAAGCGGAGCAGGCGGAGCAAGCAAAGGAAGCAGAGCAGACGGTGCTGCATGCTCACAGTACGTGGCGGATACTCTGTGCCACTCTGTGCAAGCCCGGTCTCAAACGCAAGGAGAAACAGCAGGGCAGCTGTCAACTGCCCGAGAAGCAGCGGCAGCAGCAGTTACTGCAGGAGCAGGAGCGGCGGCAGCAGCAGGAGCAATTGCAGCAGCAGCAGCAGGAGCGGCAGAACAGGCTTTTCCGCAGCCCTGTACTATCGTGCCATTCCTCCAGCGACCTACCGGTTCCCTCTTGGTCCTTTTCTTCTTCTCCCCTTTCCTCTCCTCCATCTTCCTCTCCCTTTGACACGCTTCAAAAGTCCTCTCCTCCATCTTCCTCCTCTCCCTTTGTATCTCCCTCAGCTCTGTCATCTCGTGTCGACCGTCCCTCAACTTCAGCCTCGTCTGCTTCGATATCAGTCAAGGCCACGACGGGTTCCGGCCGGCCGGGGTATCAAATCCGCCAAACCAGATCAGATACGGAGGTTAGCACCACAGTCGCGTGGGGGCTGATTGCTCCTCCCGAGAGCTATGGGCTTCCGGGGTTGGTCTCTCCTCGCGGGCCGGGGGAGAATAGAGGAGGATTTGGTGGAGGGGAAAGGGGAGGCGGAGGAGGAGGAGGAGGGAAAGGCGGGGTTGCAAGGAGAGCGGAAATCAGCCACAAGCAGAGCCAGAGCATGGATTTTGCTTCGTTGGTGAAGAACAGCGACTGGCTTCAGAACCCCGAGTCTGCTGGTCGCCTTGCGGTCTCTGCTGCTAAGGTTGCAGCAGCAGCGGCGGCAGCAGCGGCGGGATCCGTGAAGTCACAAGTGGTTATGACCTTTGAGACGTCGCAAAAGGCTGCGGAATCTATGAAGGCACAAGTGGTTACGGGAGTCACGGCTACAGCCACAGCCGCTGTTGTTGCTGCCAACAGGAATGTTGTCGCAGTAAACGCGGCAAGAAACGTAGCGGTGAATGCAGCGAGAACGGTGGCAGGAACGGTGGCAGGAACGGTGGCAGACACTGTAGCAGATACGTTAGCAGGAACTGTAGCTGGAACTGTTGCAGGAGATGTAGCAGTGAATGTAGCGCGATCTGTGGCACGTACTTTCTCTCCCCAGTCCTCTCTCCTCAGCCAGCGCAACGGTCCTGCTGTGTTGACTCTCAAGCCAAATCTTCCTCCTCTATCCCCTCCTGTCACCAACCCATCGCGACCTCCTCCCCTCAATCCCTCGTCTCAATCCCCTCGCCCCACTCCCTCGTCTCAATCCCCTGGTCCCACTTCCTCATCTCGACCCCCTCCTATCACTACCGCGTCTCGATCCCCGCCTCTCACTCCCTCGTCTAAATCTCCCCGTCACACTTCTGCGTCTCGCACCCCTCCTCTTAGTCCCTCATCTCGACCCCCTCCTCTCGCTCCCCCATCTCAATCCCCTCGTCTCGCCTCATCTCGTCCCCCTCCTCTCAGTACCTCCTCTCGATCCCCTCCTCTCACTCCCTCATCTCGCACCCCTCCTCTCAGTCCCTCATCTCGACCCCCACCTCTTGCTCCCTCGCCGCGATCCCCTCGTCCCACTCCCCCATCTCGATCCCCTCCTCTCAATCCCTCGTCCCAATCCCCTCGTCTCGCCTCATCTCGTCCCCCTCCTCTCACTACCTCGTCTCGCTCCCCTCCTCTCACACCCTCCTCTCGATCCCCCCCTCTCACTCCCTCATCCCTGTCCCCTCCTCTCACTCCCTCTCACTCCTCCACCACCTCCCTATCCCCCTCTGCTCGCCCCTCCATCCTGAAAGCACCTGCTACCTCCACGGCTTCTTCTCCCAGATTTGGCAAGCGGGTTTCCTGGAACCTTCACCCAGATAGCCCATTCCCCCCTGCCAGTGCAACATCTGGGGGGGCTAGATCACCAAGGGGAGGGGGCCCTAAATCAGCAGAAGAAGGGGGGTACCGGGCCATTGCACGAAGGGCATCGTGGCATGGAGACACCTCTGATGACATGCTTGCTGATAACATCCTTGCAGCTGACATCCGACCTGCTGCTGACATCCGTCCTGCTGCTGACATCCGACCTGCTGCTGACATCCGTCCTGCTGCTGACATCCGTCCTGCTGCTGACATCCGTCCTGCTGCTGACATCCGTCCTGCTGCTGACATCCGTCCTGCTGCTGACATCCGTTCTGCTGCTGACATCCGTTCCGCTGCTGACATCCGTTCTGCTGCTGACATCCGTTCTGCTGCTGACATCCGTTCTGCTGTTGACATCCGTGCTGCTGCGCCTGCAGGTGCCATAGGCAGGCGGGCGGGGAATGTTTTTGATAAGTTTGCTGGTGAAGCTGCTGAGGCTACTGAGGGAACAATGCTCCCAGCAGGTGCTACTGCTGCTGCTGCTTCTGCCGCTCCGGCTGCTGCTGCTGGCGGTGTTGTTGGTGCTGCTGCTGGTGATGGTGGTGTTGGTGGTGGTGCTGCTGGTGCTGCTGGTGCTGCTTCTGCTGCTGGTGTCAATGCTGCTGGTGCTTCGGCTGCTGGTGCCAATGCTGCTGGTGCTGCTGCTGGTGCTGCTCGTACTGCTGCTCCTCCTGCTGCAACGGCTGCTGGTGCAGCTGTAACTGCAGCTGCATTTTCAATGTCTTCCCGTGCTTCCCCACTCACAGCTCGAACCACTGCAGTGAAGCCTCAATCCTCCAGGCCTTCCGTGAATCGTCCTTCTTCGAAGGTTCTTGTAAAGAGTGTGAGCTCTGACCAGATCCGCAGCCGTTTTGCAGCAGCTGGATATGCGAGCGAGTCGGAAGTTTCCCGGCGTGGAGAAGCTTCGGCAAGAAGAGGAGAAAGAAAGGCACGTGCTGCATTTGTGGTGGTGCCTAGGCGCAGCGTGCACACGCGGAACTTAAGCGACGACACAGGGTTTGGATCCCCTATTCTCTCTCCAAAATAGACTTCACGAAATAATTGGTCGCTGCATGTATTTGTTTTTTCTTCTTCTTCTTCCTAGGTGTTTAGTTGAGTTGAGTTTGAGTCTAGTTGAGTTGTCAAAAAGGTATAGTTGCGTTCTTTTCTGAAAAGTAATAGGCCTTAAAAATTTCTGGGTTTTTCTGTCTGCCTTGCAAACGCGGCTTTTGATATCGAGGAAAATGTGGCAGCCGGCATTTCTGATAATTGTGCTGATCCAGCCCAGAGGATCCCTAGAGGAATTTCTTCCAATGTCGCTCGTTCGTGGCCCAACCAGTGCGGTTATCCCATGGTACCCAGCGTATACACCCAAATACCGTTCTGAAACGTAACGCACCAGACGAAACTGTGGTTCATTCATGTACTGAAACCTGGATTTCAGAATCTGTATTCCGCTTGTTAGCTCGGTTGCTCGCCTAAGCTAACCGGTGCACGCACGATACACAAGCATACATCCTATCCTTGGCTCAAAATGAAGGTTCAGGATTCAGATTTTGGACTTCCAGGCAGTAGCATGTGGGAGTAAACATTCTCTTGGAATCTCCGACTGAGCTTATTAGATTTGGTACCGAAATGAGAACCACATCCTTTTGTCGCTTTTTTCTCGTTCTTTTGAGACGCCGGCGAATGCACAATCTCGTGTCGCGCTCGGTTTGTTTCAACAGCTGCCAATGTCCACGTGGAATTTTCAAGAATCAGCGTAGGACCTGGCACTCCTCTTCAGCTGCGGAACTAGTAGCCACGTGGCTTCTCGAGAGGTGTTGTTAGCTGCATGCTTGCTATTGCTGACTCTAAGCGTACCGTATAAGCACGAGCTGGGTGCTGAATACTGGTGACACTTTGCTAAGATCGCGTCTCACTTTTTAGTCGTATTTGACGCTGCTATTGAACGCTTTTAACTGCGCTGCACGGTCTGCGATCAATATCCGTGTTGTCTGGCAGAACAAATAGTACGAAGGGTAGTGTTTCGCTTCTCCATCAGAGTGAATTAGCACCGCTTTTGATCTCTTTCGCCGCCATGGCTAGTTCGAGCACCTGTCTGGTTGGTGGTGCTACCAAAATTCTTGCGTCGAGTATATCCGACAAGCCTCGTTTCAGTTCCTCCCACCGCAGCCACCCCGCCGCTACACTCCCCTCTCGCTATTGTCACATCCATCGTCCGAACACCCTGAGTCTCCGTCCGCCGATCTCGCACCAACCCTGCCGGCCAATCACAGTGTGCCAGGTCTCGCTCGTCGATGACGCCCCGTTCGTCGCAGCGATCGCCACGTCCATCGCACTCTCAGCCGCGCCGCTCGTCCTACCGTCGCTCCCGCTCCTTTCGGGAAAGACGAAAGGATCGGACGATGACGATGCTGCAGCAGCGGCGGCCGCAGCGCTGCTGGCCGCGGGAGTAGGGGTGGGGGACGGGAAGGGGGAGGCGGAGGGGGAGGAGGCGGAAGGGGCGATGTCTTTGGGGGAGTTGCGCGCGGGGGTGATGACGGTGGTCAGCCTGATTCCGTTCTTCAACTGGCTGGTGATTATAACGAGTGACTGATTGATATGGATGGAATATTCCAATGATTGGAAACTTCGTGACCCATAGGTGAATGGGATGACTGGATCTTATGGCATGGTTGGTTGTTATGACATGGGAGAATTTAATTGTTTTTCGTCTCCATAAGGTTCTGAAATGTGATGTTCAAGGCTCAGTGTGACAGTATACGAAGTGTGGCTGTCTATAATTGTGTTCTTGTGTCGATTGTCAGGTGCCTTAATTTGTGTTATGTGATTGATTGTATGGTGGCAGTGCTGGGTGCTGGCATGGATTGATTCTCGTGACTCCAAGTACATACATCCTCCGTGCAGCTGTTAGGCGCCTTAATCAGTGTGCTGTGATTGGATGATTGTTTGGTGGCATCGTGGCAGTGCTGGGTGCTGGCGTGGATCGACTCCCGTGACGTCAAGTACATCCTCTTTGCGGCGGTCTATGCCGCACCGTATGCCAGGTGGGCGATGTTCATAATTACCCTATGCAAGCAGTGCTTTGCCAATAATCACCCTATGTTGGGTGCTGGCGTGTATCGACTCTCGTGATGTCAAGTACATCCCCTTTGCGGCAGTCTATGTCACACCCTGTGCCAGGTGTGCATCATCCACGCCAGGTGTGCATCATCCACGCCAGGTGTGCATCATCCACGCCTGGTGTGCATCATCCACGCCAGGTGTGCATCATCCATGCCAGGTGTGCATCATCCATGCCAGGTGTGCAATGCCCATCATTACACTTGCCAATCGTTAGCTAGTGCCAGAAATGCGAACCCAATTTTATGCTAGGTATGCAACACCTGACAATCTTAACGTCCCATTGTCGACCTCCTCTCTTGACCCCTCTTGACCCCCGTTTCTTGACCCCCCTCTCTTGACCCCCGTTTCTTGACCCCCCTCTCTTGACCCCCGTTTCTTGACCCCCCTCTCTTGACCCCCGTTTCTTGACCCCCCTCTCTTGACTCCCGTCTCTTGACCCCCCTCTCCTGACCGTCCTCTCTTGACCGCTCATTGCAATGCTACGTCTGATCTCACAGGGGCGGTCTCAGCCTGGCAATGGACGGCAACTGGCTCCCTCTCTTCAGCATTGCAGCGTGTGCATTGCATGTCCAGGTCAGCATGTGCCCGCTTTGGGATCACTGGGGGTTTCTGACTTGATTCAATTTGTTGGATTTTTACATTGAAGTGGTCTAGGGGCCGTTGAAGTGGTCACTTACGCAGCTGATTAAAAGATTGGCATCATGCGTACCTTGTCATGTTACCTTGGAATTGTTGGGCGGGGAATTGTTGGGCGGGGTCCAACCAGGTTGACAATGTAGCTGTGGAGCGAAGGAAGCTGGCCTCCAAGATTAAGTGCGCCAAGGTGGGTACCAGGAATGCTTCTGCGATCAGGTGTACCAGTTTCTTATTTCTATTATACTTCTCACTTCTTTCTTCTCCGCGCTTCCTGTTTTCAAGTCATCATTTTCTCAATTATCTGCTTCGTGCTTCGAGATTTTTGCTTTGTTCGCATCCAACACCCTGCGTCATCCTCCCCGCATCATCCCTCCCTAGCAGAAAAAGGGCAGTCTTCCAGGTAGTGCCAAGGACAAGGGCAGCAACACAAAGTAGAGCAAGTGATGGGGGTCGAGGAGAGGAGAGGGGGTGGCGTGGGTGGCAGAATGAGGGAATTACAGATTAGCAACAGCATGAATTGCAGCCAGTTTGTTCCTAGCACTAGTTACGGTAGTATGCGCTGTACAGCTAATGTACAGCTGATATTACTGTTGGCTAGGGTTGGTGACTGCTCTTCACTGCACAGCAGATGCGTGTGCTACACTCTATACGGGTTGTGTGTACCTTGTACAGTAGCTGATATTGTACTATTTGTGTAAAAAGTTTAGATTTGTGTTCGGTTTTTATTGCCTCAGCACCTTGACGCTCCCCAAACAGAGGTATTAATGTTTGGTTTTTATTGCCTTTGCAGCCTTGACGCTCCCCAAATATGGAAGTATTAATGTTTACTCTGGATAATTCCTATGGATTGTATCGCACCTGGCCACTCAGATCATGAAGCACTAAAATCAAACTCCCGTCCCCCTTTCAAGAAATTGAGAAACCGTCTCTCTGTTGCCTGTTTTCGCTTCACCTCCAACTGCTGCTTCGGCATCACATCACAGTACCACCTGTACCCCTTTCCAACAGGCGCCCCAAATGCAGCATCCCCTCCTGCCGCCAAAACAGCAGGTCCTTTAACCTGCTCGTGAACTGGGCTGCTCGCTCCTCTAGTTCGCACGGTACTGCTGCCTCTGCTGCTACTGCTGCGGGTGCTTTGGCTGCTGTGAGTGCTTCCGGACTCCCAACCAGGGCTCAAGACACCTGCTGTGGTCAACCCACCAGCACCAGCATGCCTACTGTTCCCTGCTTCAGACACTCTCCTCTCTTCCCATAGAACAGGGCTAGCAGACCAAGAGCTACTGCTGCTGCCAGTGCTGCTTCCGGCACCAGTCATGCCAACGCTGCCAACGCTGCCAGTGCTGCCGGTGCTGCTGGTGCTGCCCCTGCGGCTGGTCCTGTGAATCGGAGACTCCAACCACATCTGGGGAGGCTGTGACTGTTTCTCTGCTTCTGCTGCTGCTGCTATCCCTGCACATCCATCGTCATAGCTGCTGCAATCAGCAACGCGGGATGACCTTTTCTTCCACCAGATACCAAGGCCTGGGCTGCCAGGGACTCTCTTCCTTGCCGCACCACCGTCGCTATCCCTCCTGCTTCTGCTGTTGCTGCTACTTCTGCCGAATTTCCAGCTGTTACCAAACAGCCCGCCACCCATCCTGCTGCTTCCCACACCCCTATTCTCCTTCCCACTGCTGCTGTCAAACGCCTCCTTGCTTTCTGAAGCCCCTCCTGCCAAGATTCTGTCAAACTCACCCGGCTGCAACTGCTGACACAAGTCGCTGTGGTGAGGCTGATAGCTTGCTGCATGAGAGGATGTAGAAGCTGAGTCCGCAGGGGACACAGGGATGACAGGGATCAGGCCCAGGTCTTCAAGGCGAGCTTGGGACAGGGAGGAGGCCAGGGAGGTAGCAGGGGAGGAGGGCGTGGGAAGAGAGAAGGAGAAGGGAGGAGTGGTTTCTGTGAGTTTGCGAGCTCTCTCCTCTGCCTTGCGTCTGCTGCTGCGGAAGCCAAACCGGCCTCTGCCAACCCATCCCGCTGCTCCTCCTGCTTCTGCTTCTGCGTCTACCGCCATTGCTGCTGCTCCAGGGCGGACCACCCTGGGGACGGAAGATCTGAAGCGAGGGGGAGCACTGGTGCGGCGCTGCATACCCCTGGCCTGTGAGAATACTTGAGGCGCCTGACGAAGATGCATGCCTCCTGTGGCGTGTGAGTTGAGTGACTCAGTGGCGTGTGAGTTGAGTGATTCAGTGGCGTGTGAGTTGAGTGATTCAGTGGCAGGGACGTGATCGAGGGAGAGGTGAGGGAGGGCGTGCGCATGGAAGGAGGAGGAGAATGAGGAGGCGGGGGAATAAAACGCCTCCGACTCTCCTCCATCCCACTCCTCCTCTTCCCCCTCCTCCTCCGCGTCCTCTCCCATCCCTGCTGCCACTGCTGCCACCGATTCTCCTCCCCCAATTCTCTCCCGCTGCTTCTCCTTGCGAGCACGGTGCACACGCATGGCCTCTCTGATCCGCACATACAGCTGCTCCTCCTCCAGAACCTTCCGGAACGCCTTCCCCTTGCCGCCCTTCGCATCCGCCAAATCAGACTCGATCTCTTTGCTGAACACCGTGAACAGCATTCCACCGAACCCCTTGGTTACAAAGTTGACCAGCGCGGGCGGCATTTTGAGATCGACAGTGAAGATTCCCCGATAGTGGCAGCGATTCTCTCCCAAGTCCTTCACGGTAAAGCCACCATTGATGGCCATGCGGACGACGCCGGAGGGCACGGGAGGGACAGCCTCTCGAGGGAAGCCGTGCTTTGCTGGGTTGATGAGCGTGTTGTCTTCTGGCGGCTGGAGGGGGAGGGGGGGGTGTGGAAGAGCGGGAATTGGAGAGATGGGAGTGTTATGAGCAGCCTTTTCAGGTGAAGCCACCGTTGATGTCCATGCGGACCACGCCCGAGGGTAAAGTTGCAACGGCCTCTCGAGGAAAGCCATGCTTTGCTGGGTTGATCAGCGCGTTGTCCTCTGGCGGCTGGGGATGGTGGGGATGGAGGTGGGGTGGTAAAGGCCACGAATGGGCTTCCACGGCGAAGCAGCCGTTGATGGTCATGCGGACGACGCGGAGGGCACATGATGTAATTACCGACTCTTTCCACAAAGCCACTCACCGTCTGAAGGACGGTCGTGACCATCCCCGTGTTAGCGTCGTACACGCTCAAGAGCATAAAGGCGAACTGCCTCCCAGGGAACGGCCAGGCCCCCTCCCTCCCCACAAACCAAGCCACCGCCTACGAGTCAGAACTAGCCACTCACCGTCTGCAGGACCGTGGTGACCATCCCCGTGTTGGCGTCGTAGACGCTCAGGAGCATGAAAGCGAACTCCTTCCCCGGGAACGGCCAGGCCCCCTCTCCCCCCATCAAATCATGCCACCGCCCATGAGTCATGACTCAGGCACTCACTGTCTGAAGGACGGTCGTGACCATGCCGGTGTTGGCGTCGTACACGCTCAAGAGCATGAAGGCGAACTCCTTCCCGGGGAACGGCCACGGGGTCCTGAACCTGCTCGCGCAACGCGATTCAACCAGCAGCAAGAGAAGAAACGATTTTTGAGACAGTCTCAACAAATGGCCGAGGGGTCCTGAACCTGCTTCAGCAACTAGATCCAACCAGCAGCAAGAAAAGGAATCTAGAGCCGTTGTTGACAGGGCTATGACATTGCGAATGAGTCCTATGCCTATTTTGTATGCTTGTCAGATGTGGTTAGTGTGTCATATAAGTTTGACGGCTTATATCTGTGGTGTTGAAGAGTTTACCTCATGTAGGTGAGGTCGAATCCGTCGCCAATTCGCTTCAGGTACCGATTTTCAATCACTTTGTACACAGGCATGTTCTGCTGCGGCCACCTGAAACGACAAGGAGAGAAAAACGAGACATAAGTCACAACGTCACGAGCTGCGCGGGAAAACGAGCAAACTGGTTTTTTGCTGTGCAGTTGTATCCCTCCATTGTGTTGTCAGGCGTTGCACAGCCGTCGACGAATGCCACAAGGCAGTAAACCACTCATGCGAGGGCAAAAGTTCGGCGTACCATTCTTTGAAGAAGGTGACGTCACGAGTCATAGCGACGGCTGCTTCCACGGGGCCGTTCACAATTCCCTCCATCAGCAGCGTGTGCACTTCCGTCCCTTCCGGGCCTTTGCGCACCATGGCTCGATGCTCCGGACCCTCCTCGCACACCTGCGGATAGGGATTTATTCTTCAGCTTTCTTTATTGAGGCATGCTGATTTGAGTTTTCCCAATTTTTGTGGATCTTAATGAGCATACCGTCATTCAGTCTGCCTCCACAATGGAGCTCGAAATTAACAAAAACGACTCTCCTGTTTCAGGCAATAAGCGTAGGTGCATGACCACGCGTCGTACCTTCCACGCTCGGCGATCTCCAGGTGCCATATCCTTCATAGCAGTTTTCCCAATTTTTGTGGATCTTAATGAGCATACCGTCATTCAGTCTGCCTCCACAATGGAGCTCGAAATTAACAAAAACGACTCTCCTGTTTCAGGCAATAAGCGTAGGTGCATGACCACGCGTCGTACCTTCCACGCTCGGCGATCTCCAGGTGCCATATCCTTCATAGCATCAGCTTTAGCACTGTTCATGTCGTTCAGCACCCCCATCATTTCCCCCGACCAGTGATTGATGACTTCCTCCGATGAATTCGTAGCTCCTGCACCTGCACAGAGCAAGGTCGAATGATACAGATAACTAGTGTTAGTTCGCAGCTTAATAAAAACCTGACGGTTTTTGGTCTTCTGATTAGTGCACCGTAACAGCGTTGATAATTTACGATCTTGAAGAGATTCAAAAGCGCTACCTCGTTGTGTTAGCTGCTTCCGAATTGCTGTCCTGACTGCTCCGAGGCTGTTCCATTCGGGAGCCTCCAGGGCTTCGTCTAATGCGGTCATGCCATCAACAAGCGGCATGGCTTCTCCTCAAACTTGCCACTTCTATACTGAGTTAGTATAGTGAGATTAAATACGCTGAGGTAGTTACGCGCTTTGCGAGAATCTACTAGACACGCTGCTGCATAGGCTAATCCTTCGCTTCAAACGTGTCAAAGCGCATAATTCTTGAAACGCGCGCAAATGAGTAGGATAGTGTCGCCAAACAACCTACAACAGGGTATGAGGCCCCGCACCTACTGGAGTAAAAGACAGCTGAGTATGAAAATGCTACTTGATCAGCGAAGGTCACTAGAGCTCTGATAGTCTAGAATGCTGTTCAAGTCTGAAGCCCGAGGATGATCAGCTGTACAATTCCCAAGCGGAGGAGCTGTGGATGAAATCGAGGCAAACGTTTGATTCGGCAGCTGTACAATTCCCAAGGGGGATGATGGGGTTTGACGCGCCTCGAGTTTGGGGATGCCGGAAAATGTCGAGCCCCTCCGGTCAGTTTCGCATCAAACCTGGACTTCGGGCTGTCTGTGTGGGCTGATGGTGGAAGTTTTTGTGACGGAAGGCCATCGCATGGACGACGGGATGGGAGGTTTGATGGGCGGACACATCCGACGTGGCCCTCGCTCCGTGGTTGATTGTGGAGCCGTCAGCATCGACTGGAGTCGCTCCTTTGCGGGAAATATTCAGAGCCAAAATGCACGCACGTTGTGACCCCCAAGCGACACTGTATGGGGGGTATTGTCCCTGTCACCCCGAAAACGAATTGCACGTGGAATCACGTAGTGTCACGGGCAGGTTTTGTGGCAGACCACTTCGGCAAAACGGGTGTTTGTCGGCCAACCAGCGCGTTCGCTGACCCATCACGATTGATGACAATCTACCCCACTGAAGGGAATTCCTCTGACGACAGCTGACCGGAACAGCTGAAGCAACCAGCTGCAGTGGGGAGTAGAGAGGTCTCCGAAACCTAAAGACAGAAAAAGAGCTCCGTTGCCGGGATTTGAACCCGGGTCGCCTGGGTGAAAGCCAGGTATCCTAACCGGGCTGGACGACAACGGATGTTGATGAGACTAAATAAATATTAAAGTTAATATAGCAAACATCTATCGACATCCTCTTCGATTGTCTTCTCGCCCTCTCACCATGGCTCTCAGTTATTCCCCAACATGCCTGGCTGTTGGTTCCGAACTGACAGTCCAACGTGGCATTCCCTCAACATTTGCCTCCAAATGTAGCCAAATTGGCGGCGTTGATCTCCTCCAATGGAAGGGCTCCACGTTGCACCTCAAGGCACGGCGGCATTCCACATCGACGGCACCGCGCACTGCGAAAGTGGTCGCTATGGCGGGCAAGAAGGGGAAGAAGGGCGGGGGAGGCGGCGGAAGAACCGGCGGAGGGGGAGGCGGAGGCGGCGGTGCCGGCGGAGGCGGAGGCGGCGGGGGCGGGGGGAAGCTGAAGTCGGCGGGCAGCAAGGCTCCGTCCGCGGATCGCGGGACGGCGTACCAGAACGAGACGCGGAAGATCATCCTCAGCGTGAACCGCCTCCGCAAGGCACGTTGAAAATCAACTCTACTAGAGCTTTTTCGTGGCAGAGATTCCCCGTTGCGTGCAAAGCAAATGCTGTTGCGTTCGGTGCCCCTCGCGCGTCCGGGCTTTGCTGGACGGGATTCAGGGTTCAAGTCGCCGTTCTGTTCAAGGGAAGAGACACGGACGGTGAAGGTCTCCAACGAACGCAACAGCATTTGCGCGGAGAAGCCCGAAGTTTCATTTCACGCGCAATCTAGAGATTGCTCTCTAGAGATGTACCTCGGGTGATTGCTCTCCCTCCCCCCCCCCCTCACTCCACCACCCTCCTCCCACCCGATGCTCACCTCGAGCCAAGCAGGTCGCCAAGCAGGAACATCAGCCTGGGCATGTACCTGGGGGCCAAGATTGGGTTCCTGGGGGCCAACGGAGCGGGCAAGAGTTCCCTCATGCGCATTCTGGCGGGGAAAGACACGACGTTTGAGGGGGATTATCACACTGACCTCCTCCACCCCCTCCTCCCCTCCTCCCCCTCCTCCCCCTCCTCCCCCTCCTCCTTGCCCTCCTCCTCTCCCTCACCCCCCCAGGTCGCTCCCAACGGCAAGGAGATCTTAAAGAACATCAGCCTGGGCATGTACCTGGGCGCCAAGATTGGGTTTCTGGGAGCCAACGGAGCGGGCAAGAGTTCTCTCATGCGCATTCTGGCGGGGAAAGACACGACGTTCGAGGGGGATTATTACATTGATCCGAGCATCAAGATTGGGTACCTGGAGCAGGAGCCGCTGCTGGATGATGGGGTGACTGTTATGGATAATATCGAACCTGCTCTTAAGGAGACCAAGGACCTGCTTCAGGAGTTTGAGGAGGTGAGAGGGTGGGGAGGAGGTGAGGAGGTGAGGGGATGAGGAGGTGAGAGGGTGGAGAAGAGGAAGTGAGGAGGAGGAGAAGAGGAAGTGAGGAGAAGGAAGTGAGGAAGTGAGGAGGTGAGGAGGTAGTGAGGAAAAGGTTGGGCGGAGGAGGAGAGTTCGGCAGGGAGGAGAAAGCGCAAAAGAACAAAAAGCGGGCAGCATAGGTTTGGAGATCAAGCAGTTCATGCCTTTATCCGTGTGTGCTTATCTCAGATGTGCTTATATCCGCTGTGTGTGCTCACATTCAACATATGTGCTTATATCCATGTGTGCTCATACATATCCGTATTTGCTTGTATCCATATATCCATCAGGTGAGTGTGGCGTGGCGATGGCATCAGCAGGCGATGCTGACATGGACAAGCTGATGGCTCAGATGGAGCGCTTTTTGATGCGCCTAAAAAACCATCCATGTGTGCTCATACTTATCCGTCCATACATGCTTGTATTATATCTATGTGTTATACCTATATCCATCAGGTCAGTGTGGCGATGGCATCAGCGGGAGATGCTGACATGGACAAGCTGATGACTCAGATGGAGCACCTTTTGAGGCGCCTTAAGAATCATCCATGTGTGCTTCATACTTATCCATTGTGTCCATACATGTTTCCATCTGTCAGGTGAGTGTGGCGATGGCGTCAGCGGGCGATGCAGACATGGACAAGCTGATGACTCAGATGGAGCGCCTGCAGACCCGCCTGGATGCCTGCAACGGCTGGGAGCTCGACAGGCAGCTTCAGGTGAGTCCTCAGGTGGAAACAGCAGAGAGAGACAGCAGTAGGTGAGTCCTCAGGTGGAAACAACAGAGGCAGGCAGGCATCTGCTGCGGTAAGTCCTCAGGGGCTCTGCCCCCCAAGGGAGCTCCTCGAGGAGAACCTGAGTGTTGCTGCTTCAACAGTCCTCGTGCCCTGATCCCTGTCTCAAACCGACTTGCAAAGCTCTCCACCCCCCTCTACCTCCCTTGCTCCCCTGCCTGCCCTCCCCTCAGAGATCCATGGAAGCACTGCGCTGCGCTGGCCTGCAGGGGAAGCCCCGTGGCCAATCTGAGTTGCGAATCTGAGTGGCGAATTATCAGAATCTAAGTAACATTCTGATTTCGGGTTCCATCCACGCTCCCCCACCCCCCACCCCCCCCCATCCCGTCTCCCCCACTTGTCTCAGAGAGCCATGGAAGCGCTGCGCTGTGCTGCCCTCCAGGGGACGCCCCCGTGGCCCACCCAAGTGCTGCTGCTTCTCAGTTCCACTTGCACCGCTCTCCACCCCCCTCTACCTCCCTGCCTCCCGTGCTTCTAGAGAGCCATGGATGCGCTGCGCTGCGCTGCCCTGCTGGGGAGACCCCCGTGGCGAACCTGAGTGGTGCTTTCACAAGCCCCTCGTGCCCTGATCCCTGTTCTCAAACCCACTTGCACCGCTCTCCACCCCCCTCTACCTCCCTGCCTCCCGTGCTTCTAGAGAGCCATGGACGCGCTGCGCTGCCCTGCTGGGGAGGCCCCCGTGGCGAACCTGAGTGGCGGGGAGAGGAGGCGCGTGGCCCTGTGCCGGCTGCTGCTGCAGGTGAGAAAAGGGAAAGAAACAAAGGGGGGAAGGGGGCAGGATTTTGTGCTCTCAGGAAGAAAAAGTCAGGCGCCCGGTGTTTGAAGAAGTGTTTTGAGACGTCTCAAAACACTTCTTCAAAAAAGGGGGGAAGGGGGCAGGGTCTTGTGCTTTCAGCAAGAGAAAGTCAGGCGCCCGGTGACTGTTTAGGTGCCGTGCCTAAGATACTTCAGGCGCCGGACATGCGTGGCTCATGCCTTGCCTTGCCTTGCCGGACGTCCTCTACCTGGACGAGCCCACGAATCATTCGCAACACAGAGTTTGTGGTGTGTGGCTGGAGAGACCGACCGACCGGCCTTTGAGGCGCCTCAAAAGTCAGATATTTTGAGGCGCCTTAACAGTAAAAAAAGAAAAAAAGGCGCCTCAAAAGTCAAAAATATTCTGAGGCGCCTCAAAAGCCCACGAATCATTCGCAACACAGAGAGGGTGTGGTGTGGCTGGAGAGACCGACCGGCCCCGTCTTGTACCTCACTCACTCCTCCTCTTCCCCTCCCTCCCTCTTCCACTCCCCTCCTCGCCTCTTGTGCATGCAGGCGGCCAACATTCTCTCCGTGCAGTCCACGTTCCACGTTGATGCATCAGAGGCAGTGGCGTGGCTGGAGCGACTTTTGAGGCGCCTCAAAAGTCACCTCTTGTGCATGCAGGCGCCCGACATTCACTCCCTGGACGGACGGACGAGCCCACGTTCGCTTTTGAGTCGACTCAAAAGCTGGACGGACGAGCCCCCGTTCCACCACCTCGACTCGATGCAGCAGAGGCGGTGGCGTGGCTGGAGCGACTTTTGAGGCGCCTCAAAAGCACCACCTCGATGCAGCAGAGGCGGTGGCGTGGCTGGAGCGACGGACCGGCACGGCCCTTCCTGTGAATTTATGCACTCCTCTTCCCCCACCTTCCCCCCACACTCACATTGTTACTATGTGCAGGCACTGGACTCTCTCTTTCTGGTCGAACCTACCAACCACCTGGATGCGGAGGCAGTGGCGTGGGTGGAGCGACTGATCGGCAGGGCCCTTCCTGTGGCACACGCCTTTTCCCCTCCCCTAACCCCAACCCAACCCCCCACGCCCACTGCTCCCATGCACAGGCGTGCGGCATTCTGTTTCTGGACGAGCCCACGAACCACCTGGACGCGGAGGCGGTGGCGTTTTGAGACGACCAGCCGCATCCCTTCTGTATCTCGCTCACACCTTGTCTATCCCTCTCCTACCCGCCATATCCCCTCCCCTCCTCCACTGCAGGCGCCCGACATTCTGTTTCTGGACGAGCCCACCAACCATCTGGACGCGGAGGCAGTGGCATGGCTGGATGGAGGCACTCACTCACCATCCCCCTTCCCCCTCCACACTCCCCTTTACCTCTCCCGCCATCAGGCGCCGGACATTCTCTTCTTGGACAAGCCCACCAACCACCTCGACGCGGAGGCAGTGGCGTGGCTGGAGCAAACCCTTTTGTAAACCCCTTCCCTCTTTCCCCCCTCCATTTTCCCCCCAGGCACCGGACATGCTCTTCTTGGACGAGCCCACCAACCATCTGGACGCGGAGGCAGTGGCGTGGCTGGAGCGGTATCTGGCTGAATTCAAAGGCACCGTTGTGGCCATCACTCACGACCGCTACTTCCTGGATAATGTGAGATGATGTGACTATAACGGGTGGGGGTAATGGTGGAGGGTGGGTATGCTGGTGGTGTGCGATTCAAAGGCACTGTCCTCACCATCACTCACGACGCTACTTACTTACTCGAGAATGTGAGTGTAGATGTGACTGTATGAATGAATTCTCCTCGGTATGTGCCCGCACTGCAGGGGGGTGGGAGAGCAGGAGCAGCAGCTGCAGCAAGAACATTCACCCTCACCAGAACCCCGCTTTTCCCCCTTTTTCTCCCTCTTCCCCTGCGTGCAGGTTGCAGGGTGGATTCTGGAGCTTGACCGTGGGCAGGGCATTCCCTTTGAGGGTAACTACTCCGCTTGGCTCGAGAGAAAGGCACAGCGCCTGGGGGCGGAGGAGAAGCAGCACTGGCAGCTTGCTCTAACAACCCCCAAAATGCATTCAAAAAACACATGGGTGGAAAGGAGCACAGCAGCAGCAGCAGCAGTAGCGTCACGCTTACCACCATTCGCCCTCTCTGTTTCCCTGTGCCCAGGTGGCGGGGTGGATTCTGGGGCTGGATCGTGGGCAGGGCATCAGCAGTCATCAGCGACCCTTACAAGAATTCCTCATTTCTTTTTCTTCCTCTCTATTGCCTTTTCTGAGGTCAGGTTGCCGGATGGATTCTGGAGCTGGATCGAGGGCAGGGCATTCCCTTTGAGGGTAACTACTCTGCGTGGCTCGAGAACAAGGCACAGCGCCTGGGGGCGGAGGAGCGGCAGCAGTAGCAGCAGCGTTCACCCTTACCACGAACCCCCTTTTCTCCCTCTTCACCTGCACGCAGGTGGCGGGGTGGATTCTGGAGCTGGATCGCGGGCAGGGCATTCCCTTTGAGGGCAACTACTCCGCTTGGCTCGAGAACAAGGCGCAGCGCCTGGGGGCGGAGGAGAAGCAGCAATCGGCGCTGCAACGGGTTATGGAGAGGGAGATGGAGTGGATTCGGCAGAAGGCCAAGGGGCAACAGAAGAAGGGCAAGGTGAGAGAAGGGAGTGAAACAGAGGAAATTACAGGGAAATAGTGATTCAGGCGAGCCATTACTCGCGAGACGAGAGGCTGGAGAGCATTTTCTGCCTGCTCCACCATTCCCTCCACTCCAAGCGAGCCAGTACTCAAACAGGGAGACATATTCTCTCGAGAGAACATGCTCCTGCTTGCTTCGTCCTCCCCCCAAACCCCCCAATTCCCAGGCGCGCATGCGAGCGTATGCAGAGCTGTGATTCAGGCGAGCCAGTATTCTCGGAAAGAGAGGCTGGAGAGCATGTTTCTTGCCTCTTTCACTGCTATTACCTGCCTCCTCTCCTCACTGCCAGCAACCCCACTTTCAGTTCCCCCCTTCCCAATCCCCCAGACCCGCGTGCAAGCATACGAGGAGGTAGTGATTTGGGAGGAGGTAGTGATTTGGGAGGAGGTAGTGATTTGGGAGGAGGTAGTGATTTGGGAGGAGAAACTGGAGAGCATGTTGCTGTCTTGTCCACCATTCCCGCCTGTCCCTGATCCCCCCTCCTCTCATAACCACAGGCGCGCATGCGGGCATATGAAGAGCTGGTCATTCAGGCGAGTCAGTATTCCCGAGAGGAGAGGCTAGAAAGCATGTTCCTGCCGCCAGGCCTGTCCGTCTTTCACTCCTGCCTGCCCCCTGTACTGTCCCAAACCCACAGGCGCGCATGCGGGCATATGAAGAGCTGGTCATTCAGGCGAGTCAGTATTCCCGAGAGGAGAGGCTGGAGAGCATGTTCCTGCCGCCGGGGCCGCGGTTGGGAGATGTGGTGGTGGAGGCGGAGGGGGTTACTCATGAACAACTTCTGCAGGAAATAAATGAAGTTAGAAATAGGTGTGCAAGGTGTTACTTGGTGTCCCAAAGAGAACACATACAGACCTTTATGAAGTTAGGACCAGTTTCTTCGTCCAATAGCTCAAAAAGTCTTTTAAATGTGACCTTTGCACCAGCTCGGCCAACAACTTTTAGAACCTCAAGAAAAGTTTCCTCATCGATTTCGTCAAACTGCTCATCCATAATCAGGTTTAACTTGCGGTCCATCACCTTGACTAGATCGGGAACATCATACTCATGCGCCGCTTCAAGTACAGAAAGTCCGCTCTGTAGAAGGTGGCAAACTGTAAAATGCACGCAAAGATCCAACACAAAAACTGCGCGACGCATTCATACCTTGATGGACTCCAACGTAACTGTTATTTCATGACCATACATGAACGAAAGAAACTGCCTCAATGTTGAACCATCCAGCTCCTTTATTTTCACGATTGAATTTTTCTTGTTTGGAGTGTTCTTCCACCTGTTTTCCAGCAGTGAAGACCTGAAAAGAAAGCGATGATAATGTGGAACCGCAATACGATGTTCTTTTGCGACAGTGATAGGTACCATATGGCGACAATGCTGCGATGTGCAGGGATCTTGGTCCCATCTGAGGCCTCAAATACGACGTCGCTAAACTCTGCTTTGTCAAAGATGTCTTTGAGCTTCGATACATAATCTGGCGCTGCTAGACTGCAAGCGAAAAAGTTCGCTCAGTAATGCATTCGCACACATGCAGCGTTGCATTGGAAAAGAACGTTATTACTGCATGGCCATTGTGAACTGGTAGCAGAAGCGGGAATGTTTCTGCCAGGCGCGTTGGAGAAACAAGAATCTGGCGATGCTCCGGATTGCTGTGTGACGGAGGTAGTGGAAGTAGGGGTTGAAATGGCGTGCTTGGCTTGGCAACTCCGATCAGAAGCACGCGTTCGATTTCCTGTGTTTCGCAGCGCCATTGATTTGAATATGACGAAGAGATTGATTTCGCTAGTCGGAACTGAATTTCGCAGAATGGGCAAATGGTTTTGTAACAGGAATGTAGCACATTTGTGATCTCTATCCTGGATCAAGGTGCAACAGAGTAGGGTTGGTCTAAATCTTGTGGATTCTGAGCGAGCACTACAAATGCACAAGACAATAGTGGTTCAACAAATAGTCTCAGAATAGAAGCTCTAGAGACAGGTCACAGATCAACATCTGATGTAGCAGGCTGTTGTGCAGAGGAAAATTATTACTTCAACATGAGGGCAATCGAAGAGCCAGAGGTGCTTACGTGTACATAGGGCATGATGGTTTCTCCAAGTAATCAACACAGAGCTATGGGTACTTATACGTGGGCGCAGCGGTGGTGGGGGGAGCAGGAGGCACCCTCCTTCCCATGCCCACGCCACTCAGCATCTGCCGCAGAGGCGAAGGGTTGCGGGGGGGACCAGCCGCAATGGGCGCACCCATTGGCTGCCCCATAGGCTGCCCCATGGGCTGACCCATACCAGCACCTGCAGCCATAGGAGCTCCTCCCATAGGAGGACCTGCCATAGGCGGCGTTCCCCTCGCCCCCCCACTGCTGCCGTACCCTGCTGCTGCACCCGCACTGCTGCTCATGCCAACACTCCCGCCATACCCCGCAGTGCCAAGGCTCGCGCTGTTAGCCATGCCCATGGGGCTCCCTCCTCCTCCCATAGGAGATGTCATAGGGGCCATGCTCATGCTGGTTCTAGGGGCATAGGAGATGGATGGGGAGGGAGACGATGCCGATCCTGCTCCCCCTGGCCCCCCTGCCCCTCCTCCTGCTCCTGCTCCTGCACCTGCTCCGGATCCTCCTCTCCCTGCCGCTGCAGCTGCTGCTGCTGCTGAAGCCACTGCAGCAGAAGCAGCGGATTGGGATGCAGCAGGAGCGGGGGACGAACCTGTTCCTCCCGAGCCTGAGCCCTTGGGAGTTCCGGAGGAGGTTCGGGCCGGCTTGGTAGATGTTGGGGAGAGAGCAGGAGCGGAGGACCTCGGGGAGGATGCTTCCTCTTGCACGGGGGCCATGGGTGATGCCTTGTTGAAGGCTGCACGCCAGTCATCCACCTTCTCCTTCCCTCCTGGTGTGTGTTTGAGGGGCGAGAGAACGGGGGTGATGCAAAAGGTGGTGGTGCTTAAAGGGGAGCAGAGGATCTATGGGAGAACGCTTCTTCTTGCACGGGGGCCATGGGTGATGCCTTGTTGAAGGCTGCTCGCCAGTCATCCACCTTCTCCTTTCCACCTCGTAAATGATGGGGGTTGAGGGACGGGGGAGGCAAGACAAGAGTTCCTAAAGGAGTGAACCAGAGCTCTTCTCACATAGAAGCTAGATGCTAGCTAGAATAGTAGCTCGAGGGATCAATAACTCATTGAGATACGTATTCCCTGATAGTTGAGGCAAGGGATGGGGAGGAAGGACAAAGGTGCAAAAGTGATGCATACGAGGGTGAACGTGGGCTTTGTTCTCTTGCACTGAGACCTAAGTTGCTTCCCTGTGATAGGCAACTCGTCCACCGTACAAATCACTCTCTCACTTAGTCCCCAGCCCCACTCACTCCCTCACTCACCCCTTCACTCCCTCACACTCTCTCAACCACACCAACCCCAGCTTCTGTAATGCACTCGGCTCTCAGCTCTCTCCCTTAGTATTCTGAAATTTAACCTTCCACACAACATTACACACGCACTCACTCCCACCACTCCCTCACTCTTCTGCACCTGCCTCCTCTTCTGCCGATGCCCTCGCCTCAGCGACCGCTTCAGCTTCAGCAGAGCGTTCTGCAGGTGCTTGAACCGCTTCCACACTCACTCCCTCACTAACTCCCTTACTCTCTCCCTCTCTCTCTCTCACCTGCCCCAGCCTCCTCTTCTGCGGACGCCCGTGCCTCATGCAGGCTGAGTGACCGCTTCAGCTTCAGCAGGGCGTTCTGCAGGTGCTTGAACCGCTCCCTCTTCCCCTTGCTCTCCATGTCCTCCTGCAGCAGCACTGACAGACTGTCGTCGGATAGTTCACTGGCAGACAGGGGATGGCCAGGGGAGGAGAAAAAGAGAAAGATAAAGAGCATGAGGAAGGTTTACCCCTAAGGTGCTTGTACAGCTGTCTCTTCCCCTTGCTTTCCATGTCCTCCTGCAGCAGCACTGAAAGACTGTCGTCAGATAGCTCACTGGAAGGGAGAGGAGAGGGGAGGCAGCGAGAAATAGCCAAAGCACAAGGTGCATAAGTTGCTCCACCTCCATCCATCCAAATCATCGCATTTAGATTATATAGCCGCGATTCATTACACTCTAATCATTGAACTCAACTAGAATATCGTACCTGACTTTCTGGTACAGTTTTGTGAGCATGGCGTCTTTGGCCTTCTCCACTTGCGTCAGCACTATTGCCTGATGGCGAGGGGGGGGCGCAGAAGGAGGGATACAAAAATGTAAACATGTGCGTGGTTGCAAACGAGATACGTGTGCATGTTGTTTGCCAGCTGTGCCAGCACAACGTGCATGTATCTCCCCACTATACCTGCTACTTCCCTCCCAAATCACACATCCTCATCGGTCAAATCCATTTTCACACCTGGACACCAAATCCACTCTCCTCCCTGCCCACCTTGGGGATGTTATCTGCCAGGTGCGCCAGCACAGCATGCACGTATCGCCTCACTTCAGTCGCCATGGCCTTGAGCTCCTCCTCCGGACTCACCACCCGCTGATTCCCCCCCCCAGGCCCCCCCTGCTGCCCAGGCGCGGGGGGAACGCCCCCCCCAAGTCCCCCGGGCCCGCTCTCCCCCTCCCGTTCCCCATCCGCGCCCCCCGAGTCGTCCCCTGCTTCCCCCCCTGCTGCTTCTGGTGGGGGCGAGGGCGCTTCTTTGAAGGCCTTGGTGTGGCTGCGCAGGCGTTGCACCCACTGCTGCTTCTCTGCCAGGCTGTCCGCTCGGAGGATGAGAGCGTTGTGCACTGCACCGGAGGAGGGGACGGAAGAAAACAGGAGAGGCGGGGGGCAGGCAGAGAGGAGTGGATGATCTAAGTCAGTGAGGGCGCTATTTTAAAGGCCTTGGTGTGGCTGCGAAGCCGTTGCACCCACTGCTGTTTCTCTGCCAGGCTGTCAGCTCGGAGGATGAGAGCGTTGTGCACTGCAAGGTTTAGGGTTCAGGGAGGGGCAAGGCGTGGAAAGATGGGGAAAGGAGATGGAAAAGGAGGGGAGGGAGGACAATCATGCTGCTTGAGGTTGATTTTGAGAATTCTCAAAAAATCCCTATCAGAGGCAGTGAGGGCGCTTCTTTGAATGTCTCGGTGTGGCTGCGGAGGCGCTGCACTGCACCCAGGGGGGGCACCCACTGCTGCTTCTCTGCCAGGCTGTCAACACGAAGGATGAGAGCGTTGTGCACTGGAGAGAAAGTGGAGGGAACGGGGCCTGGAGGAGGGAGGGAGGGCGGGGGGCTCTAAACTGCACTCACATCTGACCCCAATCTACACCCACCTTTACTCTAATGCTACAAGCACCTTTAACCCTAATCTACACCCACCTTTACTCTAATGCTACAAGCACCTTTAACCCTAATCTACACCCACCTTTCACTCTTATGCTACACTCACCTTTGACCCTGATCTACACCCACCCTTGATCTAATGCTACACTCACCTTTGTCCCTAATCTACACCCACTTTTAATCCAATGTTACACTGA